CCCCCCCTCCACCCCCCCCCCCACCCCCCCCCCCCCCCCCCTCCCCCCCGCCCCCCCCCCCCCCCCCCGCCCCCCCAGTCAAACGAAGATGACGGCGTACGCAGTCTCCCGCCAGTTCGCTACATTTAGAGAATTCTATTCGCTTAAATTTATACTTTCTTCAGTTAATCATGGACCCAACGAGTGCCAATCTCCTGATAGTTAGTAACCGCTCAAGGTATGTTGGAAGAAGCCAACGTCTTTTCAAACTGATGTAAACAGACCTACTCCGTAACCTACAAAGTAGGATCGGGAAATAACGTCGAGGCTCCTATTCTTGCGCTCCATTTATCACGGAGATATGCGCTTCATCGTGACAGATTGGCTAGGCCGATGGAATCATGGAGTAACTCAGTTCATCTACATTCAGTTCATGTTTTACCGCGCAGTCCCTAAGAAGCAATGTAACGAAACAGCCAGGAACTTGATAGATGGTGCAGAAGAGCTAAGAGAGGAAGAAAAAGAGCCTGCTATGTCGTATAAGTGGGATTTGTTGAGGGAAACTGCAATATTTACCATGGCTAAAAATGGTGGACAGCCCAAGTTCACGGCCTTGGATATACAGGCTACTGATTGCAAGTTACTTCAGCACAGCGCGCAAAGACTAGCTCGACTACGCAATAATAAAAACCGCATTGCTCAAATCCTCTCGAGATATGTCATTGCGTTTCACAGAGTTGGTTTGTGGCCAGAAATATATTATGAAGACACCTGTCCGACCTAGGGTTCCGGCAGTTTCCCTCTAAAATGTTGGATTTGAGATTGATAATAGGCATCTATATTCATTATAACTGTCAAATTTATATGTTGTATGTGATGCAGCAACGTCATTCACACATCTAAGCCACAGTGCCCCAGAGATCAGCAGTGATCTGAGCATCTCCCTTGCAGTGTCTAGCGCAAAAACAGATTGTAAATGCAGCTGCGGAGTACAATTGAACACATCAACGAGAATCTTTACCCAATTGCGGTCGCTAATGCAGATTAAGTTCTAGACTGCATACAGAAAGAGAACATTAAAGAAGAACAAGCCCACCTATTCAACTCATATCCTCATACCATTCGCACAGTGTTTGAACTAGGTCACTAATCATGACTTGGTCGAAGCCATTTTTGAAGCTTCGCGACCAGCGACCGTGGCTGCTGCCGCTAAGGTCATCGCAATCCTTTATAGTGACGACGATTTCTCTGTCAATGTTCACGGTATCCTCCCCGATCCCCTGTCCAGACAAACTAAGCTTCAGCTAATCAAACTCATAAGGATCTCTTTCTCTACGCTATGGTACACATGCTCTGACTAGTACCTTTGATATTTACCTGACCGCTACAGATTGTCCCCGTCATGCCGCAGGCATTAGTTTTACGAGCTGGGGTAGCATTCGAAGACAGTACGAAGATTTACGAGGACAGATAATCATTTGCTAATAGCCTCTCTTTTGATAGGAGAATATTGGAACAGTGTCCTCCTCATCGCCGAAGCCGTCTCGGCATTTACCTGCTGTCCGATGTTCGGATACATACTTGACGTCTCTGGAACACGCCAGGGCCCCTATCTATCCGGACTCGTGCTGTTGTTCGCATCTATGGTAATCTTGACAGCTTCGCACTCAGTGACATGGTATATCATCGCCAGGGTGCTTCAAGGCGCAGCAACGGCCATGGTCTCGGTAGCTGGTCTTTCAATTGTGACAGACGCAGTAGATAAAGCGAGTCTTGGACAGATGATTGGGTATCTTGGCACCGCCATGACACTGGGCTTTATGTCTGGTCCACTGCTGGGCGGACTAGTTTACGAACTTGGAGGATTCTACGCCGTTTTTGGTATGGCTTTCGGAATCGTTGCTCTTGACTTCTTTCTTAGACTCGCTGTTGTTGAGAAGAGGATTGCTCAACGTTGGCTGTGTCTCACTGATGGCGAGCGGCCAACCCAGGAGAATGGTTATATCCCCGAGCAGCCGCCATATGGAACTTTTGAGACTATACGCACTAGGGATACGATCACGGAAATTTCTAAGAGTAGTTTTGCGCTGGCAAAGATTTTGAAGCAGCCCCGGGTTCTTGTTTGCCTCTGGGCAGTTACAGTCGGCGCTCTTGTGGTCTCGGCATTCGATGCGGTATGGAATTCAGTCTTTTATATTGGAATGTACTGACACTGCTATATAGACACTCCCAATATTTGTGGAGAACACATTCAACTGGAATGTTTTAGGCGCTGGGCTTATATTCTTGCCAGGTGCCGCAGCCGCTATTTTCCAACCTTTTTTTGGTAACTGACCTCATATTATCATACTATGTTGCATGATCTGACCTACTTTCTAGGATTTCTATCTGACCGTCTTGGTGCGAGAGTGATCACATTCGCAAGCTTTGCCATTCTAGCCCCGAGTCTGATCTGTCTTCGTTTCGTTGAGGAAAACTCACCATCCCACATAGGTCTTCTTTGTGTGATTCTGTGTCTTGTTGGAATGTGCATCGATTTAAGCGAGCCGGCCTTGATAGTGGAGATGCAGCGTGTCCTGGATGACATGGAAGCTGGAGACCCGGGGGTCTTTGGGGGCAGAGGTGCCGTGGCTCAAGCTTTTAGCTTAGAGAATATGGCACATTTTGGCGGTTTGGCATTAGGACCTATGGTAGGTGGATTCGTGGAGTTCCGATACGGTTGGAAAGTTATGACTCTTGCACTGGGAGTTCTTTCTGCGGTTACGGCTATGCCTATGTTGTGGCTCAGTGGTCCTATGGAAGAAGTCTCCTGGACTGAGTCTGCCGATGAGGAGATGGAACGTGAACCCCTGCTGACGGAGTAGCATGCACCATGCTGTATATAGTAGCACAAACGTGGCTTTTTATTGCATTTGTTTTGAGACCATGAGAAGTGAGATGAGATTATAATTTCTCTCTCGCACCACTGAACGTGAAGTCTAGCTATTCGGTCGTTTGGGTATTTCGTATTGACATACAAACCCTCGCTATATATATTCCTCTTAACATCTCTTCCGCCTGAATCCTTTCTATATATCCGAAATCATGTTATCTCTCGGTGATTTTAATGGAAATACCACTCCGCACCAAGAACACAACTTCGAAACTGTGAGTAACATGAGGCACTCATAGTTACACGAAATAGATGATGTGCGAGAATAATGAGGACGAAGGCAACCGAATTGCATCTTTAAGAAGGAGAGAAACTCCAGCTTGATACGAGAAGGGCGAGAACTCACGAGCGACCATCAGCATGAAGCTATTCGAGCGATTCCGCAAATTTCTGTCGAATCTCTATACTACTACACGTACCTGGTTCCAACCCTCTCACATCAGCAGTAATGAGAGCAAAGTTCAAAGCAGCTACATCTTCCCGGCAGAGTCGGAGCCTCATGAAGCGACAATCATGGGATTACCATCTCGATGTTCCCTACCCCCCGATCAGTTTGACGCCATGTGCAATGAATTAGCTCAACTAGCGGCGGCGATCACTGACTTCGAACCGGTTCGGCTATACGTGAGGCCCGAAGACATCCCATTGGCCGAGTCCCTAGTCCAGACTTTCGTGAAAGACGCAACAAAAATATCTATCATCCCCTGTCCAATCAACCACTGCTGGGTCCGCGACACAGGCCCAGTCTACGTGCGCGACAAGATAGGCGCATTCCCGAATCGACGCTTCGCAATCAACTTCCGCTTCAATGAATGGGGCGGGAAGAAACCCGAAGACGACGGAATCTGCTGGGGTCAGCGATGGCCTGTGATGGACAAGAAGGCACTACAGGAAAACACCAATTTTGCGCGGTGGGTAATGGAGCACGATCGCAAGCCCGGCCCCGTTACGCAGATCGAGACTCCGATTCGCGCCGAGGGCGGCGGGCTCGTTACCGACGGCGAAGGAACGCTGCTTATCACGGAGAGTAGCATTGTATGTGATGTGCGCAACCCGGGGATGTCCAAGGCCGAGATCGAGACGGAGTTGAGGCGGCTGCTCGGGATTGAAAAGGTGATCTGGTTCCCAGGACGGCGCAATGTTGACATTACCGACGTGCATATGGATGCTGAGGCAAGATTCGTGCGCCCTGGTGTCATCGCTTACTCAAAACCACATCCTATTGCGATTGACCTGTGGCAGGAGCTGTCTACGGAGATCCGAGAGATTCTGGACCGCGAGACAGACGCTAAGGGTCGGCGCTTGCAGATCCACACCATTGAAGAGCCGGACCCACGAGGCTTGGTGAAATCCGATCACGACGAACTAGCGGCGAGTTATGTGAATTTCTATTTTGTTAATGGAGGCCTGATTATCCCCAGATTCGGTGACGAAGAAAGGGATCAAAAGGCGCTGGAAATGTTTCAGCGCTTGCTCCCTGAGCGGGTGATTCGGCAGGTGTATGCCAACGCCATCCCCCTTACTGGTGGGGTGCTTCACTGCGTCACTCAGCAGGTTCCTGTAATGAAGTGAGGACCAATGAGTAGAAGGACGTGGCATTGTGAAGGAGGTTGGCTTTCTAGTGAATTTAAAAATAAGATTGGTCTTCAAGGCTTTGTCAACGTGCATACACATTTTAGGTCTGGGAACGGACAAAGTCTTACTCAGACATCGCACAGCATATATGGAAGATATATTTGAAGCGGATATTCCATTTCCCGGTCATTCTGACTCCAACTAGTCTGTGAAACCAAAGTGTTCGGGGCTTGAGGAAGCTCCAGCGGGGATTTCAATATTATATGTTATAAGGAACACCCATCTATAGACAGCTGACACCCTAGAGGTCATAGCTAGGTAGATCTCATTTTGAAAGAAGCAAATATACGAGTCAATCCCAGAGCTCGAGGCCTCCCAAGTTCGACATGTGTTGCTTGGTGCATCCGATGTGTAACCGTATAATAGCCCGAGAAAGCCGATGAGCATAGCTAAAGCACCAAGATCGAGGCCCTAGCGGAATAATCTGGGGTGGAGGTCTCGAAAATAACTCATCTTCGACTGAAAGAATGCTGGGCATTTCTTTTTCTAGGGCTTTCAGCTGCTCCCCAATAGATCGACGCATCACATCTGGAAATGGAGTGGTTCCTGCATGTCGAAACTCAACAGTTTCTATGACATAAAAAGTATTGAATGCGTTGCTATCAAGTATACTGTTCATTCCACAGAGACACAGACATTAGTTCGATTCCACATTCCCGGGGAATATCAGTCACCTTCGCAATTCAGCTTCGTATTCTAAATATACTATTACCATCGTTCTGGTCACACTATCCAATATATTCAGTGTAGATTTGACCTTTATGTACTTGTGTGGCGATGTTACTCTACTCCGTGCATGCATTCAGCTCCACGCCTTCACTCGACCCTGTAGGTCTCCACCATAATCCACATAATAGCTGCTATTGAGCTGATCACGTCCGATATATGGAGTACTTCATCCCCAACATTGAATCGTGCAGGATCAGCTCGATCGATCTAGCACTAGTTGCTGATCTTCACCCAGAATACGAAAAGCCCTACATAGAAAACAAGACGTCAACTTCAGGAAATATAATTGGTTCCCTCACAGGTTAACTGGAAAGCAAGGCCTTTATCCGTGCGACTTATTGCTTATTCCTTCCCGTGAGATCCAACGTAATGCAGAGTTTCAATTGCGTGCAAAATTGCCTTTTAACGGCGTTTCTTCACCTTTCACTTCATCCGAGCTTCTCTAAACGATTGATTCGCAGTGTTCACCGAAGAGCGCAGTGCAGCACTCGAAAACATTCATATACTCCAGGACTTTGTATTTTAGTCCGACACATGTCTTGTAATGCTGTTTCAGTTACAGAACTCTCCGTTTTCCCCAGTTCTTCTCGATCGACTCCTCTCCACAGTCATGGCCCTTCTCCCTGCTCTTAGTGAAACTGCGCTCACTAGCAAGGTTATACATGCAACCGGATATCGAAATCTCCCACCAGACGAGCTAGTCGACCTCGCAATTGAGAGTCACATTGCGCGTATAGTCAAACGCTCTCTCGTTGGCAGTGACGAATCATTCTTCATCGCCGATTTGGGCCAGGTACTTCGACAGCATCGTCGTTGGACCCAGAACATGCCCGGAATCCGACCGTATTACGGTACAACACCCCTCTTCTAGTCCGTTCCTATTTTTGGAATAGAAAAGTAACATCTTCCCACAGCGGTCAAATGCAATTGCGACCCAACCTTCCTCAAAGTCCTCGCAGAACTGGGGACGGGGTTCGACTGCGCCTCCATTGAAGAGATGCGCGCAGTTCTCAGCCTCGGTGTAGATCCAGCCCGGATTCTGTTCGCCAATCCCTGCAAAGCACCCGCCGCCGTAGCTTTCGCACGCGATATTGGTGTCTTGCGGACAACATTTGACAATATCGACGAATTGGATACTATCAAGGCACACATGCCGGAAGCTCAGCTGTTGCTTCGGATCTACGCGAATGACGAGGGTGCGTTCATATGTCTGGGCGAAAAGTTTGGTGCGCAGTTGGATACGACCGAGGAACTCCTTTCAAGAGCTTGGGAGCTTGGATTGAATGTGATTGGTGTGAGCTTTCACGTTGGTAAGCACCGGGGTACTTCGGACTTCTTAGCTGGTCAGATGTATTGACCATCCTGAACTATTAGGGACGGGTGCTATCAACCCAGCGTCATTTTGCAAGGGCATCAAAGATGCACGTCTGGCATTCTCACAAGCGGAACGTCTAGGTTTCCACCCCAAAATTCTCGATATCGGCGGTGGCTTTCAAGACGATTGCTTCGAGTCTATGGCGCCTATTATTCGAGACGCAATTCGGTCGGAGTTTCCAGCTGGTATCACAACGATCGCAGAGCCAGGTCGGTTTTTCGCTCGTAGTGTGTATACTCTTGTATGTCGAGTGATTTCACGTCGCCGTCAGCTTGGGAGTGCTGCTCGATCTGGTGTTCCAGACATGCTTTATCAAAATGATGGCATATATGGAAATTTCATGAATGTGATTATGGAGAAAGAGATCATGGTTCCTTATTTGGTCAGTAAGAAAGCCAGGGGGTTCTTGCATAAACCCAAATCAGGGGATGCTTTGTGCATCCCCCATCGGTACTCGATCTGGGGACCGACATGTGACAGCACCGATTGTGTTGTGCGCGAGGTGACGCTTGATTCTGAAGTCAAGGTTGGAGATTGGCTCAAATATAAAAACATGGGAGGTGAGTATTGCCATATTATATTGGTCTGGATTTTCAGAACTGACTGAGTTCCAGCATATACAAGTACCACTGCTACCCAGTTCAATGGCTTCAGCAGCACCTATGACACATTTTATGTCAACAGTGAAACGTTGCCTGACTATTAGCAGGTGTTTTGGTGTTTCCTCAGAGGGTATTTGTGGTCTTGAAGCCATAGGATGGGGTGGCCCGCTCGAAGAGCCCAGTGTGGATAAGCTTGAAATGATATCGATCTAGAACGAAAAGGCAAACATAGCGGCCCATGTGATTGACGGCCCTTTGAGTATGTTGACAGGTCCGGGCCGATTTAGCCAGAAAACATGTGTTCAGCAGGCCCCGGCGATTTAGATCGCTTACACGATCTCCTGAAAATCTCAAGTGTAAATTGATGAATAGCCTGCATTCATTCAGCCTGAGCGCGCAGCCTCTTGCGCATATCTATACCGAAAACCAACATCCATAACTATAATAGTAGGATAGACAATGATTGCACGCTTAAACAAACAAACACCAAAGTTTCCAAGGGGTTTCCTATCACTCCAGATGGAATGAAGATAGCAGAAAGGATATCAATCATGAGAAGAAAAAAAAAAAAAAGAAAAGAAGACCCCAGATAAGAGAGAAACAAGAGAACCGCCGAGATAAGAGGCAAGAAGTGACAGAAATTATGAATATGTAAAGAGACGAGAGGAAGCTCTTGGACAACGTCATACCTTTGCCATTCCAGACATCGGGACGTCGTCCTGAATCGCATTCTCTGGCAGAGACTCCTTGACATCCATGTCATACGGCTGAGCGTCGGAAGCAGACTCGCCCTGCTTCTCTGTCATGGATGAAGCTCCGTTCTCGGGTCGTTTCCGGCCAAGCCGCTCGCACCAGTGCTCAGCACTGACCAATGTGTCATTGACGACGCCGCTGACTTGCGCCATCATGTCTAGACCCTCTTGGGCCAGCACCAGGATGCGATGGGCACTGATTGTGGCATCAGAGGAGGCGGCTGGAGAGTCTGGTGGTGGCTGCGATGTGGATGCAACCTGGAAGCGGTGCGGTAGAGACGTCAGGTGTCGACGCACTAGATGGCGGGCATTCTCTGGCAGAGCACCTCCTGCATACTTGGAAACCACATCCACTACCTGTTTCAAGGTAGATAACACATCGGCCTTGACGGCCTGAATGCGCTGGATAAGTAACGAGGCACTTTCTTGGCCATTGCCCCCTGCCTCGATATCCGACTGTGATCGTGCTTTTTGGTTTTCCCACTCGTTGACAGCACCATGTAGTGCCACAATGGACTTGCCTAGTCGGCCATTTGCCCATCGAAGCCAAGTCAGACAATATTGCAGACTACGTAGCGATTCCTCGCTCATGGCGACTCCGAGTCCAGAGGTCGAAATAACTAGTCGGCTTTGCCATGTCGGTTCAGTACGTCTTCTTGGTTTCTCTTCGTAGTGAGGAGACCTCATTTCGTCGTACGGGGGGAGCGACTCGGCCATGGAGAGATCGGACGAGCTCCGTGTACGCGGTGGGTGTCCCTTCTCCGCATTCATCGTTCTCGGCGACACACCCTCATCCATCTTTCGTCGCTTTTTAGTGTGTGAATTTTCGCCTGTAGAATCTCGTCGCTGTAACGCCCAACGGAGACCGCTCTCGACACCAGTTTTGCGGCCTACCGTACCGACGGTGTTCGCGACAGGTGATCCGATGTTGCGCTCGATGAACTCAGCACCGGACTTGAATCGCGGTGAATATGATTTCGACGTGGCGTAGGCAGAAACTGAGCCGTTGATAGCAGAGGAGATAAGTGGATGGGAGGAAGTCAGCAGAGACAATAGTGGCTCTGGCGGTGGTGGGTCCGGTGAAGTGATGGGGAGGGATTGCCGCGTTGTTCCAGGCGTTTGTCCAAAATCTATTGTTGAGATTAGTTGAATGTCGGTTGCACAGCCATCCGAATCCAGTGAAAACCGCAGTTGCGACACTTTTAGTGGGCCGGTTCGGGGATATCAGAGCCAACGTACCGGAGCGAAGCCCCTCAAGGGCCTGCGCGGCCTCGAGATCATCCATCGATAATACACTGGCAGCTCGACGAGACCGGTCTTCTGGGTTATCGATATCCATCATAGATGGAAGACCATTATAATAGGGTGGAGCCGTAAGTGATGAAGTGAGGTTACTTGTATGCGCGGAGGGGTGTGAATTGGACGATGTCAGAGCTGTGGCGTTATTCTTTCGGGCAGGTGGTTTTGGCCTAGCGGATTGGGGGGGTTCCATGGCGGGTCACAGATCGTCCATAGAGAGAGAGTGCAATGAACCTCAAAGACGTCGGAGTTTCGCATCGTATCGTCTTTCACGTGAAAAAGCGTCACTTGTCCACTAGGCCCAATTAGGAAGGAACATTGAAGGTGAGGTAATCACATTCCCACGGTACCTGCTCGGCAGTACATTCCGTTATGGCCGCCCATGTACCTTTCCTCATCACATGCCAAATCTCCAGGTGTTCCTTGCCCCAACACACTCGCCTCCTTTCGCCCCTCTTGGAACTTCAATCTTACCGAAAATTATTTACTTGATTCGATATGAAAAGTCTGAAGTGCCCAACAATTTGCCCTGCGTACGATGGGCGCACTCTGCACCTGCCTGTAGGGCGTTTCAATAGAGGATTTCTATTCCGACGAAGTACGATGTACACCCATCGCAACGCATACTATTTATTATACACGATAAGAAATACAAATGTCCTACGGAGAAGACGCCGTGGTCCCCGAAACAAGGCACCTAAACCCCTCCAAGGTTTATATGTTTCCATTTTTATCATTGCCAATGTATGTCTCGTATCCCTACATGTGCTAGAATCTACTCGACAATCCGAATACGAGAACAACTCGGGTTGCTCTTGATCCCTGACACCTTCCCTCCATGAACTAGACGTTGAAATTCTAGTTATGCATCGTGTTCGGTTCACCACTTCGGTTTCACCTCTTTTTTCCCTCTCCTCCGTACGTTGTACGCATACAATGTACAATGTAGATGGACAATGTCCCGGAAGACTTTGCTCCGTCCTATCACATGTCTACGGAGTACATGGAAGGAAATTTATTGATCTTTGGCCTACCGGTACGAGATGTACTTACGAGCCTGCTTTGGGTGTTTTATTATTGGGCACAGCACCAATATGATCCTTCTTTCAATGGATTTATAAGCCCAATCTTATATTTGTTGGGCCTGGTTCGGCATATCGAGCTTGGCATGTGATGTGGGGGCCATTGACATTTGGAGACTAGGATGAACTTTCTCTATGGAGTACTTGATAGTGTTTTGGAGTCTTTAGGCAAAAGTCTGATGGTATGATTTGTTCAAAGTATTCTAAGTCTTGACAACATCTGACGGGGGACAACGCTATATATCGACTCCAACACGTGCAAAACAACAAGGTATCTCATGCGATGTTCAACAGTAACAGGAAAAAATATCGCTCAGAATCAAAATGGGCAGATCAAATACAGGGTCGCTGGCGTCACTCGTATCTTATTCGATGGACAGTTTGTCCTCCAATCCATCATCGTAATGACCCCTTTAAAAGGATAGCATGGCTTCAATGGCATCTTCGTCTTCATACTCATCTACATCATCGGCGTCATTCCCAGGCAATGCATTGGCCGTGATATGTGCCACCATTTTCTGATTCACTCGGTAGCAGGCGATCACATCATTAGTGACAAGGCGGGATGGCGAGACGGATGCCTTAATCTCGCACAATGTCTCGCCAAAAGCGTGGAAGATAAACCGGGAGTTTGGGCATCGACGGTAGGCACATGAAGCTACCAACCGTCGCCACTCATTGGGGCTGTTTTGCCAGGTGTGGATGAGCGGATGTCTGCCCGTCTTAGGAGGAGGGAGTGCACTCGCATTCTCGGCAGCTTGACGTGATATGGGAGAGAATTCGTCAGTAGAAGCAGAGTGTCCTTGGTTCCACTGCTGGTATAGTTCGTTGATCGCCCCTCGAACATCAGCGAGGGCGTTTTTTAATTCTTGATTGTGCTCAGACTTGGTCTTCGATGCTTCATCTGCTTCAATCCACGGACGAACGAGGTCCTCATCGAGCTGGTTTTGGATATCGTTCTCGGGGAACGCCTCGTTGAGACCAGAGAGAATTCTGTGCAGCTCCGACTTTGCGACGTTGAACTTGAGGAAGTCAACAATGTTCGACGGTTTGGACTTGCGCTCTGGGTTCCGATACGCGGGAAGCGCTCGTTGGTTAGGGCTAATGGTCTTGCGGTATTCTTTCCAGGCTTGCTCTGAGAGATGAACTCCACCTTTCCGGCCATCGACAAGATGACCCAAGAGACAGGCCAGCTCTTTCGCCCCCGAAAAGTCGACTGACTCATCGTATGCCAGTTTCTCATGCTCGACAGTACATTGACCTAAGTTTGAAAGGTTGAGGTTGAAAGAGAACGTACTTTCCAAAAAGTCCTCCGTCGAGTTCAGCGAAGCCATCGGGACGGAGTGTTTCGTGAGCCCGTAATGCTCTGCAGTATATTCATGCTCGGGCATCGGGGAATTACGGAATCTCTCTACAATCATTTGATCCCAGCAGATCCACGGTCTATCACCATCGTAATCTCCTCCGGATAGCATACCGGCTAGAGGGAAATCCCCTGTAGTGGGAAAGACAATCACGTCTTTAAAATGACGTAGCTCAGTCTTACACACGGCTCTACGCCGCTGAATATCAGACGGCAAATGGGCTGGAAGTCGGCCGACGAGAACATCTATCCCATCCAGGAGGTTGTCTTCAAACTGGCCCTGTGGATCCCGCCAGTTATTGGAGAAGCCAAAGTGGACTTCGTCCGGCCCAAGAACTCCATATGGGTCCGCAATGCAGTAAGCATACGTTGAAAGAGGGACCTGGATTTTGAGTTCTTCGACATGTCGCTCAAGAAGCCATGTCAAGAATTTACGGATCTTCATCCGAAGGGGAAAGAAATCGCGCGGAGCAAAGCCAGCCTCGGAGAAACGAATAATGGACTCAGCATCACTGGAAACCCACTGCTCTAATCGTCGGGATTTGCCAGTTCCGTCCTCGCCGGAGGGTTTGAGCTTCTGAAGCAGGGCTCGACAAAGCACGGGGCTATTTGATCGAAGAACCTCAAGGAAGTCGTCGTAAAGACTCTGCACACCATCACGGGTGAGTTTGGTAATATACTCCTTCACGTTCCCTCCATATTCTAGAATTGCAAGAAGCTGGATATTAAGGTCAACAGGGTGCAACGGCTTAGCCCAGTTGACTACTTCGAAGGTCAACTTCTCATCGTCCACTTTAATCCATTCCTGCGGATGGGGGTCATCGTCCACTTCAATCCATTCCTCCGGATGGGGGTGTATTTTCAACTGCGAGTCCGAGATCTGAATCCAGATATCATCATCGTTCACAGTAGAGATACTAGATCTGTGGGAATCAACCATCCAAAGGCCCTTGGCGCCTGCTATTCTGCCCTGGAAACAACTAGGTGTGGCGGTGGTTATGCCCAGTTGGTCACAGATTTGGTTCGCAAGAGTCCTCGACATCAAAGCACATCCATCATTCATAACAGCCCGGGTTGGATCGTCTCTCAAACGAAGCACTTGCGTCGGCTTTAACTTGACCGTCGCAAATGTCTTCGACAAACCAAGAGAGATACGCTGGAAGAGCTTGCAGTTGCTTTGATTCGCATTCGCAGTCTTGGGCATATGCCATTCCAGCAAAGCGTCTACACTCATCGGAGTATAGTTATCACTTTGCTGTCGGGGAGGGGCCACCATTGGTAAACGGAGCCCATGAACGAAGTCTTCGCCATCAATAGCGAAGAACTCGACCCGGAACCGAGGCTCAGCCTTGACTTTTCGCTTGGTCTTTATTTCCTCGACATAGAAAGCCCGCCACGTCCTTCCGAGGCAATGATGATCATTCCGCGTGAGCCAGGTAGCAATACTCTCGCGAAGGACAGATGGGTAAGCAGGCTGTTTCTGATGGCTGGGAGGCCGATCAGCGGCTGGAATGGTAAGAGTCAGGAATCTATCCGAACCAAATCTTCGGTGGAACCGACACGTCCGCTCTGGCTTGAGCGGGTTAAGTCTCAATTTGAAAATACCCGACTCGGTGTCGTCACACCAGTCCAAATCTCCTGAGAGTATGACCACCTCCGAGTGCTTATCTGATTTGAAATCACCAACAGCAGCATCCCAGGCCCGACGGGGCGATTTCTCTGGCAGCGGATGACCATAACGTCGACCAAGCCCGGCGACCCATGACCAGAAATCATCTTGAGTGTTGAAGGTAACACGGTCGCCAACGAGTATCTGTTTGAAGGGAATTCCCCACGCACGTCCGATACGTTCCAGCTCATATCGGAATCGCAATGGGATTTTCGCCGAGAAGGATTCTTCTCCCGAAAACGGGCCGTAGGACAACAGCTCACCAATAAACTCTTGTTTCAGGGCATACTCCGTCTCGGCGGGATCGGCAGCTACCATCATGGAGATAGCAGCAGCATCCACGCTTCTTTGCATCTCTTCGCTAGCCATATACCCGACAATCGAGTCTGCATAGGTTGATTGGGTATCCATTGGCTCGGTCATTTCTGTTGCGACAGTATCGAATGATTGCATCATGCTACTATCGCGAGACATAAAGACCGACGAAGTAGTCGCTGCAAAGCTGGGAGCAGGTGACTCCGTCATATTGTTGCGCTTCGATTCATCGGATACCGCGCTAAGCTTTTCAAATAAAGAAGGTCTTTTGAATTCGATATCTTCCCGGGGAGGAGAAGTTTCTTTACTGGGGCTGTTGCCAAACCCAAACGATCGAAGATCCATCTGCTTCAATGGCGATTGGGAGGGTGATTTGACCGATTTGGGGGTTTTAGAGGTTTTGGATGGCGACAAGACAGATCCTGGGTTCTTCGCGGATGGTTGCGCACCCCCTGCAGTCTTCGCTGGCGACAAAGTGCTCGTCAATTCCCTAGGAGGGGGAATATTGCCTTGGGGCTTGGATGGTTGTTTAGTGGCCGCTCTCTTAGGGAGCGGTTGGTGTGTATGTACCGGTTGCGCCTTTGCTGGCGGAGGAAAAGTCCCCGAATACTTCGCCGGAGAATGAAAATTCTCTTTATTATGTCCCGGCGACTGAATCGGTCCATCCTTCTTTGTAGGCGACGGGTGAACTTGAATTTTCGTCGGCGATGCGATTCCTCCCGATCCCCACGCAGGAGATTGAATTACACGACGATTATTGACCGTAGCTCCATAATTCTCCTTCGGCCCTCGAAAGGCAGCCTGCACCATCTCAGGGAATTGCAAACTCCCATCCGCATTCTTCCCCAGCGGCGACTGAGCCAGCACAGACCCCTTCACAGGGGAACTCGGCGCGGTATGGAACTCCACGTCTTCATCATCATCAAACCTTTTTTTTTTTAATGATAACTCCTTGGCACCTCCAAAAGAATTAGCGGCTAACCTTTTTTTCGTGTTTACGACACGGCCATTCGCTAACAGATATTCCTCATCTTCCATGAGCACTAGTAGCTGCCTCATGCACCTATCCTTCTCAGGGCCGGTGAGCGAGATCGGAGGCGCCGGTTCCTCGCTGTGGTGTCGTTGGCTGGCTCGGCGACCTGCATGGGTTTGATAAACATGATTCCGGTTCTGGTTCTGGTTCTGGGCGGCCGGCAGGTTCCCGCGGACCCATTCCTCGAGATTGTCAATTAGGCTTTTCTTGTCAACCTTGTTATTGAAGAACAGCGGGCGGATGTGCTTGTAGATCTGACTAGGGAGGCTGGTGTTTCTCTCCCGCGCCGAAGGAGACTCAATTCCAGGGAGGGGAATCTCGAGGCTAAATTTGATGTTGAGTCTGGTGATAAAAGTGCGGAAATCCTCTTTCTGGTGTTGTGGGGTAGTGGGATGGTGGTCCATGTTCATCGGAATGTAGAGCACAGGAGCTCCCATTCAAAGGAAACGAAATTGGCGGTGTTGTGTTGGAGTGTTAGATAAAAGATGAAATGACAAGATTCAACAGCGTCTGGGGGTTCTTGTCAGTCTCATGCGAGCGCATTGCATGGTGGGGTAAACAAACCGCAGATGCATCGGGTTTCCTTATACAGAGTCTCCCAAGAATCAGAATTGAGGATTGAGGACTTGAGGAGACGAGCGTCTTATATCAGTAGAATGTCTTGACTCGTCAATTGAAGTTCAACCTACTCCATGGAGTAGGCCACGGCTGGTCGCTGTGCAGAAGAACTGTTTATCCGCGCCAACTCCGGGTAGATGTTATTAGCGTCTCCACCTGGCCTGTCACTGTGACAATTGTACATCTTACATGTCGAGGATTCGGGAGGATAGCTGCATAGTGGCTGATGTCTTGCAGCTTTCTAGATCAGTCACACGGGCTAATAATTGTGAGACGCTGTTCGCCATACTACATAGTGGATGAGTCGTTATTTTGAGAATTGTTAGAAGTTGAAGCAGGAGTCAGCACCTAGATGTAGGTGTGGAGTACATATTCAGGAGAATATAGCGAATGGTAATTGCTTTTCCCCGTGGATAAACAAAAATGACCAATAATTTCGATCCCCAAGGACGAACCAGAATGACCTATAGAATAACGGCTTCCATGACAAGCAGTTCCCTTCAGCTAGGGCCCCCCCCTCTCTCAATCTCCGGCTCAATCTTATCTGTCCATAGGTCAGCCTCCTTGGGGTCAACGTGTTTACTATGAACAGCGAGCTTGTAGCCAACCATCAAGATGATGTAGACAGGAATACTGATGTACGAGGCAATAAAAGATTTGACGTCGAATGTCCGAACGCCCGAATCGAAGCTGAAGGAGTCAAAGACAATGGCGACAGAGATGAACAAGCAGAGAATGAGAGCCAAACACGTTCCAGGCAGACCGAAGCGAGCTCTAAAGGCTAGAGCTTTGTCGGGAATACCTTGAGCCTTTCGCGCTCGCACAAAAGATATGTGGGTGATGAGAATGGAAATCCATGTCAGAAGCCCGAGCATGGTGACCATGTCCACGAAGTATCCAAAGACAACAGTTGAGTCTTGGCGGACGTTAAGATACGCCAATGTTGCAGTTGACGAGCATACCGCCAAAGCGTAGATCGGGACGCCTCTTCGGGTAGTGCGTGATAGGAAAGCAGGAGCCCGGCGCTTCACTGCGAGGTCGCACATTGCCTTGGTCGCCAGATAGAGATCGTAGTCTGCGATTGACAGGACGAATAACAGTATGAATGCATTCAACATGTCCGGTAGCACGGAGATGCCTGCCAGATACAGAGCAGCAACGAATGCCGATGCGGCAGCCTCGTGATTGGCGTCGCTAGAAAATGCCACAGACACCGAGTCCTGGGGGACAATCATGCCGAGAAGGGTGATTGCTAGAAGATGGAAAACCATGATTCGATAGAAAGTATTCTGGATGGCCCTCGAGGTAGCTTTACGAACGTTCGGGAAGTGAGTCATGCCAGCCCGCTCGCTTCCGATGTACGCAAACGTAGCAGATGACATCGTCGAGCAGGTTATGTAGAACTTCTCTAGCAACGCGTGATGATGGTGGTGAGGGCCGAAAGCACCATGGTACGACCAATATCGAAACCCTTTTCGGTCTTGATCTGGCCCCCCTCCCAGAGCAATGACAGTGGAAAGTATCATGAGTCCTAGCATGACGACAAGCTTGAAGGAAGAGACATAGAACTCAATTCTGCTCGGGAGGCGATGATTGATGAAGTTGAGAATCACAATGACAGAAAGGAAAACCGTAATCCAGATACCGGGGTTGACTCGCTCCGCACTCACCCAATAAGAGACTACCAGCGCTGCAGCTGTGAGCTGATTCGGTGTGACAACAGCATATTTCAGCCAAAATCTAGGGGCGCGGTCAGTAATAAATCAATTAGACGCAATTCTCATCGCGAAGGGGGACTTACATCCAGCCCAAGCTGAATCCAAGTGCAGGATGACAGAATCGAACGGCTTGGTCTGCAACGGTATACGGTTTTGGTAACCAAGAGCCCACCTCACCCAAGGCAGAAAGGACGAGGTAAACGGCGAGTCCGACGATGGTGTAGGAGATTATAATAGCTGCCGGCTACGAGGAATCAATATCTTCGCTCATAAGCTTTTTGGGAATAACGTACGCCGCTCCTGTGTCGGAGTCAGCAAATTTCAGCACAGAAGGAATCCGCTCGGTATAATGAACCAATCTTACATAGACAATGCTCTTCCAGTACCTACCATCAAGCCCGTTCCAATTGCAGATCCAATAGCTGCAAACCTGTGTTAAAATGCAAGTCCCCGTACGAGATGGAGGGTACAGACTGATGATGCTGATTTGACGGGGTGTCAATGACCCGTATATATCGGTGAAGCCTAGGGCATGTTCAATCTGATGAGTTTCTGGGATTGTTTGTGGTATCGTTGGCTCGACGCTGATGGGTCCGAGTTCGCAGGCAGAGGATCGAGATCCCGGTCGGCGTCGCGGAAACATCTCCTATAGGTAGTATATTTTTTAAAAAAGAGGTATGAATCCCTGACTGTTAAGATTAGGTAAAGCAAATGAGTTAGGTACCAGAAACGTGAATCAAAGATCAGAGATCGAGTGGACAGCCCAGATAAGAAGACCCCGGGGAGCCAGGAGGATAGTGATGATGCAAGTGCAAGTATGGGAAAGAACGAGGCACAATTGATTGGGATCAGGATTGGGATATATTTTCTATATGCAGAAATCCCTTCATGGGACAATCGAAATTGAATGGCATAAACAAAAAATAGAAGCATTCCATATGCCAGCTCTTGAGGACTGCCACCAAGCCATCGAGGAGGCACCGAAAGTAGCCAGCGTCTATCAAAAGGCCATAACATCACAAACGCCCAAAAGGGTGTCGACACCCCAGAAAAAAAAAGCACCAGTCGGTTGCATACTGAATTCCATGACCCCGTCGAATGGGGTCAGAGGGGGAGAAGAGAGAGGTCATAAAAGTCTTGTCAAATATTCCCCAATGGCAGCGGTTCCGGGCCGGCGTTTGTCTGGAACAGTCCCTGGGTGAGGTGGAGAGGTAACGCAAGATACGTAAAAATGGTTCCTATTCATAAATTCATCGCGACATGAGCGAGTCGCTCGACTCCGTGCGAGGGAATATGCGCGTGTAGAGGGAATCGCTGGACTCGGTACGCGGGAAGTGTCGTTGGTGCTTCCGTGAGATCACACGATCGGTGTAGACTCCCTTAGCCGAGCCACGAATGACGGACTCAAGATACTCGCGGAAATCTGTCGGTTGGAAATCGGGGTACAGGTCCTGTGTGGTGTGGTAGCCGAGATACTTGGCGTACTCGGGGTTGTTGTCGCCGCGGATTCCCCACGACAGTTGATATTCAGCCAGGTATCGCGGAATGAACTTGATTGGGTCGAAGGGATAGGTTTCACTGGCTTGTCGGGCTGCCACGACTCTGCTGCAGATGGTTTCTTCGGGAACCTGTGCTCCGGAAAAAGAAAAAATCGGTTAGCCACATTGACTTGATTCGGAGCCGAGCGTCTGTGCGACTTACGTAGTTTCGGTCGATCTTCTCCTCGCTCAGTTCCTCCATGAGCTCGTAGATCTTATTTTGCGAGGATACCAAGTTGTAGGCGAGGATCTTCTTGTTCAAAGTGCGGGGGTCGGAAATGATCATCGCCATGTAGCGACCGATGTCTCGCAAATCGGTCAGTGCTGTGGGCATGTTGCCATCACCAATAATCTCATCGTTGCCGGATGTCATGGCGTAGTCGACGCGCCCGGAGGGGAGGCGGGGGTAGGCGAGCTGGTACCACCAGCCGACGTCAACGACGGTGTAGGGAAGCCATAACTGGCGGATCTGGTTGTAGACGATTTCTTTCTATGCGTAGTAAAAGCCTGGTCAGTCCACTGACCCAAAGTACCGTGGCACATTCCTCATACCTCATCACGCAACCACATGATACCGCCCGGTGGGCAAACGGTGATGAAACCACATGGCACGAATCGCTTCACACCGGTCTTTTTAGCTGCTTTGGCGAGAGGAATCTGATCCTGTTGTTCGGCAGGACCGACGCAGCTGATCACCACATCAATACCAGCCAAGGCCTCGATGAGCTGCTCCTCTGGGGCCTTCAAGTCGCATTTTCTAATCTGGCATCCGCGGTCCTGGAGGCGCGTGATAGCTGGCTTTTGGGCCGAGATAGGGCGAACAAGAGCGATGACCTCCTGTTCAGCGAAAAATAAAACAATTAGTCTGGGGTCAATTGACAGCCCTGGAAGCTGAGCTTACAAAGTTACCGGTATCCAACAGCCCGTTGGCGATAGAGCCTCCGGTTTCACCCGCTGCTCCAACGAGCAAAACCTTGGTGGACATAATTATTCAGGTTATTCAAAATGGAGGTAGTAGGGGGTGGGGGGGTTATAAGATAGGTAAGATTTGAAGATGGAGGGGAAGATCAAAAAGGAAGAGAGAAAGAGGAGCAGGGATTGGGTAACAGGTTTAGGACCTGACGACGTTATAAATTCCCAAAGGCTCAACCCACTTTCTCATCCGCAGCGGTGGGTCAGTGGATGTCGTTCCCCTCGTTTTGAGGGGGAAGTTTTTTTCTTCGTCATTATCGTTCATTACATATATCTTAGTGACCTTGGGACATATAAAGCACTTGGATTTGGTTTCTATTATCAATTTCCATCGGTATAATATTTGTATGGAATCCCCTTCTCCTTCACGGGCCGGTGATTCGGGGAAACCCTAATAGGTCGGCGGCGTTACGTCATATGTTACGGCTTCCCGGTCAAAGGAGAATGGGGATAATAATGATGTGTGGTACTCCGTATACACAGATTGTATATACATAAAGGGTACATTTGAACCGAAACACATGTGTCTTTCCATCTGATCAGACGACCAGGAGACCACGGACACGGACTGCCTCTTTAGTCGGACCCGAATGTACCTGGAAGATCCCGTCAATCTTGTAGCTAGCAAAGGCCCCTTTATACCCCCTTGTTCGCCGTGCAGAATCTTGAATCCCCACGTCACAAATCCCGATCTGCGTCTCTCAGGTCAGGTTTCACGCAGTCCACCCCGTGGATGAGAGTGACGAAATGGCAAGGATTAGTCATGGTTTGGGTTTCATTGGTGGCGCAGCGCCTCTCAAAAAAAAACCGGGGGCTTGTGGGAGGACATTGTGCCAATCATCGAGGATATATGGAGAATTCCAAGGGTTCCTATATGTTGGATAGTACTACAATACCTAGTACACGGGCTTTGTAATTGCTTGTGACCTCCCCAAGACCGGAGCCTTGTGAGCGTTCCGAATGGATCACAAATGATACCCTTGTAATGAGCCAAGAGGGGCCAGCCACAACCGGAAGATCTGTACCTGGCGTGTTTTCCCCTCCTTTTCCCACGGTATCAAAAGTTCATGAGCCTTGGAACACATTACTTTCGTTGTTCGCCCGCATCAATCTCTGGATTTGGTGGGGTAAGGTTGCTCGAGTTTGGGGATTGGTCCTAAAGAGGTAACTGAATGAGAAGATCTCGGGTCCGTCTGGTATTTTTCGCGGGGAACGCAGCATGGTGAGAGGGCCTAAGCATGGTGATGTTCTAGGCCTGAAATCCTTTGGACCAATGTCACCACACCGAAGATTGATCGTCGTTATGGGCCGTTGGTTGAAAGAAATGGCGAAAGTATGGGGAATGGGAGAAGTAGGTAAGGGCCAGTAAAGCAGGAGCATTTGGGCGAATTCAATTGTCAAATCCTCTTTGACTTCCCGAATACCATGCACTGCAGACCAATAATGCCTCATAGCAGATCAACCCCGGGTTGGACTCGGGCTGCTTTCGTCTCAGCCGTTGCTAGTCTAAATTAGGTCTTCCATGTGGCAAGATTATACTGCACGTGAGCATATATGTTGTAGGCTCACTTGGAGAGGTCGGCATACCTTCTATGGAAAGTCATTATAACAAATAATCCTTGAAATATCTATTTTGTTATTGCTTGGTTGACACTCGCGATGACTTGATGCTATTCTACGCTGACTAGAATGTAGCTTTTCTTTAAATTACTGCCACTGAGTTCCTGTATAAACATAGATCAATGCCAGGAGTCTTGGCGAAATCGACAAGCTTCTTATATAGGTAGACATAGAGGTCTCATCATCTTAGAAATTGACCTGTCGTTCCCACTCATAGTGAAGTCCTTGGCATATAAAAGCAGGGACACCCAACAAACCAACCTATCCTTGTAATCTTCCCTCTACTCTGTTTCTGCAAGGTTTTTTTTTTTTTTTCGGTCGCTCCCAGTGTTTTCTTAAAAAAGAAAACAACATCTGGTCCTACGCTCATTCGCTAGCATGGCGAATGCCCCTCCATCCTCCTCCTCTAGTAAGTGTTGAACAATTACCTCTCCTCATCCCAGCTCCAAATACAATGCACGTATTGATGTATCGTTGGAATATGCGGTAATATATGATCTAGCTGTTCTGTACACACTGCCGTCGCAGTGATCATACTGTGGAGAATTGTTACTGGCTTGCCAGTATGGGTGTATGCCTGGTGGGCGTCTGCCTTCGCCGGGCATTCCAGCTCGGGCCTCCCGTGCGCCCAGTAAAATTATTCCTGACTGCTATCCAATGAATCATATTGATTTGGGGCTTCGTTGGTACAGAACAAGCGCCAGGCCCAAGAGGCCAGCCGTGACGAGCTCGAAAAGGGCAATTGGACCATATGCTCATTAGTCTCAACCAGGCTCTGCCCCCGCCACTACCAAAGACCTCCAGCAGGAGGCAGAGGCTCTAGCAAAGAGGGTGAGTTGGTCCTTGAGCAAAAGACTTGGTCAGATTCACCTATCAGGAGCTAATACTAATTACTATATATTAGGCCCTGCGCCCACCCGCTCGATCGGTAAGCCGCATCCTCCATCTCTCCCTTCAGTACATTGCATTATTATGCCTCCACCTCCAGAGTGGACGCCCACTATGCCCGAGCTCTTTATGTCGAAGCCTGCCTGCGTGAAAGCCTGTCTGCGTAAAAGCCTGTCTGTTATGAGCCTGTTACATAATTCTGCTTATTGCTGCATTGCACCTATCGTTGTGTGACCATGTCAATGGAAGTGTTAATCGTTAATTAGACCAGACGGCTGATGGCCCGGCTTCTGGTGGCCCTTGTGACGATCTGGGAAGGATCGTACTTGCCAAACGGGGCAGGAACGGCCTGACGCACTTCCTGACCGTAGAGACAGAAATATAGATACCGAAGAGGGATATGCACGATGGGCAGTCAATCCTAGCAGACAAGACGAGAGTCCTTATATCCTAATGTAACAGCATCTTGAAAACTCCCTTTCATTCCGTGAGTGGTGCATGGTCTATCTTCTCTCCTCTAGGATTCTACCTGACATGAAGGCTCCGAGATTTTCTCCCTGCTCGAAAAACAAGGCCACTATTTGAGGATTCCGGGTTTCCCAGAGCTCCCTCAACCATGTTGAACGCCCTGGCCCACCATATTAATCAGGACAAAATAGACATAGGATTGTACCATCGAGGGGGGCGGGGGGGGGGGGGGGGGGGGGGGGGGGGGGGGGGGGGGGGGGGGGGGGGGGGGGGGGGGGGGGGGGGGGGGGGGGCGCGCGCAGCAACCATGTTTAACCCCAGGGCCACCATATTTAATCAGGCAAAAAATTAATTTGGTTGTTACCTCGGCCCCCCCCCCCCCCTTGGCCGTTCCGACCCCCCTTTGGCCAATCCAACCTGCCTGATAATTCGTACATAGACTGACCGCCTACTATAAACGTCCACCGTCTTCCTGGCCGCTTTTCCGACGATTTGCATATTTACTGACTTATTGCTGTTTGTATATTTGCTAGATTGCTAAGCGAGAAGGCTCAAAGTTTGCAAGGTTTGCAAAGGGTCGACTATATACTTAGGCTACTTCCTGTGACGATCTGGGAAGGATCGTACTTGCCAAACGAGGCAGGAACGGTCACGTTTTCGTACTTGCCAAACGAGGAAGGAACGACTATGTCCTTGTACCTTCCTAAGTGGTCGGACGAAATTAAGCGAAGACAAACGCAAGGGTATAAGAAGGGAAGAACGCGCACTCAGATAGTTTCTCTTTTTCCCTTTCTTCTTCGTACTTAGAATTTGGTCTGAATTGCACTCTTTTCTTCTGAATCGAATTGGCTCGTAACACTTCCTACTTACTTCTTCTCTATATCTTAGTTATTCTTCTCTCTTTGCACGTGATATACAAGGGATGTACCACGTGACGTGACGCATCACAGTAAGTTAAGAGTGACTTCTTATATTTCAAGGCCTTCAACATACAGCTTGTAGACCTTAGGCATTCAAATTGAAGAAAGAAGTATAAAATCGTGAGTAGAAAGGTACATCTTTTACTATATAAACAAGAATTCAAACCTGCAGAAAATTCAAGAAATGGCAGAAATAGCTGATGGTCGAATTGGCCAAAGGGGATCGGAACGGCCAAGGGGGGGTCGGCGGTACAATCCCCTTAACATTCAACATTGGAAGACCTTCTACCGTAAGTTCCAGGGTTTCTAAAATGTTACGCCGCCCATTCTCTCATCATTCCTTCGGTCCATTACTTCTTTAAACACCTCACTCCACTTCGTCAACATGGCCGAAGCACAGCCTCAGCCTCATAAATTTCTCAGGTCTTTATTTCGGTGCATTGAATACTTTGAGCCTGACTTCCCTTCTCCTGAATACCTTTATGCGCTTGGCATCCAAGCATTTGAAGTGCTCTTAGATCCAGATAAATGCGGAACTTTTCAATTTAGCCCGTCCTTCTTTCAGCCTCACCCTGATAGACTCCTTCAACTCTATCCTCCCCGGCCTGACGTGCAGGAACAGGAAGAATTTCTGAGACTGTCTCCTATTCCTAGCGTACAAGATATCATGAATGATTCTGACATTGACTACTCACCTGAAGTTGCTCCAACATTTGCGAATCTGCATCGGTATGACATTAATAGGTATGAAATGGTGAATGATGCGTTGGCCCAAGCCAGGCAGACAGAGAAGATCATTGACTGCCATATGACAATACCAAGGTAAGGGCCATCCCGTTTCTTCATTCTTGAACCTCCCAGAAAGCAGGAACATTGGAGGTAAGTAGGCTGCAAGCAATTCCATATGCTTCTACACTTCAAGATGAAACTGACAACTCATAGCCCACATTAAAAAAATGGCGATCCTCCTTTCGTGAACAGTCTAAACGACCCGCTTCGAAAATGGTGGCGAGTGATGAATCAATATCGATACATTGATCGCCCTCGCAAGCCACATCTGGTCATGACATGTATCTCTAATGTTCGTCCCACCAATACAAATCGGGGAATCACTATACACGAGTTGAAAGCCATCGTTTCCACCTTCATCCGTCGAGTGAATCATAGACCATTCATCGAATGCCAGTTTCATCCTGTGGGTGTTCACGGACTCTGCAGTTTGATGATAACTAACATTTGTATAGGTTCTAGTCTCGTCCTTCATGGGCGAAAAGCTAGGGAGGATTATTCAAGCCTCGGATGACGGTCAGGAGATAGTCTTACAATACTCGCAGCTTTGGAGTTTCACGGACGAGGAAACAGCGCCAGTGAAAATGTTCCTCAGATATAGGCTAAGTGAGGCAGTTGGTGGGTATGTCTGCTCTAGAGACGGTCAACAACATTGGCATGGAGACGCCCGTTCCCTGGATTGTGGGCGAGTGCGCTTCAAACTGCCTTCCTTGTCTTTCAGATAGATTTTCTATTTGTTTGTTTGTTTTTTGCTTGGTAGAACGCCACTTGCTTAGTTCGACTTGAAAGAGACAAAATAAACATACTTAACAAATATCCAAAACGACTTCAGATTCCTCTCTGGCCGTTATTGTACGAATTGAAAGGTCAGAAAATTACCCAGAAAAGGCTTCAACATCCATCTAAAAAAGACCCTTGGAAAGACGCCACTGAGGAGGAACAAAGGATTTTGTATTTTCTTTAAACAAACAACCCAATACGTATATAATAGCATTCAATGAGTCCCTCACTCGTCATATAACTTCCAAAAGGCTTCATAATGCTCACCCCTTTCCCTTGTAATGTCCACAATCTTTTCCTCCGTCAGACACGGTCCACATGGCTCATACTTGTAAGTCCTAACATGCGCGCCCTGGAACAAAATATTTATTGTCCTCGTCCTCTGTTTCTGTCGCTCATCTCTGATCTCAGCCCACCGGGCCTGCACTTCCGCGAGATGTTTCTCTCGCCTTCGTTCCCCCATACGCCAAGCTGCAATCTGCTGGCCTATAGAATTGCTCGGCTCATGCACCCATCCCACGCCCCAGTCGGGGCATCCTGCAAAGGCTGTTTTATCTGATACAGCGCTCTTCCATTGCCAGTGGGTCAGCGCTCGAATATCATCCTTTGAGCGGCATAAATTCAGAATACTTCGGGGGGCAAGGTAGTGTTGGCGGATGTGGAAGTCCACTTGGTAGTGGGCGAAAAGAACGGTGGCTTCATCTATTGGCTTGCCTGACTCGGCCTCTGCCTTCTTGAGAATGGTATCGATCTTGTCGTAGTAGCGCTGTTGCTGGGTTGGGGTAATGTCTTCCCAAAATGTCTCATCGTTATTTTGGTGGGCTGCCATGTTTGTGTCCAGGGGAGATATACAATCATCCGATGCAATTTTGCTGGCGAAGAAAGGTGGGTATTCCGATATGATATACGAGCCTGCAGCAATATCCGCACTCATCATATATGGAATAATATGCAGATCTCGGCATTGAGTGCATTGGAGCGCATCCTGTAGAGCGGCACTTTGCGGCGACTTGGACTTATCAGCAAATGGACCGTATATGAGTGGCTTGGAAATGAAGAACTGTACAATATTTTCCTTAACAGCTTCTGTCCAGGTTTTTCTTGGTGTGAACTTGCGCTTAACAATTCGGTTCTTATCTCCTCGTGTTGGAATTCCCATTGTAGATGGCTGTATGAGAACACACCTAGTAAGGTCAACGGGATGATTGGAGTAATGTATATGTAGAAATTTGTGATCTGATTGAGAGGTGGAAAAGATGGGAGGGAAGGATGATGCAGTTTGGCATGCACTTATACAATGCATGAAAGGCCTTTGTGTCAACGTCATGGACAAAGGAAGAGAGGAAACAATGGATTCCATGATTCTAATTTAAATCAGGATAAACAAAGATGCTTAGTTTCAAGCCCATCGATTTGAGCCAAAGAAAGAAAGTAGAGTAGTAAACAATGAATGGTGAAAGTCTCACTGCACAATGAGATACCTAGATATGTATCCTATGCTTGAGCTAACGTTGATAGGAGAGCTGTAGCACCAATCTAAATATAGGAAATGTCGAGCTGGCTTTCCTATATGATTCATAAGCAAGATTTGCTTATGACGTGTGGGCGTGCAAGGTCATATGGGAAAGTCGCCAATTAAGCTGCGGCGTGACTGAGTATCGTGAATGAATATTGTGACTCTAGGAGATCATCGGGTCAAGTAATACTTGTGAAACTAGAAGTTTGCTCTATGATACTTTTGCAATGTAACTTGGATACCTATATGTTGATGTCAGTGATCGAGTATAAGGATTTGCCATCTTATTGCTTATTGATATCACTTTGTATAGATAAGCAGATGCAAGAGTAGATGCAACTAATGAAAATAGTTAAATCTTGTTATTGAATATATCTAGATATTCTCTGGCAGTTTGAAAATCCCATCAGCCTATTGTTCATCAATTCACAGTAGTTGTTAGATGTCGATTTTGATGACCTTCGTCGCGCGGTGCTTCTTCCCTTTTTCCTCCCCAAATCCATATGCATTTTTCATCTTCCATATCGTCTGTTCGGCTCTACGGACATCTGCAATCAACAAAGTCATCATGGCAGAGGCTTCTCTTGCCTTTCCGGCGATTTGCCTGACACTCTCATTCCTGTTCGTCGTTGCCGTCTACAATGCTTCGATCATGCAGCACCTAGGTGCCTGCCATCGTCGCATCATCCTCCCTGTGTACCAATTTATTGCACGCAATCTCTTCAACCGTAATCATGTCAATCAAGACCAAGACCGCATACCTTTGGCAGAGTACGAGCCAATCAACCCCGATCCCAACGATGAAGACGAACAACATCCTCACCTGGCGACTCCAGCACGCAACCATCATCGACCCGGCGAAAACAATGTTCTTGACACAGCCAATAGAATCGCAGAAAGCGATGACGACATTGGAAGTGGCAGTCCCAATTTGAGAGACTCAAACCGTCCGCAGCACCCCAACTTTGCGGATAGAGCCCAGTTCTCCACGGTCAGTCCACCCCCCGGGTCTGTCGACGATTATGGCTCCGAAGAGTATGACTCCGATGAGTATGGCTCTGACTGGTCCGACTCCGATGACGAACACTACCCAGTCGACGATATCCCCATCTGGGAATTCCAAGTCGAACGTCCCTATTTTAACGTTGAGCACCCGGAACAAGGGGGACCGGTGGTTTGGTTGGATGAGGTTGTCGAGTGGACATCCCAGGGAATCTTCGCCTATGTTACTCCCGAGCTTGACGAATAAGGGGCTAGTGAGCATATGAGGCTTTGCAGGACAGATACTCCGTACAGCATCCAAAGGCTTGGCGGAATGTCCGAGCGCATGATGAGCGGAGCGATGATACTACTTTCCTGTGTCGTAATTGAAGTTGATGTTTAAGAAAGAAGAGTTATTTTACCCCTGGTGATAGTTACATTCATGTTGCTGTTTATTTCGTAGCTCGTAGGTGTTTTGATCAGAGCAACCGACAGGGTCATATCGGTCTATGTTGTATGAGCGCTGTCACGCGGGGGTAGAGCGCATTCCAGATGACATTGGTGGGGTTAATCAACGCCATGCAGGGATTGAGCCATTATTCCCACAAGGACGGCATAGTCTCATAGCGTCATTGGCTCGGCAATCGCGCACAAGCAGAAATGGACTGGTCGTGCCGGTGATGGGAAAATGCATCCGTCGGGATCTGGCATCGCTGGCACCATTTTACCGGGCGAGTCATTCTAGACATGATGAGGGGGATGTTGCAAATAAAATATTTTGATTCAGACTCGTCCATCTAAACTGTTCATCGTTACGTTCGTCTATCATCACATTCAAATCAAATCGCTGTCCAAAATTCATGCTTCATACGAAAGACCCTGCTTTTAATTCGGGTTTAAGGTGCGCAGTAGCCCCCGTCAACGATGATATCGGCACCGGTGGTGTAGCTGGAAGCATCGGAGGCAAGGTAGAGGTAGGCACCCTTCAGTTCCTGGGCTTGGCCTTCACGGCCCATCGGGATCTTATCGCGCCAGATATTCTTGGTGTCTTCAGCCACAAAGTTGGAGATCTCAGTCGCAATGTAACCGGGGGATACGGAGTTGGCGCGAGCAAAGCGGACCCATTCGACAGCAAGAGACTTGCCTGGAAAGGCGTTAGTAGAGCGACGGAGCCCATCTAGTCTGAATAACAACTTACAAAGATGAATGACCGCAACCTTAGCGGCATTATAGGCAGCCTGCATCTGGGGGAAGTTGACGATATGACCGCTCATAGAGGCAGTAGCAACGAAGCTGCCGTATGTGAAGTTGGTGAGTTTGTTACCGTTGGCATCGGTTCCTTCTTCCTTCTGGCGGCGCCAGTGCTCAGCGGCGGCCCTGGCACAGTAAAAAGTACCGTCGAGATCAGTGGAGATTACATCGCGGTAGTGGGTGAGGGGACCGTCGACCATGGGGCCCTGAGTCCATGGAATACCGGCGTTAGCAATAAAAACGTCGAGACGGCCATTGAATTCTTTGACAACGTCGTTCACGGCGTTCTCGACAGCCTTTGCGTCGGTAACCTGAACCTGATAAGCCTTGGCTGCAAAATAAATCTTGTTAGAATGATATAAAACCAATCACATTGCGGAAATTCTACGCACTCTGAACACCGTACTGCTCGGCGATCTCGGCAGCCCTTTCAATGCACTTAGGGTTGCTATTATACCACAGGGCCACATTTGCACCGGCCTCGGCCAGACCCTGAGCAACGGCTAGACCGATACCAGCGCCAGCACCGGTAACAATGGCAGTCTTTCCCTTGAGAGAGAACATGCCCATGAGGTTGGAATGCTCAGGAGCAGTGGTATTGTTGTGGACAAAGAGTCCATTTTTAGTCACAGGGTTAGCAGCCATTGTAGCAAACGAAGAGTAGATAGAGAGAAGATGAGAAAAGGGAAGGGGAAAATAGCAAGCTCGGGGGAGCACTTAAATAGAGAGCCTGTGAGGGGCAAATCAAGGAATCCCTAACTGATACACGGTGAGCGACGTGCTGGCGGGGCTATTCACTACTATGTATAGACCTTGGTGGGGATCCTCGCATTGTGCCTCAATGGCGCTAGTTCCTGTACATAGTGGATAATGACACTATTCAGAGTCGTCATTTGACAGGATATAATGGGATCTATCATAACTCTCTGCTGTTAGGTAGACCTGTTAGGTAGACCTGTTCAACACGGTCAGGTCTATTAAAGATTGGAGAGGCTATTCCCACCTGGGCATATCCGGCGGGGAAATGCGACGTGGGATCTCCACTCTGCACTTCCCCTAGAGATATACAATTGGAATCGCATCGAAACATATCGTTCCAGCTATAGAAGATCAATCTCTTAAATATTACTGACTTGACCCTTCTTCTGGGGAATGGCCAAGATGCCGAGGTCCTCCATTCCGACTCCCGATCGCGGACAGGAGTACGGAGTACAGATGCTTGAACTAGCTTTTCTGGCAATGATTGGAAACTGTGAAGATTCGAAGCTCTGCTATCAGTAGGAACCAACTGAACCTGGCCATTTGTCCACGGGGTGATTATCCAATGCATGATCACTCTACAATCCAACCGGTATACCATTAATATATATAATCCGGGACTGCCGAAGCCACTCGGTCGGAATCAAAATAGATCACTTATCCGAACAATAATAGCGTTGACCAAGGGCGCACTGATATTGTTGGTTGGTCGTAAATATCGTCAAAGGCGACCAGTGGAACGCGTCATGGTTGAACACTTTCATGGGTGCGTGAGCCATTTATCTACTCTGTAGTTATGACAAATATGTCTGAAAAGGCACCCTAGATTCCATCGAACAGAGATGTCAAAGAAAAGGTAGGAAGAGGGTACTTGGAAGAGCGATAAGTTCTTGTCAAGTATAAACCAGGGTTGGAGGCATTAGAAATACATTCCCACCACCAAATACTGGTCTTCAGATGCCCTACTGGCATGATTATATTCGTGGCGCTGTCCATGTTGAAACATGGTCGAAGGGGGTAGTGTGGCCGCCAACATTCTTTGCACCCGGTGGTGATGAATTAGCATTCCTCGGCTAGAATCAATGTTCCCATAACAATTGGCGCTCCCTTGATGGAATGCCAGTAAACTTCGTTGTTTCTTATTCCTGTGAGACTTTGTTGTGTTCCATGAGGAGTCTGTGAAGCCTCGTTGTGGCCGTTTTGATATAGCGATACTTCGCGACATCGCATGTTGACGACCAATCCTCTATTCACGGATGAGGAATTCTAAAGACCACACCCCCTTATTGTGTCCATACAGCATCGGAATCAGCCCAGTTACACTTTAGCAGGCGAGCATGCTGGCGCTGCCCGCCGTCATTGCGATAGCCGCTTGTAGTGCGGCCGTCTTCATTGCCGTTTCAGTGGTCAGCGTTGTTGTCTGGGTCAGGTATCGCAAGGAGCGCCATGCAATACGACTGGTGGGCTTTACGCAGAGACCACGCAGTCGCTTGCAATCTTGCCAGGTGGATACCTTGACTGAACTGAGCCGGGCAGAGGGAAGCGTCTTAAGGGCACATGGGCAGCTTCCATATGGTAAACCGTCGGAATGGGGACAATTAACGTCGAGAGAAAGTTTGCTTCGTCTGAAAAATGACTCGGAATCTTCTTTACCGGTCACCGAGAAAGCACGATCTTTCCGCAATTCCCTTTCTCGATCTCGTTCCAAGCGCCTATCACGATTGTCTCACAAACGCATGAGCTCGTTGGCCACATTGAGTGAATCGAACGATCTTCCGAGCCCACCACCTAAAGCATCAATATCAATATCGAAAGAAGACGTCCCACTTTCGGCGGTCGAAGGGATTCTGGAATTGCCAGCAGAAAGAACCCCAACACAAACGCCAGATCTCAACGAGGATGAAGCTGGGTTCCATCTAGGTGTGAAACCCCCTCCAGTACGAGAGCAGTCAGGTCTATTTCCTGTTTCAAAAGACCGTAACTCGTCTGGCATGTTGAATTCAAACAACATTGAAGATTCTCCTAGTCGTGTTCGCGGGGGAAGTATTGCTAGTCAAACTGCCGGGATGATGCCTGGTCACCCGGTACCTCCTCCTCCACCAACTGCATACCCTCCAGACAGATTCAGCTATGCTAGGAATGACTCTGTGATGAGACTTTCCTCTATGAGTCTGGATACCACCAATAGCTCAATTTTGGATGACGGCAGAACTGGTTCTAGGTCGGCTGACACCGATCAGACCTCACCCGTATTGCCCTCTGGCACGTTTGTACCTTTCAGTGCTGCCGACGTTGGGGTTAAGGATGGCCGGAGGAGCTTTATTGCCACAAACACCTCCATCCCGCCTATGCACAACTTCCCTATCCGCTCCTCTTCGACAACTGAACCTCGCCATAAATCTGTGTGCCCGTCACCTCGACGAAGTTTGACGACTCACCACTCGGGCGCCTCCATCGACCGTTTTGGTGGTGCTCCACGTCGGACTGACTCTATGTCTTCATTTCATCCCCCTTCAAGACATGCTTCCTTGCGGTCTGGGACGGTTGGGCGTTTGGGACATCAAAATTCAGTCTCGTCCTGGCGATCATCGGGCTCCCACATATCCTCTGTCCCATACGGCAATCAGTTCCGAAACAGCATCGGCTACGATAATTTCGAAATGGATAATGACCCCTTCTACGTTGGCTCACCCGGGGGCGGGACTTTGTTCCATCAGGTGAGATCACCAGGCAACACCAAGCCACCAAGTCCGATGCAGCGTACCAGTCTCTCTCTAAAGGGCAATCTTCCCTCTGCACTCAAGGGTGGAAATCCACAACGCAAAGGTCACCGACGTCAAAACTGTGTCCGTATCTCTATCCATCCACCCATGACATTTGGGTCATCGACGTTTTCTCCCACTGTCGAAGAGGAACCAGAAGACTTCGACAAGATGGAGGAGCTGGATCTCCGTGAGATCTCAATCAACACCCCAACAAAACCCATGCATTCGTTGCCACCAAGTGCAGCATCCCCTCTGTCCTCTTCAAGGCGCAGCAAGTACGGCAGTCGACATGGCAAGCCCAGTCTAGGCTCCCTCGGGCCACTGGTCGAGGAGCCGCAGCGTCCAATGTACGATGACAGTCCTTGCAAGAAGAGAAACCGTGTTTCATCTTCCATGGCCAATAAGTCTCCATTCGCAAACACTCGCGCTCTCCCTGAACTGTTCACATCTCTCCCTTCGTCTCACGGCACCTCTCTCACCAACACTCCCTCTCCCGAAAGAGTGCCCCCTGTATGGGAGCTCCCCGAGCCATACCACGAAAACTCTCTTGGCATTGGCAGCCCACGACGGTCAGCAGTAAAGGGGCCTCGGAACCAACCCGGCGTCAGTCCAGCTCGAAGGCAGTCAACTTGCATTTCCTTAGCATCCTCCCATCATACGCTAGACAGCCCCTTGGCCTCTCCCAGCCGCCTCCCTTTCGTCATGAGTATCACAGGAACAGAAGGTAGTGACTGGCGGAGATCCACAGACTCACACCAACGCATGAGCAACGGTTCTCCGGATCGCGCATTCCGCCAAGATCGTGCTTCAATATCTCGCCTGGATGACGGGCTGGGTCCTATTGGTGCTTCTCCATTCTACGGCCCCCGCCGGTCCTCAATGGTCCAAGACCACGTCACTATCTTTGAGGATTCTAACCAGCCCACCTCCTATCCTCGAACCCCCATGCAGCCCCCAATTGGGTCGTTCCGCACGCCTAACTCCTCCCCTACCCGTGGCAAGAACGGTGCACCCCGTTCCATGCCAACCAACCAACAACTACCGCCTCACATGTCGAGCCACCATACACCCCCCACTCCTACTTCTCCCCGCCGAGGCATGACTACTCCTACTGGTAAAGGGCTCGGACTGGGAATTGGAACTGCCACACCTGCTAGCCTTTACGATGGCGATGGATTCCTACGGGAATAGATTAATCCTGCTGTCTTTTGTGGACTTTGAAAGCGACAGTTTTCTTTTGATTTGTTTTGATTTCTTTTTACTGTGCAGTACCTGATACTGGCGCAAAAGCTTCGGGGTCATTTTCTTCTACCTGTTTTTATTTGTTCTATTACTTCTTATTTTGCTTGTCGCCTCATGTTCTGCCCTTTTCTTCTGTCTTTATGTTTGGTGTGTGTTTTATGAGGTTAATATTCATGAAAGAAAGACGAAATTATTAGTAGAAATCCAATCCAACCCTTCCCTATGTACGAATGTATCCTTGGAATAATGACCCTTAGTAAAATGAATTGGTAGCCTACTATGTAACTACTCAAGTAATTTGAACGCCAATCCTGCGGTATCTCATATCTTCCTTAAAACAGTCTGATCACAATCAATCCGTCTTGCGCCACTTCGTCTCATCCTCAACACCATTCTCTTCGACTCCATTCTCGCCCTCCCGAGCCCGAACAGTCCCAGCGCCAGGCCCAAGCGGGAAAGAAGGCGGCTCACCAGCAGCAATCCAATTCCCATCTGCATCAAAGAACTGATCCATATTGTCCGCAGTGATCCACCCAGAGCTGCCATCAACAGGCGGAGGCAAACCACCATTTCCAAGCTGGAAGACACCATCGTGCTCCTCCGCCGAAACGAACCGAGGCCCATCCCCATCATCCTCGTCGCCCTGGTCAAGAGGATCCGGGTGTAGGTTGGAGCACGCCGAGACAGCGTCGTAAAGCTGCTGCGTGGGTGTGTCCGTCTCCCGCTCCACGGGCTCTGCTAGCGCGGCGTCGGCGGGCAGCACCACTGTCATTGTGAGACATTCCTCTTCGTCGTCGGCAGAGGGCGCACCCGCATCCGGCGTCGCGACCTGCATGTACAGGCCCTGGACTTCGGCATCGGAGTCTGGGACGCGTAGGCGTTGGAGTGCATGCAGGGAGATCGAGGGGTAGGGGATCGACACGCCCGTTGATGCTGCGGGGGAGAAGAGCAGGAACTTGCTGTTGGGTGATGGAATTAGTCAGTTGGTGTCCTGGTTTTCGGATGGGAGGGAAAATTAATAGACTAAACTCACTCGGATGTTACCCAGGTATCCACGCCTGAGATTGCGATCTCCTTCTCGTCGCCGTCCTGCTGGTCATGGCTTAGGGCGGCGTTGTTGGTAGCTTCCTGGCCGCGCAGGGCATTCAGTGCTGGGGCGGCGAGTAGCTCGCGCTCGAGAATGACGATCTTGCAGCGCTGGCTGTGGTAGTACAATACTGGGGGTCCGGAGTAGAAGGAGCTCGGGGTGCGCGACTGGTGTTCAGCCAGTGGCACGAAGGAGGAGGCTTCGGGGGAGCTGCGAATGACCTCCATGTTGGAGTCTGTGTTTAATTGTAAAGAGGGAGAAAATTGATTGAATGATATGACGAGATGATGGAATGAAAAAGAGCTTCCGGCGCGCGGGGTGGAGCTTTTCCGCGAGCTTATGAGCCGCAGTTGGGATTGTTGCCAGACACCGCGTGGATCAGCACACTCACTAGCCTTTCTGCCAATTTGTCTATATAATTTAACAAATATACGGTGTATACAGTTACTATGGTAACTCCTGATAAAGATAAGTCACCCTTATCGCAGGAAGTAAACCGAGGGCGTGAAGGCGTAGACGAGATACAGATACCAAGTTCATCTTAATATAGATGCTATTGTGACGAGCAAGATCTTAAGAAGAGTACTTATTCAAGATGATCGGCATAAGAAAGAAAAAGCAAGAAATAGGAACTCACCTGGTAGATATATATAACCAGCGTCAGAAGCACTTTTGTTAAACACACAGTTGTATTTGATCATTCGCATATAGGAATCTTATATGCAGCATTATTGCCAGATCCTGAATACATGATATACCATATTTTCATAGCAATAACTGCCTCCAGATGATAGTCCATAGGTAGCTAGTCAAAGGAACAATTGTGAAATCATTCACCCTATCCACTCGACTCTTCTAGCACAACATAATCTTAGCACTGACAGTCAAAGTCCCGCTAGCACCACGGCGAAGCGCATGTCGCGGACTTGGGAGATTATAAACTGTTTGACAAGGCCTTCGAAGAGCCCAGCGCTGGAAGTCCGCCCGAAACATAGTGTATAGAGACATTATTTTAGAGAGTGATCCACTGTGCCACATTGAGAATTCGGTTCCCAAGCACTCCTGTGATGTAAAGAGCAATGAGGGATTAACTCTCTTGCAAGACCATCCTTCCTCATTTCACACCTAGACCACCGAACGCCCTATCTAGCTCCTCCCCATCGTTGTGCGGAACCATAGTCGGTAACTGCGAAGAGCCCTGGTCAGGGGAAGAACTATCCAAAAGGCTTGTAGGGGCATCGCCATTTGCGTCAGGGGAGGTATTGGTCCGGCTAGGCTGAAGGAGCTTTTCCTCGCGGTCGAGCCACCCAGGAGCGAGGCGTCTCTTTTCCGCTAGCTCGCGTTGTTTTATAGCCTCTTTCCATGTGTTGATCGCTTGCTCCGCGTTGGCGCGAGCCTGATTCAAATGTTGTTCGAGGGAGTGGCATGCGGCGAGGACATCGTCTGGATGAGCTGCGTGCTCACCGCTTGGGGAGACGACATACCGGGCCTTACCATCCGGGCTGTTTGGATCGATTGTCACTGACGGGGGTAGAGACGAGGGAACAGATTTGTACGTGTAGGGTAATGTGACGGAGGTGGGGAGGTTGATGAAGGGTGAAACGGTCAGTGGGACCTGGGCAAGGAGAGGGTGGGGACCTAGAACAGTGTTAGCTATTTGCATATATACAAGTGAGCATGATGGAAATACTGACGATAGGAGTCGTACATGGTTGAGTTGTTGAAGATGCTGATCAACTGCGGAGTAGCGGAGTCACGGAGATGGTAGCTCACGACCCCCGTGGTAAACAGTTGGAGCACAACCACAACATTCACATATTACGCACTATTCCAACGATGATCTACCAGTGATTAGATAGAAATTATGTCAATTGACTTGTCAAGGCATCGAGAGAATAAGACGATTAGGATGTTGTAGATCAAACTAGCAAATTTAGCAAAATTCAATTAGCAGAAGAACAATCTGCATTCCACATTCCAACATTCTCGCCTTTCCTAGGCGCCGTCAAACACCAAAAGGCTTTGGACATTGACGCCAAATCCACGCTGGCGCAACCCTTCCCGACCGCGATGAACAGGGAACTCAGCCACGACCATAACGCTGACATCAGCGATGCCAACTTCACCTAGGAGCTGTAGCACCGCACAGAGTGTATTCCCCGTGGAGAGCACATCATCCACAACCACTACCGAAGCACCTCTAGGGATCAAATCCTGTTCTATCTCAATCCTATTCTCATTTGAACTGGATGTCGAAGAGATATGCGAAGTAGACTTGAGGACGGAAACGGTGGGTGGCGGCAGTTTCCCTGCTTCCCGAATCAGCACCAAAGGCACATCAACCCGCGAGGCCAACGCCGACGCATAGATGAAGCCGCCGGTCTCACAACTCACTATCACGTCAACCTTGGCCCATTCACCAGTGAAGTGAGTCTGTAGCAGAGAGGTGCACAGGGCTAGCCCACCCGGCTGCTGGCAGATGTTGAGCACATGGCGGAATTCAACGCCCGGGCGTGGAAAGTCAGGTACTGGACGCACCATGTTGGCTAGTCGCTGGAGGTCTCCATCGATGAAGCGAATCAGGTATTCTTCGGCAAACCTTCTGGCCGCGTCGTTTCCGGTCGCGTCATTATTGAAGACGAGGCCAGGGCGGCTGCCATTCTCTTTGTCACCATGATCAGAATCACCGCCATGGCAGCCTCGGCGGGCAAGCCGTGCCGCTTTGCTACTGTTCACCCGGACCTCGAGCAGTCTGCTGCCTGGCACCAAAGGCGAGAAGGCTGCAACTGGCGCCTCATCTCTCATTCCGGTGATTAGCAGCACATGTACGTCTCCGGCACCGTTTACCACATTTAGAAAATGCTCCTCTGGCAACCGAGGTCGATGTCGCACTTGGTTCTGGAAGAACGCTGTCAACGCTGGCCGATGTTCCTCTTTATAGCCACGGTCTTGAAGCAGGCGGTTGAAGTCGGCACCAGTGGCCGCCGCGTATTCTCGCTTGGTCGCATCGCTAATGCTGACTGCGCGCGCCATAATCATTTTCTGGGTGTGTTCAAGGAATACCGAGACCCAGATGTCGGCGCAATAATCCTTACCGGCGCCGCTTACACCTGTGACTAGAATGACAAGCTTATGTTCTATGGGCGCTTTAGGAAGCGGGCAGGTGTAAGCTAGCACATTATGCGGATCCGAGCTGCGCTTGAGGCGAGCCAGGCGTGGCCGGTTCGATCCAAAAGCCTTGGCCGCCAGCGCGGCGTCTCTAGGGTCCGGCCCCAGGTCTGCGCCGTAAACTCCGCTACTCGTGGGCAACAAGTCGCTAGCGACCTTATATACCCACCGTACGGCGGCTTGTGCGACTTCGGTTCCATCTTGGTCGCGTGGCCAGACGCCAGTGATCACGCAGGCAAAGTCCCAGTCTCGACAACCGAAAGCAGTCGCATCGGCCGCCACGTCACTGATAGCTCCGCCACCTTGTAGCAGATGGAGATAGCACAGTGGCGTGGGGCGAGTCTCAACGGCTGCCAGCAATATTTTGGCGACATTCATTACGCCAATACTTTTTAAGAATAAACATCGCTTGAATGCTGATGTATTGGTGCTGGTCTGCCCACTGTGCATTCCGGACATGTACATATCGGCGTCAAACAAGCCGACGCAGTCCACGACTTGAAATTTGTCTTCCCGCTCGAAAAGTGTTGCTGCTGGCGTGGGCGTGGAGATGGATGTTCCAGAGGTGCGCCCGTTCGTGGAAGATTCAAACATGGTCACGCCAAGATGCAACTTTCCGAGGTCCCAATACAGATATGCGTCCATAGAATAGTTCCGAGGAAGCCTCGCGACTAATTTATCAAAATTGCTGAGCCTGCCCTGCGCTTCGAGATTGTCACTCAGCGGGACAACCCAATTTCGAATCGAGAACATCGGAGCCGCGTAAGCCTGGAAAGTAACGCTGACTACGATACCGAAGTTGGTTCCAGCGCCTTTTATCGCCCATAACAGATCGGCTTCGTTTTCTGGGCGCACGGCACCGGCCGGCCAGTGTTGGCTTGGTACACGGCCGATGCAAAAGGCTTGGCTAGAGTCGACGCTGACCATCACGGCACCGACGATGGCGTCACACGCGAGCCCATATATCCTAGCCAGGTGCCCGATGCCGCCTTGTAGCCATAGCCCCGCGCCTACACTTGGGCGGGCCCCTAAGGGCACTGTCATGCCGGCTGCCATGGTCTTGCGGACAATATCCCCTACCTTGCAGCCCGCCTCGGCGACAACCAAGGGAACAGAATCAAGACCAGATTCTAGTCCACTATCCTCGGCTGTGATAATATGCACTTGTTCAAAGGCGCTCATGTCGACCGAAACGACGTTGGGACATAGGCAGTGGCCGCTGTGACCCCCGCCAACGACGGTCAAATTAGCACCGTGCTTCAGAGCCCATTTAACACACTGCTGAATTTGTCGTACCTCTGTCGGCCTAACAGTCGAGGCGGGGTGGTGAAGACGAGCCTCTCGGTTCTTAACAGCTTTGCCTCCTTCCAACAATGGCACCTGTGCTGTCAGCTCCGGCAATGCGGTCGCATGGTGGGTGAAGGCCGACATGATATTGGGCGAGCTGAATAATAGATGGTCTGGGTGAGCCTCCGAGCGGCCCAAGGCGCGGCACACCTCACGCCATTCAATTCGGGTATCCTTGTCCGCCTCCACATCCCGCATGGCAAACCCTGCGATGAAAGGAGCAAAAGAATCCAGTATCTCATCACTATTAGCCACGCGAACAGCTCCCATAGGAAAACAAGCGGTACGATGGCACGCTAATCCGTCGAGGTGTAGGGTCAAGTCGCGATGAAAAATCACCACCATTCCTCCTTCGGGTTGCTTAACCAGCATTTCTAGCGCTTGTCCGATGAACCTGGTTTTTGGCATCATGTCATGCATGCCGTGACAAGATAGGATAACATCAAACTTTTCGTCCTTGTCACGCGTATCAGTACTATTCGTGTCGCTCTCTACACCGAATAGAATTCGCTGGACATCAGGCGAGCTTTCCAGACAGGGCAGCGGGGACTCTGCCTCTGATTTCGAGCAAAGCCATTTTTCCAACCCTGTAGCAAGCAGGCCATTGGGCTCGAATGCAGTGTATTTCCTGATTTTCCGCCTCAGACGACCAGACAGATATCCAAATACGCTCTTTGAGCCGGGTCCTATTTCTAGCACCGATATCTGGATATTCGAGTCCAAGAGAGGAGCGAGCAGCCGAGAGATCTGAGGGATGATGAAGTCTTGGTATGTTGGACCCTGCAGTAAGATATCGAGGCCAGCGTTGTACTGGATGTCTGATAATGGCTGATTCGGGGATGACCCCGTTGCGGTGGCCTTTTGCCTAAGAGCACACTTGAGAGATTCGAGAGTGGCCATGTTGATTCAGCATGGGTAAAAATGATGAGAATGGTTGGTTTGAACCTCGCGGCATTGTACTTTTTGCTACAAGCAAACTAGTTTGTGGCGGGAGTTGGCAGCTGTGAAAGCCACTTCTGGCTAGGTGCAGGTTGGAGCCTGAGCTAATGCTGCTGGTCTATTTTGTCACAGATACCATCTCATGCAAGACACAGGCAGCATTTGTTCCTATGATAGCAGCAGGCACAAGATTAACTATTTTGGTAGGTAAGTTATTTACTACTAATGACATCAAATGATGCATTTTTGTCTAGGTCTCTCCAGCTTTTATGGCTTAGGTAGCGCAGCATTATTGCCCAGCACTTTTGGAATACTATGCTGGCAACCCTTGGTCTTTCCATCAATGTTGTGGCTACATACATGATACATATATGTAGGTAATGGGTCTTATATTCACACAGCCTACCTCTATCTAAAGAGTGGTCTCAGACCGGAGTCTGACCCACACCCACAGTGGATCAGCACTCCTTCCGCAGACGACCAGGGTGCACACCCGACCAGAAACAACTCCGAGCTGAGGAGAAGAGGGACTGGATTGTGCTCTTGATTCGATGATACGAACTCAGACGAGACGCTTCTCAGTTCTGATGGGAAACTTATCCAATGCGTAAAACCACTGATGGATGTTTACTATTTCTGGGATGGCCTCGAAAGATAGACCCCGCTCGAAGGCGGTCGCTATGAAAGCGGTATGTCCCCCTTTCTGCCAGTTGTATTGATGGTCGGTTGCAACTATTACAACCTACACAGCTCAAGAAGCTTCATTCTTACAGTCGTATATTTTAATCGAGCCAGAGTACATCTATGGAACAAATAAAGCAATATTCTTCCAAACTCATTTCGAACGCCTGCTACTCCCCTTTCCGTAGACAAGACTCTCCGTACTGCTGGTATCCTGCTCCTCGCAATTAGACCGACCCCACGTAACCTCCATTTCCGTGGTCATGGTGATCGCATTATCGGCTTTCAATTTCGTGTGACTGTGGCCGATCTCGCCATCTCCAGCTTCAACGATGACGGTCTGGTCGTGCGTACGGCGTGTGAAGTTTGACGTGTCCTCGAGGTTGTAGCCCAACCGGTTACTGGAGCTGTTATACCGGCCGGTGCGGCTGGAGCCGAAGAGCTTCGGGACCAGCCGGGTAACGAGCGGCTTAAACGAGGGAGCACATGCAGCGATAAACGATAATCCAACTTCGATAGTGGACACACAAAAGAGGACCGAGTGCGTGTAATTCTCCGGCATATGACGGTCGAAATGATCAAGGAGAATGAGTCGTATAATACCAGCCGCCACAGTTCTTTATTTATTAGTATCAGATTGATGAGGAAAGAAGACGTTCGGTTGAGCTACTCACAGAAGACCCAAGGACAGAATGCCAATCAGCATCAACTTCTGTCTCCGTTGCATCTGCAGACGATATACGATCCAGGTGGGTAGTATTAAGGCAAGGATATCCGTGAGAATGGAAACTGAGCCCGTGCCGGTGACGAAGTTTGCAAAGTCAAGACATTTCGCATTGGGATATGAAGCCGCATCCCAATTAGCGGCAACTGGGATGCAATGCAGAACAGTGATAAAGAATGTAGTGATGGCGGCGATACCGTTGAAAATTAAGAGACCCCAGATGGCCAGGCGTACTGAGTGTTTCTGGCCGGTTAGACGAAGCAGGAAGAGTAGGATGGAGGTCTTGACGAGGGCTAAAATGGGATTGTAGAGGAGTTCGGTCTATTTCGTTAGCAAGCGGGAACAAATATGCTGAGAAAGGATATATTCCACCCACCGCGTAGGTATATTTGCTGCCGAGAATGGCGGGATAGTCATTCGGTATATCCCAGACGTTATATCCAATGTATGTATAAATGATCACTAAGAGATGATTAGCTTCATGAGTTATATATGCGCTGGAGTATCCTTGCTGTTCATATCCTACCTTTATAAGACGTAAATGTCTCTGCCCAATACATGATCTGCCTCTGTCAATCCTCCGGGCACTTTCTTAGAGTGGTTGCGGTACTCACTATCGCGAGACAAATAACCCAGTCATCTATTCTCTATTAATTTCATGGAACCCACAAACGAAGAGGAATTGGATCATTGAACTGACCTGCGGCAAACGATTTCGTCAACGTGCGGCTGTAAAGCCGTAGAGCCACAGCTGCACTAGCGAAGCACGGAAAGGCAAAGATCAGGCCGATGGCCTGCGATTGCAAGTTATCATTAGAACCCATAATCTCGCCTAGTAATCATCTCGTAGACAAAAAAGCAGCGCCCGTCACCTTTTGTTTTGACAAGAAGAATCCGACTCAGCTGGGCAGTGCGCCAGTTTACATTAAGTATAAGCAACATCCCTGCAACCGGCATCAAACTCTCACTCGCATATATTAAACTGCATCGCCCGAGAAAGTAACTTTCGCACGCCCTTTTATCCCTGTGAAGCTTACTGAGCACACAGTAAGGCCTCGGGTGCGGAGTAATTGTGATCCAATTAGGCCGTCTTCTCTATATTATATGCCTAGTTGCGGTCGTGGAGCCTTGCAATAGACTAGCGTATGGCTTACGAGCTATTATAATTCAATGCAATCAAGTTAGTCAAGTTTCATGTAAAGACTTAGGGCCTAGGCTGGGGAACTATATTGGGGGCCAAAATCGGCCTCACTTAAACTAAAGGTATCAGAAAACTGATTTGACGAACGAACACATTGCTTTTATACCAAATATGTCAGTATCTTTGAATCAAATCGGAGAAACCCCAGAAATAGAGAGCACTTTCTTGATTTTGTGTTTTGTGGGAAGCTAGACGGTGGTAAGCGAAATAATTGCGCCTAGCTGGCTAACTTATGCAACTAGTCACTTAGTGTACAATGGCTTTCATCGCATCGGCTATAGCACCAAAAGAATAAATTGACCGAGATATTTTAATCAAAATATAGCGCCACAAGCCCGATAGTCGCGAAAGCTCTTATGGCTCTGTCGTTCTCGGGTCCCTCGTGCCCCTATAGAAGATATATTTAAGCAGCACTTTTGTCCACATTTTTAGCAGGGAGTTGGTCATATCGTTTGCCTTGACTCGTTAGCCCTTTTCTGTCTCTCTTTCTTTTTGATTCTTGGAATTGTCTTGCTAAATTTCCGATATGAAGGGCATGTGGGGAGTTACTCTCCTCGCGAGCACTTCGCTCGCTCAGGCGATATCGACCGCATCACTCACAGAAGCAGCAACTACGGTGGTGGCCACGGCCAATTCGGCACCTTCGTTATTCCAAAATGAGGAAGTGCAGTTGACCGAAGGTGTCCTCTCTGATGTGTCGGCGGCATTGCAGAATAGCACGGTCGCTAACATGTTCGCATTTGCGAGCAACTCCACGGTACTCAAGAGGAGTGCTCATCGTAGCTGCAAGCTAATGCCCGGGGACTCCTGGTGGCCGGTGGCTCCAATTTGGGACATCTTCGATATCTTGCTTGGCGGCAGCCTGATCAAAGCGGTGCCCCTGGCATCCTACTGCTATCCAGACTGGCCGCAGTACGATGCCGCCAAGTGCGCAAGCGTCACAGCTGACTGGCTCAGCTCGGACCTGCATATGGAAGATCCTACCTCGGTGATGTCGCCGCTATACCAAGGCCGCTCGTGCCTGCCATCACCGTTCAACTATACTGCCAGCTGCACGCAGGGCGCATATCCGACGTATGCAGTGAACGTATCCACCGTGGCTCAGATCCAGCTAGCGGTCAACTTTGCCCGTAACTTGAACTTGCGACTAGTGGTCAAGAATACTGGACATGATTTCAATGGCAAGTCCTCCGGCAAGGGTGCTCTCTCCATTTGGACCCACCACCTCAAGGACAAGGAGTATCTCCCGAACTTTAAGGCTGCCAATGGCTATGTTGGTCCGGCCATTAAGTTTGGCTCCGGTATCCAAGTCCATGAGGCTTATGAGTTTGCTAAGACCCTCGGCCACTCGGTTGTTGGCGGAGAAGCTGTCACTGTCGGTTTGGGCGGTGGCTACGTTGCTGGTGGTGGCCACTCTCCCCTTTCCAGTATGTACGGTCTGGCGGCCGATCAAGTTCTGGCTATGCAAGGTAAGTCTCTTTTTCTATGAGAAATTTGTGCAAAGAATCTCCCTATTAACTCTGTTTAGTTGTTCTGGCAGATGGAAGATTTATCACTGCCACCTCCACTGAGAACTCGGAAGTCTTCTGGATGCTTCGCGGTGGTGGTGGTAGTACCATTGGAGTCGTCACCTCTCTTACAGTCAAGGCCCTACCTCAGCTGCAGACGACTACTGTGACCTTCAATTTCACAATCAGCGACACTCCTGGTCCGGACGCTTTCTGGGCTGCTATTCAGTCCTACCTCGACAATTTTGAGACTTTTGTTGATGCTGGCACCTACGGTTACTTCTATATCGGTGCTTCCGATGCTTTGATTGGTACGACGTATGCCGGTGATCCTGACTATTATTTCCGTATGGAATCCTTCGTCGCACCCAACATGACTGTTGCCCAGACGGAGGCACTCCTGGCTCCATGGTTTGATACCCTCAAAAGCCTTAATATCTCCTTCACTCCGTGGTACAACCACGCGGATAACTTGTACGTCTGAGTTCTCCCCGTTCCTTGCAAAATCTGTGCATCTACATCCCAGCTAAAACTTTCTTCCAGCCATGATGCCTGGGCCGTGGCCTTCCCTCAGGAATACGTTGGAACCGATGTCGTGAAGACTGCCTCTCGCCTGCTCCCCCGCAGCGTTTTCCAGAGCGATGATCTCCGCAATCAAACCTGGGCCGCCTACAAGGATGCTATCACCCAGGTATGTCATATATGCATACACAAATGCATAATCTCTCCCCTTTTGAAATAATTTCTGACATGTTATAGGGTCTCTTCATTGCCGGCTTCCACATCAGCGGCACCGGCATTGCCGCTGAGCCCCCCACAGACAATGCCGTGCTCCCTGCATGGCGCGATGCCCTCTCACACGTTATTGTCGGTTCCGAATGGAACTTCACCTCCTCCTGGGATGTGGTGGAGAGCTCATCGCGCTTCGTGACTGAGTGGATGGACGTTCTACGTGAAATTGCCCCAGACTCAGGTGCCTACATGAGCGAGGCCGATCTTGTCGAGCCGAATCTCCAGGATGCCTTTTACGGTGTTAACTACCCTCGTCTCTATGCGCTCAAGCAGAAGTATGATCCTACGGGTCTTTTCTTTGCCCTGACTGCCGTTGGTGCTGAGGACTGGGAGGTTCAGACTCTTGACCCGGTGCCTTACTCGTGGAACAACAATGGGCGACTCTGCCCAAAGTCTTCTTGAAGGCCCAGACTGTGAAAGACAGGAGCAACTCAATCGTTGACCTCTTGGGGCATTTAACACATATTTTGATATCGAGATGGATGTATCATAGTAATTTAGCGAACTGTAATATATGAACCTCACCTAGAATACCCCAATTAAAGGTTTATAATCGCAGGTGCTTGTTTCCAAATCAAGGGAGATCTCGTACTTTGATAATACTCCCGCGATACAGAACAGAGGCTTATTTATAGACGTAGTGCCCGTCAATCATTAGTCCCTTAGTATCATTCACCGCAATCGTCTACTATGACAACCCAACCGGTAAAAGAGCGGCCACCTTACTGTAAAATGCGTCCATTAGTGAATATGAAGTTGATTGCAGAATTGTGGAAGCTATATAACACACCTCTTCCGCAATTCTCTCAACGCTAGTGAAAGGATCTCGGCAATCTCCCGTGCCATATCCGACTTTTTACCTAGTAGCCACAGCCCCTTCATACAATCCTCGGCCTGCTCCATATTCCCCTCGAAATCATGACTGCTCTGCCCGAGAATAATTCCGTCGTACCGCAAGGACTCATCTGCTTCACCTAGAAAGACCATAGAAGCTTTGGTAAATGCTCTGATTAAAACTATCGTCCATGGCTCGGTCAAAAGCGTGCTCTCCTTGACAGCGTGGTGGAAGTCTGACATCTGCGGCACACAAAGGTTATCACTATTTCTGGTAGACGGCGTACCGACCCTTGCCAGAATTGATAGTTCCCTGGCGCTGTGCATCCTAATTCTCCTCGCCACTTGACCGGTGATACGAGTTGCACCATCCACGCCTAGGGAATTCTCGTCGATAAATTCTAGCAGGTCGGCAAACATAAGAGCAGCAAGGTTCCAGTGCGCAGAGATACAGAGGAACCAGCCCCGTATGCGCTGCGGAACCGCATGGTAGTTCTGCACTAGTTCATCGAAGAAGGCGCCATGCGTTCTATTCCAGTATTCATATAACAACATCGCCATGCGGACAATGTCCTCGATCTGCTCTTCAGGAACACTCTTGCGAACCGCGTTTTGTAGGTAAGACAGGTGGCGGAATAGAAGAACCTTGACTGGCGCTGACTTGATCACGTCTTCAGCTGCAGCCTCATAGGAACAGGGCCAGTGCGTTCGGCGCATCTGCTTGAGGTTTCCTTGCAAAAAGATATCGAGATTCCATCGACTTCTTCCGATAGATTTGTCGATATTCCCTGCTTGCTGGATCTCTTTTTGCCGTTCGTGCTCGCAGTCCTGATCCAGCACCACGACGGGTCGTTCGTTTATAGACGACGAGAGGGTGTCACACATGATAGCCATCCAGTAGAGCAGGCCAATTGTCCCTCGCTCTTCCGCACTCATGGCTTCAATGCCATGGGTCCCTTTCTTGCGACTGCCGTACGGCTTGCCGAGGCCCTTTTCGAGCACGTCGCAGCGAAATTTCAAGGCGTGCATTTTCCGAGCTGCTCTCTCCATGTATACTGGTGGTCCATCTTTGTGTATTATATCGTGTAACTTTGTCAAGACGGATTCGGTGGCAAACTCGGAGCCTTGTTCTTGCATCCGCTGTCTAGAAGGCCGAGTGTCGGGATTCCACGGCCTTTGTGTGAAGCCGAAGATCAGCTCGGCCCATGTAACTCTATACGACTCCAAACCGGCGACTTGTTGGAGCGCGCGCTGCGCCTGCTCCCAAAAGTGGTTCTGAAGAATGCGATCGAACTCGTCGGCGACGCCATTGGCGATTTCGTCCTCTCCACCGTCGAGACACCTGGTCGGATATTTCTCGCGGTGTCGGTAACTGCCCTGTGCCCACTGCGTAGCAAATGCCATGATTGCAAGGTGCAAAGCTTTGGAGGCGGCCTGGTCCTCGGCGCGTGTCAGCTGGAGAAGATTGGAAGATTGTGCGACGCGATCGAGCCTGATCGTGCGCTGGTATATCATATTAGACCGTGAATATCCCAATTCGGGTACAAGCTGAGGGGTATTTCGTGAGCCAAGTTGGTAGGGACAAGTCATATCGCTTAGCCAACACGACAGGTTATGCTCTAGCACATCGTGATATATTTGCAGCAGGTTGACTGAAGTTAAATGGGAGTTGGATGTGTTAATCATTTGTTGGTCGATGGAAAACGGAGAGAGTGAGCTTTGCGGGCTGGGCCAGTCGGAGGATTGCTGGTTGGCAGACATCCAAGCGGAGTCACTCGGTCGCCGCGGGCTTTGGGATGGGGCGGATCCGAGGCTACTATATGTCTGAGAAGCCTGGGAGGCCAGCCACATCTGTTGATACATTGGATCAAGTTCGAGATCCGAGGGTGGTTGCATGGAGGTGTTTGGGGAAATAGGGAAGTATGGTGGAATGAGATCAGACACAGACCGTGCAGGCATCAATGCGTCAGGAATCTCCGCCTGAACATTTTCCTGGGAGGTCTCGGGCTCGTTGAGCATGGAACTGAACAGCGTTGAAGTACAATCGACCAACGACCCAGACAAATCCACGTTTGCTGACTCCGAGTCCCAATCCATAACCTCCCGCGTATAATTTGGATCGAGTAAATTGCTCCATGTTCCAGGTCCGGTTTCAATCTGGAGCTCATTTGATTTCCATGGGAAGAGAAGATCTCGACTCCCATACCCAGAATGAGATTGGCGAGGCGTTCTCAGCGCAGACTGAGTCTGTGATCGGGCCCATTCCATAGTACAGCGTTTATTTGTTCTGACACAGTAGGAACAAGGTGATCGCTGGCCGTCAAAATTGTTAACCACTGTTCGTCTAGTCGGATCCAGGCATGGTGCATCGCATGCTCGCTTGGATTTTCTGCATTGGTCGCAAGAGCGGTACTGACGCCTGGATCTGGATCCTTGTGCAAGTGTCGTGCTTCGTTTCTGGACGGACATATCGACCGCTGTGGTTGATTTCTATTCCTTCTTTCTCGTTTTGCCCAGGGGCTGTGAGAATCTGAGATGTCGTCAAAAAGCGGGGAACGAACCACGTAAACCTGCATTGCAACGGATCTTCATATTTAGGGTTTTTTTCTATTTTCTGGGGCGTTCGACCCCGCATTCCCCGGATTTCCCTTAGTCCGCCGTACATCCATGAATGCTGAATGGTATTGTCTGTTTTTATCTGAAAGTGATGAGAATAACTCATGGGTTGACTACAGGAATTTTTGCAAGTAAATGACACATAGGAGAGGAGAAGGAAAATATATTACTCTCCACAACTCGGGCTAGCTGAATCTGATAGGAATTAAATTAATATGCACCAATCAGCGGCTGACAAAATGGAGAATTTCAACTGGACCCGTGACATGCTGACTAATTACAAATATACACCGGTGAACATCTTCAGAACATCCCGGTCACATGACCTCTGGGTAAATTACCTGTATCCCTCCTGAAACATGTGAAGGCTGGTAAATAAAAAACAATGTCTCCCACATCAAGCCTTACCGAGGGCTTTGTATATCTCAGCCTCAACTGTTCCCCATAGCCCAAGCACATTAAGGTCCACAAATGGCAGAATCTGTGTACAAACAATCCCCGCAACTCCCTTCTCCCTGTCCGCCCACCACCACAAATTCGGGAGCCCAGCCCAGTGCCCTGTGCTAGTCGACCGCCCTGTTGGACCGCCGTTGCTCAGCATGAAAGTGAGGCCCCAACCCTGTGGTGGGTTCCCAGCAACTGGGTACAGTTCAGGAACGGGGTTGGTCAGGTCCGGCTTTGCATCTGGGATGCTTTGACGGCTGTAGTTGGGGAACTGAGGGATCTGGTTAGAGAACATTTCGTCGACGGTCTCCTTGCGAAGCAACTTGCTGCCCGTTTTAGGGCACGTTCCATCATTCAACAGCACAGCGAGGACCTCTGCGGAGATAAGTTAGTGTGTGGTTTCTTGGGATCGAAGCTACCCGCGACTTACTGCAGTAATCCTGTGGCTTTGCAAATATACCCGCACCACCACTATTGAACACCCTGGCGACTTCAGCCTTGTTCTCCAGATCAACCACTAGAGGCGCCCGAAGAGGATGGTCTCGGGGCCTCAGAGTCCCATCTGGGTTTCGTTGATTCATGTATGCCAGCTTCTGACGCATGTCATGGCTTGGGATCATGGACATGTTCTTAATTCCAAGGGGCAGGAAGATGTTCTTTTGTAGGTATTCGTTGAGCGTCAGGCCAGTTGCGCGTTCCAGTGCGATTCCCGCCCAGTCGATACCAACCTGTACTCATTAGCAATGCGTTTCGTGATTCCGAAAGATCATACTTACACCATATTGCCAACCTTCACCGGGCTGGAATAGCAGAGGCATCTTCATATCTTCAATCCGCCCAGAGAACTCATCCGCGCCGATCGGGTACGACCACTGTCTCAGTCTCTCATTGAAAAAGGTATAGCCGAATCCAGCAGTATGAGATAAGAGCATGCGCAGGGTGATCCCATTCTTCTTTTCCTCAAAACTACCGTCTGGCAGCAGAACCTTGAGACTCTTCAATTCAGGGCAAAGACCCTCTGTCTGCTCCGCATCATCCAGCTTGAGAATTCCTTGCTCAACCAGTTGCATGCAAGCAAGACCAACCACCACCTTAGTACAAGATGCAATCCAGAAAATGGTATCGAGGGTCATAGGGTCTTCGGATCCCGCGCCTCGCTTACCCGCGGAGTGAGCGAAAAGTTCGTTGCCATCTTTGCCAACGACCACGACCGTAGTCCCAGGAATGCCGGACTTTTGGTCTTCACAAGCTTTGTCTACAATATCGCGGAGATGCGATTGCACCTGTGCATTTAGAGACATGTTGTTGATGTTTGTGTAGGGAAGGATAGGCGATTGTGGGGAAATTGTGGGGGGGAAATGTGTTTGTTGACGAGAGTTCGGATTTAAGATAAACACAGGGCGGAGACCGCGGGACTGACTTATTTAACAGTTCGAAACAAGCGGAAGATCGCTTTCCCATTACCCCGTGGTACCGAGGAGTTCGCTTAATTCCGGGGCAATACGAACCTTGGAGACTATACTTTGCGGAACCGCATTGCGGAGCCGAATGCGGGGAAGCTCTCAACCCTGGAGGGTTGTCTCAGTTCCGGATCCGCAATTCCCGGTCGGTGGGGACCAATCACAGCTGCAGTATATTTTACGATGACAAGTTGAGGATAGCCCTAATGTGACGTGGTGTACAGCAGTTTTTTGTGGCCACCATGACAAGGAGCTCTTGAGAGGCCAGATTCCAACTCATGATGTATTAATTCTGAGACCAAATTGGTGGACAAAAAGGATTGTCCCGGTGGCCCCAAAAGTCTGCCACGCGGACGCATGAAGGAGGGGTGCATTGCGGTTACCTGTACTCCGCGTCATGGGACTATGTGATGATATTGTTCCAATGTTGACAACATATGCTAACATCAGCAGTAAGGCGTGAACGAAGCTATGTATAAGTAGGAGGAGGCGTCCGGGGTAGAAGGCTTCATACATTCCAACAATCAATCTTCTTATTCAGTTACAACTACAACACTTTGTCATTCCAATCATGGCCAGCAAAGAGGAGACGGCCTCCAAGCCGAAGAAGTATAACACTGAGCTCACGGACTACTCGACTGTTCACACCGACAAGACTGGGCCATATGCGGACAATCTCGAGGTCGATGCTTTGGTCGTCGGTGCTGGTTTTGGTAAGTTGACAGTAAACGGTTCATCTATTCATTAGCTAACGAGATAGCCGGTGTTTTCATGCTCAAGACCCTTCGCGATCGCGGTCTGAAGACGGTCATTTTCGAGGCCGGCAACGACATGGGTGGCACCTGGCGATGGAATTGCTACCCCGGCGCCGGTGTCGACTCTGAAGTCCCCGAGTACGAGTTCTCTTGGCCCGAGGTCTACAACACGTGGAATTGGCCCAACAACTACCCCAACTACCAAAACCTGCGTGATTACTTCGATCACGTGGATAAAGTAGTTGGTATCAAGAAGGACTGCTCTTTCAACACCGTCGTGATTGGAGCTCAGTTCGATACAAAGGAGGGCAAATGGAATATCAAGACTGCCGATGGTCGCACGACCAAGGCCAAGTATCTCGTCCTTGGAACCGGCTTTGTGAGCAATTACACCCATCAGTCAAATCAAGACCTACTAATGAACCACTTAGGCCGCCAAGCGTTACATTCCCCCGTGGCCTGGCATGGATAAATTCAAGGGTATCGTGCACCATTCTTCCTTCTGGCCCGAGGAGAAAATCGAGGTGAAGAACAAGCGCGCTGCTGTCATCGGCACCGGTGCCTCGGGAGTGCAAATCACGCAGGCTTGGGGCCCTGAGGCCGGCGACCTCAAAGTCTTTCAACGCACCCCTAACCTCGCCGTCCCCATGCGCAAGCGAGACCTCACTGTTGAGGAGCAGGAACGCCTCAAGCCAAACTATCCAGAGCTGTTCCGGTACCGCGAGACCAGCTTTGCGGGCTTCCTGTATGATTGGTACGAGCGCAACACCTTCGATGACACACCCGAGGAGCGCGAGGCCTTCTTCGAGAGCGTCTGGAAGGAAGGTGGCTTCCGCTTTTGGGTTGGTGTGTACAAGGATAACTTGTTCAATGCCGAGGCCAACAAGGAGTCGTACAATTTCTGGGTGAAGAAGACCCGTGATCGTATCGGTGACCCCGTTGCGAGGGATTTGCTTGCGCCACTGAAGATGCCGCATTACTTCGGTATCAAGCGGCCGTGTCTTGAAAGAGACTACTACGAGCAGTTCAATCGGGAGTCGGTGCACCTGGTTAACATCGGAAATAACCCGATCAAGGAGTTTACCGAGACGGGCATCACCCTTGAGGACGGAACTCACCATGAACTTGATGTCGTTGCTGTCGCGACTGGATTTGTAAGTTCTTCTTGATACACTCATGAGACAGCACGCGCTAATAGTCACAGGATGTTGTTACCGGTGTCATGACCCAGCTCGGCCTGAAGAGCATCAATGGTGCCGAGCTCGAGAAGGAATGGATTCCAGGCGCGAAGACCTACCTCGGTACTACTGTCAGCGGCTACCCCAATATGTTCCACATCTATGGCGCACATGGTCCGACGCTTCTGAGCAATGGCCCCACGTCGGTCGCGGTGCAGGGCCGGTGGATTTCCGACGCCATTGCCAAGATCGAGGGCAACGGTGTCAAGTATATCAATCCCAAGATTGAGGCTGCGGATAAGTGGAAGACTCATGTTGTGGAGCTCAATGACAGGACTCTCTTCCCCACAACACAGTCGACATACATGGGTGGTAGCATCCCTGGCAAGGTTTCTGAGCCAGTGTGCTACTCTGCTGGTATCCCCGCTTATGTCAGGGAGATTCGGGCAGCCCTAGATAACTGGGAAGAGGGATTCGATATCGTCAAAGCCTGAGTGCCACTCAGGCTAGTAGAGAATTTGAAATAGTTGAAAGACAATTCATGTTCAGATAAGATCTCAGCCTTCATATTATTGTTCTTCTATCAAGCCTCTTTCGTATGATCCCGGACCAATAGTATTACTTAAGAAAGAAAGAAAGAGAGCGAACCAAATCTACCAACCCTGGACTTCCCAAATCGTCTCCGCGATTATCTGCAGTCGCTGTTCTGGGATCGCTAAATCCTTCTCCTCGGGCCGACTTGACTGGCGCAGAAATAGACTTTCAAAGGGGATGATGAGCGGATGGTGGGTGACGTGCGTCCGGGTTCCTTTTCTGGTAACCCAGGTTACTTGGGAGCGATGGCACCTGTTCTCTTTCTTCTCCCAGTTTTCGATTCTAATTTCCGGTCGAGAGCGCTCGATGGTGAGGGTTAGGCATCCCTTCGCATTGCCATCATCGGGGTTCAGCCAAAACCGGACGTCGGAATTCAATTTTGCATCTGATTCCGAGAACGCAACTTCGAGGGCAACAGAGGGTGATATGCGCTGACCAGGCGGTGCTCTTTTGGGTCCCCAGTCATAGTCAGGCGCCTTTGCCCGTACAGCTGCGATCGCAAGAAGATACACTGGTTCAAGATGACATGGGGAAGATATGGCCGTTGACTGGGCTGGCCATTCGGATAGCGACGGTCCACGGACTTCACCGGGACCCCTTAGCTCTACTGCTGGGGACGATGGACGTCGTACAGGTGGAGCTGCATCGTCGCTTGTGGGCACAGATCTGTTACTTGGATTTCCGCGCGGCTGAAGATCAGGGTTTTGCGCCTTCAATCCATGAGTCGGACTTCGATACGCGTCGACCCCTCAGCCTGGATGAGGTCGATCTCATCGAAGGAGTGGAACCCTCATCCGGGCTCTCGGATGCCCCCAAATTCACCGATATGACCATCTATCTCCTGCGGATCACCACAGTTCAATATTACAGGCGTATTATTCAGGTGACACATGCTTCGCGAAAGAAATTGCGCATCAGCAGTCCTGTGGATGCGGCTGAAGCATTAGTGGAGCTACAAAGCCTATTGAGCACTGCTCAGACTCTTGCCAGCGAATTTGAGAGGAATCTGGACGACCTCGTCCGATACTGCGATAAGAGGGTAAGTATTCAATCAATGGCCTTGGATTTGAGAAATCACTTAAAATCCAAGTAATCTCGTTGGGATTGCAGATTTTTGGCCGTTTTAGCCCAGATCCCGTAGACAGTCTCTTCCTGTCTCCATGCCACTTCGGAGATTTTCTTGGGCCTTTAGTACTTCTTTTACCGAGGTAGGGGTACCTCAGTTAAATAAGGTTACTCCATATTTGCCCAGTCCACGGGTGGAGCCTCGTACGAAGCGGGAGGCCCCACACCTCGACCGAGGTGGATCCATGGATTTGATAATTTTATATACCTCCAAGAGGACTTATCAGCAGGAGCATTCAGTATCGAGCGACCAACATGTCCCTCGCACATAAATGCAGTAGCGCCGAGTCTCCAGCAGCATTGAACATGATGCAATCCCCAGCAATCACAGAAACAACGCCAGAGGACGAGCGAACAGATTCGCTCAATGAGCCCACGCAAGATGTTACCAAGGCAGAACTCGGAATCAGACAAGAAATCAGTACTAATAGCTCGCAACACGTTTGCAGGGAATCTTTCCAGTGGTTATGTTTTGTCCCAGCCTTGCAGAGTCCCACGCATTATACCCCGGGGATGAAGTGGGCTTTGACCTTTATTGTGGCGATGGGAGGGTTGGTGGTTCCGCTGAGTAGTGGTGTTCTTTTTCATAAGTCATCATTTTCCCCAGCCAGAACAAGAAACTGATATATTCGATTTCAAACAGCCTGCCTGATAGAGATTGCCAAGGATATGCACACTACCGTGTCTGTGGTGAACTTGTCTATCGCTTTTGGTTCACTCTCTGTCGCCATCACCCCCTTGTGGTGGTCATACCTAGCCGAGCTCTATGGTCGTCGACTAGTATACATACTATTCTTCTTATTTCTTGGAATCTTCGGCATTCTCGCCGCTATCAGCCCCAACATCGGCATGTTTATTGCCATGCGACTCCTTGCGAATGCCTCCAGCGCTTCCATTCAAGCAGTCAGCGCCGGTAACATTTCTGACATTTTCGAAACGCAAGAGCACGGCAAGGCTATGGGCGCTTTTATGCTTGGTCCCATGCTGGGGCCCATGCTTGCTCCCATTATCGGCGGGGCGCTCACCATGCGTTGGAGTTGGCGCAGCACGCAGTGGTTTATGGCTATCTATAACTGGGCAGTGTTTGCAGTGATGGTATTATTTATCCCGGAGATGGCCACCAACCTCGAGGAGAACCGCGACAAGCACCGAAACGACGCCATTAGCCCCGGCAAGAAAGCCCTCTACTTCCTCTTAAAGCCCATGGAAGCCACCAAGCTCCTTCAATACCCTCCCATTCTTATTACGGTCTATTACACTAGCATTGTCTTCGCTACGTATTACCTCATATGCGTTTCCATCGAAGACACCTTCGCCTTTCTACCATACTCCTGGAGCTCGATCCTTGTCGGCGTGGCATATATCCCGGGTGGCCTGGGCCTACTTTTCGGTGCTATCGTTGGCGGCCGCTGGTAGGATTATATCATGACGCGGACCGCTCGAAAGGAGGGCCGATACAATGATAAGGGGGAGTTGATCCTCCACCCGGTCGATCGTCTGGGCGAGAACTGTCTCCTTGCGGGTGTTCTCTTCCCCGGAGCACTATTGTGGTGGGGATGGACGGCCGATAAGCACGACTTCTGGTTGGTCCCGGTAAGTTCATTCATTCTATCGCTTCCTTCCCCTTCCAGCTTCAAGCAGGGACTAATCTACTGTATAATAGCTCCTCGGAAACTTCTTTTACGGGCTCGGCGGAATGATTCTCACCAATTTCACCATGACGATGCTGACAGAATTTACACCGAAGAATTCCTTCATCGGCGTCGCGGTGAATAACCTCGTGCGAAACAGTCTGTCATGTGTAAGCGCGGTCATTGCACAGCCGCTGTTCAATGCGATTGGCACGGGTTGGTCGTTTAATGCAATTTGTTTATTCTGTTTGCTAAGTGGCGTTCCGTTGATTCTTCTGCGAATCAAGAGGGATGAATGGAGTCGGCAGATGAAGGCTACGCTGGGTGAGTGAATAGGAGAGACTTGTGAGGCTTTATAGAAGATTAGGGGATGGAATGACTGATATCTATCATTGCTAGAATGATAAGTTGTACTGTAGCTCGCTCTAGCGATTTTTAGCTTGTACTCTTTTCTATTTGAGATAATTTATTTTCTACTCTTCAAGAACTATGACAGACATACTGAAAATTGGCCCGCAAATATCCATAAACACCTTACAGCTGAGCACTGTGATTTGGAGTTCTGGCCAAACGTCCTGCAGGAGTCAGCAGATAGCTGTTTGCCTGGTAGACTATACGTCTCAGATGTTAACGCATCCTAGTAGGGACTTATTTTCGGAACCCGGGCCGAGCGATCATCGGATTCTTTTGCTTAGGTAATACAATAATTCAGAGCGCCAAGGCTACCCAATTAGGATCTCGATTTTAACGCGAGGGGGTAAGGCCAACCGCCGGGTTCCGGTTTTCTTTTTTCTTCTATCTTTTCATTGTAATTAGGCTCTACTGCAGTAGGGGAAGCTTAAGGTATGGTCATGACTCATAAGAGGCCTGTGAAATTCATATCATGGTACATCATGAGAGTGTTCTAGAGAGTGATCTGTTTAATATATTTCGTAATTGTAATAGAATTAAAATCACCGGAATCAAAAATACCAATAGATCAAAAGCTAACAGGCTCTTAAAGACATTGAGCATACAGTGTACTAGGATCCGAGTATTGTAGCGAAACTGGGTAAGTAACATACAGGGAAGTATCTGGGAGCATCGTAATTCCAGCAAATAAATGTGTCCCCACCCCCTTCCCCTGCAAATTCAACGACACCTAGAGCATGAATGCAGTTAGGTGGTAGCCAATGTGATGACCGAGCACATACAAAATTCCTCATTGTCTCTTTTCATTTCTGTTTTCTACCTCGAATCCTGTTTGAGGCTCCCTTTTAAAGTCCTGGAATATTAGACAGAACCATTCCATGGCCTTGTCGCTCCAAGGTTGTGTAGATCCTCCTTCTTGATATCTCGATCCATATTTGAGATAGCATGCCCCGGCAATATAACAGGTGTGTTGTAATCTGGAAGATAAAGAGTATCGTCTGGGTTATCCAGTGCACGAATATCTTCACCGGCGGCGGTTCTTGCGTTGAATATTGTGGTATTGGCAGAGCGATACCGCCATTGAAAGTAATAGTAGCATTTCTCCACGATTTTGGCTAGAATAAGTGTAACGGTCGCTCCGAGTACTGCACTCAAGAATCTTCCAAGCTGATTGCAGTCTAGATTATCTGATACCGTCATCAAAGCGAAGCTGATACCAAGGTGTATTGAAATGGATATAGAGGAAGACTAAGCTGAAAAAAATTGCAAAGCCAGAGAGAAATAGTAGAATAGACGACGTTAGAGTTACGTAGTACGTCATCTTAGGTATAATTTGCTTCTTTGTCGACGACTAATATGGCTTAAGTTGAACCTTGGAAAGTCTCAAGGATAAACCTTAGAGCTAAAAGTCTTATTCGCCTGATGCAAAGGGGATATAATAGAGAGAATAGAGAGTATCCATGGCTACTGGTTTATAATACACACTCATATACATCCCCTACAGTACCCTTAGGGGCCATCTCCTCGCTAGCACTGTGTGGTTGGTGTGATTGGAGGGGATGAGTGGAGAGGAGAGTGAGTGATATATACTTTGTCAGGGGACAACATTGCAGCCAGTTTGAGTACGATAGGAACTTGGAGGTTAATCTAAGATAAACTTGGAAAAACGACATTTTGCTACCTAAATGATACAAACCCTACGATATCTCTTGTTTCATCAATATTGACCAACCCAGCGCACCTGCTGATAAGAACCGTACATTCCAAGGCTCTCCTCAAAATCAGTCTCACTCGCGCACACTCGCAAGGCATGGTTGTTTACATGAAAAGATATCTTTGCATGGCGGAAGAATGAAAGCGCCTCCTTGGCAAGACAATTCCCTAACTAGTTAGATTATGCCCTAACACCTCAGGCACTTCAACATTTTCCAATCTGGTATTTTAACAAATTTCGCTCTTACAATATGCCTTGCCTATACTTTGTGTCAGTCATATCCCTCACTCAATTCATATGTATTTATAGAACGATTGTTGATCAAACTGCCACGCTGTGGGGCATGTAGCATATCAATTAGGGGGGCATTCTTGAGGGATTTGTAGTATTGTAGATCTAGCCTACGGCAGGTCTGAGCTGTAAGTTGCCTGCATCCCTATCATATAAATGTCCGCCTCATAAGATCCGACGTCGAGTGAAGAGCAATAGCTGCAGATATGAAAAATTTCTCGTGCAGACCATCAGTGCTGCATACGCAAGTCTAGCGGTCTAAGCAAATCGGGCCTAGGCTGAAAGGTCGAAGCCGAGGCCAAAACTGAACCATACAATATTGCTAGTAACGCTCACACTATGCAGTGAAATGTCGACATAATCGAAATCTGATCGATCGAATCTGATAGCGTGGGGTAAAAAATATCACAGTTGCCTTAGGCATCGAGTCATCACGTTGTCATGAGGCTGAACTTGATCTAATTCTTGTCTCTCACATCATCCAGATATCAATCATACTTTGCCCCCTAAAGAAGAAAAACGAAAGGAAACGTCTCAGATACAGTCACGATCAACGTTGGTGTGAGACCCACCGATCTTAGCCAGAAGCCGCTTATCCAACTTGTTTCTCTTTTTCCCTTCACATCTCCCCCAGCACACAATCACCCCCAGTACCCATTTTATTACCCCCCTGGGCACTGTTTTCTTTTTCGATCCCTTTGAACTTCGGCTTGATCAGTGTTCTATTAATCCTATACTCTTATTCGTCGTGGGAGCTCTATCCCGCCCGCGCTGAACTCGCCCCCGCCACACCTCCGCGCTTTTCTCCATCCCCCCCGTCTCCCCCCCCCCCTTTACTCCGAACTTAAAATTCAAACTACATTTCAATCTTTGTCAAAATGCATCGGGCTATAGCGCGCGCCGTGACCGAGAAGCAGCCGGTCCCGGAGATCGATTTCACACTGCACACGATGGAGGACAACACGCAGGTGTCGACAATGGAGAGGGTGGTCAAAGGTAATGCCGCAGTGGTCTCGGTCGCTTTCGCAAGATCTGGTAATTTGATCGCTAACGGTCTTTCGTGGCCTTAGAGGTCCAAGCACCCGCTCTCAGCTATCCTCCGGATGATATGTTTTGGTCGCCGGAAGACCCATCCAAGCCCAATCTCCAGTACCTCAAGCAGCACCTCTATCGTGAGGGCCGTCTTTCTGAAGAGCAGGCGCTATGGATTATCCACGCCGGTACACAGGTTCTAAAGGCTGAGCCTAATTTGCTCGAAATGGATGCGCCCATTACAGTGTGTGGCGATGTTCACGGCCAGTACTACGATTTGATGAAGCTGTTCGAGGTCGGCGGTGACCCTTCAGAGACGAGGTATTTGTTTTTGGGTGACTATGTGGACCGTGGTTATTTCAGTATCGAGGTAGATCATCCGAGTCTCCTTTTCGAATCTAGAACCGTCCTGACCATTTTTCCCCACAGTGCGTGCTCTATCTCTGGGCCTTGAAGATCTGGTATCCCGATTCACTTTGGTTGCTGCGGGGTAATCATGAATGTCGCCACTTGACGGACTACTTCACCTTCAAGTTGGAGTGCAAGCACAAATATAGTGAACGGATCTACGAGGCATGTCTGGAATCCTTCTGTGCGCTGCCGCTGGCGGCGGTTATGAACAAACAGTTCCTCTGCATCCACGGCGGCCTCAGCCCCGAACTGCATACCCTCGAAGATATCAAGGCTGTATGTATATGTCCCGTCCGCAGTTTCAAGCTCAAACAACTTACAGACATAGATTGATCGCTTCCGCGAACCCCCAACCCACGGGCTCATGTGCGACATCCTTTGGGCTGACCCTCTCGAGGAATTCGGTCAAGAAAAGACAGGCGATTTCTTCATTCATAACAGTGTCCGTGGTTGTTCCTACTTTTTCTCTTATCCCGCGGCATGCGCGTTTTTGGAGAAGAACAATTTGCTCTCCATCATCAGAGCACACGAGGCTCAGGATGCCGGATATCGCATGTACAGAAAGACGCGAACCACCGGCTTCCCCAGTGTTATGACTATTTTCAGTGCGCCTAACTACTTGGATGTCTACAACAACAAGGCGGCTGTCCTCAAATATGAGAACAATGTGATGAACATCCGTCAATTCAACTGCACCCCCCACCCATATTGGCTGCCCAACTTCATGGATGTTTTCACTTGGTCTTTGCCCTTCGTTGGTGAGAAAATTACGGATATGCTCATCGCCATTCTCAACACCTGCTCGAAGGAAGAGTTGGAGGACGAGGTCGACGTCGAGGTTCCTACACCTGTGTCTCCCGTTGAAAACAAGGATAAGGAACCAATTTCGCCTCCGTCAACGGACCCCGAATCCAGCGAGTTCAAACGACGTGCTATCAAAAACAAAATTCTTGCCATTGGCCGCCTCTCTCGTGTCTTCCAGGTTCTCCGCGAGCAGTCTGAGAGTGTCACTGAGCTGAAGACGGCGGCTGGCGGTCGTCTTCCTGCTGGAACACTCATGCTGGGTGCCGAAGGTATCAAACAGGCTATTCACAACTTCGAGGATGCCCGTAAGGTTGATATCCAGAACGAGCACGTGCCTCCTAGCCAAGAAGAAGTTATGGCAAAGAGCGAGGAGAGTCGTCGTGTGGCCATGGAGCGGGCTGAGCATGAGGCTGCCAACGATGCTGGACTCGCCACGGTTGCTCGACGGATCAGCATGTAAGTTTTCACTTGAGGCCACTATCCCAATTCCACATACTAATTGAAACCACCAGGTCCGCTGGCTCAGGTCGCCCCCGTTCTCGACAGAGGGATCCTCCTAAGGATGCCTGATTAAACCAGGATGTAGCCGAGATATTATGACACGATCTATGCATTTCTTCTTCCTGTCCTCCAGCGCCCACGCCTTTTGTCCCGACACGATCGATACGATACCCTATCTATCTGTTTGATCCTTACCCTCGCCTGGCGATTTAACCCGTGAATCCACAATTCTAGCGATAAATAGGACAGTTCAGTTAAACATGTGTGCTTTTTCCCATGTTTCGTAGCCATCAGTAGGGAAATAGTCTCAATGGTTGTAAACATATAATGCAAATTTATCTTGCTGTATCTCCATTAGAATAGTGATGGATGCCAAGCCTTGTTCCCGCGTCCACTTCCGCTCGACCAAGTTCATCTACCGAAGTGCCATCGCGATAACTACATACCCTACAAACCTCGCTTCACCGCGCGTCAATGGCTCCAAGATTGCGCAGTGCGCTGGCAAAGAGCCTGTCGCGTCCATTGGACATCAGCTCTGTCTTTTACTGCCCCTCATGCGCGATCTGGCGACGAACCTTGTCCTTGCGCGCCAACACCAGTCGCAGCCTCGACACACCCCATACATCTCGACGGGTCGCCAGAGCTCAAAATACAATCACAGCATCGGCTCCCCGGATATTCAGCACATCCACTGTTATCACTGCGAAGAGCGTGCCGCCGCGGTTCAAGGAGCTGCATGCCGCCCTCGAGGAAGTGAAGGATGCCGCCCTAGAACAAGTGAATCTCAGTCGGTTGCAATTTGCACTGCGGGGATTGGAGTCTGAAACGCCTCTGATCAGAGTAGCTGGTGAGTTTCGGGTCGTACGATCGGGCTATTGCTCTCTTCGGCATTAGATCTTCCCCTCGAAGAAAGCATGGCACTGATTTCTTCTCGATTTGGAACCTAGTTCTTGGATTGAACGATGCGACCTCTGCACGCAAACTTGTTCGACTACTACTTGCCGACCCATTGTCGCCGCGAGAAAACTGGGAAGACATTCTCGACTCCTACGATGCCGATTCATCCCGGGGACTGCTGATCAGGTATGAACAAGTCTTCTATCTGCGTGTTGATCCCCCGTGACCAGTACTGATTTGAGGGATTCGTTATTTAGATATGGCGAAATCTCACAATCCATCCCCAATGACCTGCTACCGACGATATCCGTGCCATCACCTATCCTGAGGGAAGGCAACTTAGAGATCCTAGTCAGCACCCTAGGCGTCGAGCCTGATCACGCCGCTACGTTCCACGCCGACACCTTCCTCGTCCCCACAGTTACCATCCAGACCTCGCACTCCGGTCGGCATAATGTTGTTCGGTATCCAGTGCACCGCACGATCGTATGTGGACGTGGAGTGGATGGCCTGCTGTCGTACAGCACGATGGTTGGTCATTCAGACCTGAAGAACGAGGCCTCTTCGGTGCGCGGAGCCATTGAACTTGCAGTGGCAGACCAAAAATCCACAAACGAGCAAGTGTCCCTGGTAGATGTCAACCGTGCCAGCACAGCCCTGGATAAATTCCGTGAATCTGTGGACAATGCTACCGACTACGAGCGTGGGTGGAATGGCAGTGGTGTGCAACCTCTCATCGATTGGCTTGTAACTTCCTCGGAAGCATCCACTGGGGATGCGTTGAATCCAGCACTGGTCCCTCTAGTGGAGTCCCTTATTGACGCAGCCGATGCTAGTGTAATCGCCAGAGACGCCAAGGCGCTCCTTGATCAAACCGCCGGCGTAGCGCCTGAAGAGGTTCGGTCGAACTTGGACCGAGCCGTAACTTCCTGGGCGGAGCGTGCTCACTCTGAGCTCCGCAGTTCCCTCGAGGCAGGGCTGGCCAGTCCACGCTGGCGCGGTCTTGCATGGTGGAAACTCTTCTGGCGCGTTGACGACGTGGGCATGGTTACATCCGAGATTTTGGAAAGGAAATTCCTTCGCCAGGCGGAGAAGGAGGTCATCTGGACCGTGGGCAAGTACCAGCAGGCTGGCCTATTAGAAGAGCCTTCAACTTCAAGCCCCGACTCGGCGACGGACTCTGTCATGCCTCCCTGGCCAACCCAAATCCCTGATCTTCGCACCAAGCTGCTCACCACCACCGTGCCATCCCTCCAAGCCCTCGCTCAGAGTCTGGTACTTTTCAGCGTGTCCACGACGACTCTGACTTCTGCTCTCTCCGCTCTAACGTATGTCGCTATTCCATCCGCAGGGGTGTACGAGTCATGTACCCTTGCCGCCGTGGGTTTGATTTACTCTATGCGTCGCCAGCAGAAGAGGTGGGATAAAGCTCGTGATTTCTGGGAGGACGAGGTCCGCGAGGAAGGACGCACGTCGCTGCTGGATACTGAAGCTGCTCTTCGCGGTATTGTGCGGGATGGCGGCAAGACTGTCGAGGAGTTTTCTGATCACCGTGCCCGAAAGTCTGTTGCAAGAGCGAGAAAGGCGTTAGAGGAGGTCAAGCTGTAGTCTGCGCTGTACAACATGGAACTGTGTACTGTATATGTATTGCCTTCTTGGGATAGACTTTAGAGCTTCAATCTACTCTGATTTGTATGATATTCGTTATGAACCCAATATTCCAACGCTTTCCGAGCTTAGGATCCTGTTGAGATGAATCATCACCTTTAATGTGCTTAAGTATTCCAATGTGTCTTTTGTTTATGAGAAACAAGCATCAGACCTAATATATCCTGTATTTTACATGACGCCAAGGAAACCATGATAGACGTAATTTACGCTTGTATGTCGCGATTTCTCTCACCAAAATAGTCCGAGCAGCCTCACATTCTGACTGACCCTATTCTCCAAAAGGTACATAAAGTCCAAATACGTTCTTGTGTCATGGTGTGCTCAGCCCGCTCGCCATAAGCCATCACCAAGTCTTACCCGCCTCATTTCCTTTGCAGAACCACATAGTCGGGCACAATGGACAACCGCCCAGTGCAAATATTACAGCCGCCCCAGCAAGACATATCTCAAAAGCAAAGGATCCCGGGGATTCAAGAGGACAGGTCACACGAGCTACAGTCCTTAGACCCTCCTGTACAGAGCCATGAGCAGAGAACTCCCACAATTGAGGATCAAACCTCACGTTTACCATTCCGACGTTTGCTATCAGCCTACCTATGTCTAGCGGCCATCTACTTCATCTCCACCCTAGACATCAATTCCGTGGCGACTGCTCTACCCGCCATCTCCCGATCACTCGACGCCGGGAACAGCATTACTTGGACCGGTACGTCCTATTTAATGGGCCAGACCGCGTTCCAAGCGCTGTACGGTCGGCTTTCCGATATCTTCGGCCGCAAGCCCGTACTCTTGCTGAGCGTGGGCTTTCTCGTCCTGGGCGACATCCTGTGCGGGTTCTCGCAGACCGTCACCTGGCTATATGTGTGCCGCGCGCTCAGTGGTATCGGCGGAGGCGGCATCAGCTCCCTCGTGCAAATCACCGTAAGCGACCTGGTCAGCTTGAAGGACCGTGGTAAGTACCAGGGCATGTTGAGCGGTGCTATTGGACTCGGGGCTAGCACCGGCCCTTTCATCGCGGCGGCTATGTTGCGTGCGAACAGTCGTGAGGGTTGGCGGTGGATCTTTTGGATTCCCCCGATTCTTGCTACGGGATGTATGGCTGTTATGTGGATATGTCTTCCGCTGAAACCGGTGTCTGGTAGCTGGCGGGAAAAGCTGGGGAAAATTGATTGGCTTGGACTGGCTGCGGCCATTGCGTGTGTGGTTTTCTTACTGGTATGTAAACCACATTCTTTGATCGGGGATCTTTTTATCTTATTTGGATTTACAGATCCCACTCAATTCTGGAGGGAGTATCTGGCCGTGGCGTAGCGCACTAGTAGTCTCCATGCTAGTCGTCGGGGGCTTCTTCTTTATCCTGTTCGCCATTATTGAGAAGCGCTTTGCGAAGATCCCAATCATTCCGCTGCGTCTCTTTGGCCAGGTACCTACGGCTGTCATCTACCTCCAAAGTGCTCTGTATAACTCCGTGTGGCAAGTTGACATGTATTTCCTCCCCATATATTTCCAGGATGTGCGAGGCTACAGTCCACTCCAGAGTGCAGCCCTCATTCTTCCATTATTGCTTTTGCAGAGCGTGGCCGGTGTCATATCTGGACCCGTAATGACGAAGCTGGCTCGGTAAGTGTCTTGATCGCACACGTGAGACTACTTTACTGAATATTGCTCCAAAGGTACGCTCCAGTGCTGTACTGCGGGATGGCGCTGTGGACGTTGGGCGCTGGTCTCAAACTCCTTTTTTCTCGAACCACGTCCACAGCGGTGTATGTAATTGTCCTGATTATCGAAGGGGCCGGCATCGGCTTTGTCCTTCAGCCTGGTAAGTCTGCCATTTGCTGCATATTATGCGATCGATAATAACCGATAGAAAGCCCTCGTTGCATTACAAGCCCTGTCCAAACCCGAAGACCGTGCCGTGGCCACCTCCACGCGAAACTTGATGCGAATGCTCGGGTCCGTGGTAGGCATGGCCTTGTCGACCGCGATTCAAAGCACGGTCATGAAAGCAGCGTTGCCCGTTGATCTGCCGGCATCGATTCGCGAGCAGGTTGACAGTGGTAGCTGGGAGCGGGGACAACCAGACACGGTGGGATGGGATTCCCAAATCTTGGATGCCAAAATGAAAGGTGTCCGAGCCGTATTCATCATGCTGGTTCCGTTGGTAGGCTTGTGTTTTCTCGGATGTTTTTTCATTCCCAATAGGGAACTTCCAGGGGATCCCAAGCGTAGCGAGAATGGGGAGGCTAGTCTGCGCCAAAATTCAACCCACAACCCATAGACCCATTTCGACCCATTCTGTTCATTAGCTCGGAATTAGGCCGTGCTAGGGTACGTAAGCCAGCTGATTGGCAGTCCTAGAGAGAAAAATCATTTAGTTACGGATTTTTATCGCTGAGATATGTAGATATTGGAGAAGTGACTTCTCATGTATATAAACTACCTAAAAATACTATCCAGAATTGTATGAATCATGCAGTCGCGTTCAAGTCACGTTTTTTCCTATTGCTACCTATTTGGTGGGTTCAATGGGCCCACGAATCCATAGCGGGTTGAGTGGGTTACGGCTCAGCCCACGGAGTATTCCGTAGGGAGGCCAGCTTTGGAACTTAGAATGTAAGAATCACGGAAACAATAACACTGAGGTCGACTTCCAAGGAGGTAATGGCAGGGCGTAAGGACATTGGAAGCGAAGATGCATATTATAGACGCCCAAGCTAGGCGATAAGGGAGAGCACCTTGATTTGGCTGCAGAGAGCCATTTTCCAGTCAACAGGGGGAACAACTAGCATAACTAGGTCATTTTCGGCGTCAACTTCGGTCCTCACGTTCTAGTAATCCGAATAGAATTTGTTATCTCCACGTAAAATATCAGATACTGAACTGCCGGTGAACTACGGAGTACTCTGTCCTCCTTTAATCATACCAAAAAGCTTCGCTGTTTCACGGCCAACACATGTGAGATCTGAGACATCGGGGTACGGGGGGATTGGATCGGGATATTGCAGGGATAGGAATAAATTGTTAAACCCAAACGGCTACTGTCTGAGCTAGTCGGACGATGTATCGAGAGGTACGGAGTCCTCCGTTTGAAGCTGATGTATATCCGCCGGCATGTCATGTGCTCTGTGCTCTCTATAATTTGTACTCCGGAGATTTTATATTTTATATGCCTATACTCACTCCGTCCTGATTGCAAATCTCCCCTATCGAATAAGAAATAGGGGCATAATTTACGGATCGTTTCATCTTCCCCTTAAACCAATCCCCGTCCCCAACGTGGGTCACCAAGACGCACCAAGACGGAGCTAGTGATTTAGACCAGGAACGCGCCGTTCGTTTCATCGCAGATATCGGGAAGTCCTCTCTTTTCCCTCGTGTTCTGGCATTCCCAGATTAAGCCAGGATTGCTCATTTTACTTTCGGATATCCAATCGTAATACAGTAGGGATAGACGGCGTACAGGGCACGCTATTCTTCTGATCGTGACGAGGCCCCCAGCCTACCTAATATCTACCATCTCAAGGGATTGGCCATGTCATTAAACTCAGGCCCCTCTCCAAGCGCTAAGGGGGATATGCGTTTTTTTCCCAAGTTTCCTGCCTGAAGTACTTGATCCCCGTGTTCTGCTCCTTAATCTGTTCCCCTGCCCCTCTTCATCCAGCGCGCCTTTTTTTGCCCTATCTCAGGGTTTGTCACTCCTTATTTATTGTCGCTCATTTACTGTTTCGTTCTTTATTATTTGTTTACAAAAATTCAAGTGAGTACTTTTGGTCGATCGAGAACAAAATAGAGTTGAGGCTGATAAATGGGCGCATCTTCAGGCATCGCCAACAGAAATCGTCAGAAATCATCTTTGTTTACTGACGTCAGGAGAAACGCGTTTGATCGGTAAGTCCGCATACCTCTGCTACCTTTTTTTTTCCCTTCGATCGGGGAAGGTGGTGTGTTCAGCCCGCAAGCAAGGGGTCATTCCTCTTCCCTTGTACTGGAAGGGGGCAATATAAGATTGTTTGACGAGGATTGGCTTGAAAATCTGCGATCTGCATGGAGCTGTGCTTAATGTCTTGACTTCCCCTCTAACCTATTGCTTAGCCTCAACAACCCATCTCTCGCACTCCTTTCTCTACGCCTAACCGGTTGATTCGGTACTCCTGGCGAGTCTGTCGTTTACACTTGTTTCCCTGAGATCATTCATTCATTCTTTTTATCCACTAAGCCCGTAGACGCGGCTCAACAATCGCAAGATGCAGGACATTCGGATGGCCTCCATTGTGATGGCCTGCTTTGCGCTGTTCCCAAGCCTCACCAATGCTTTCTGGCGTCTTCCTTGCCGTGGAAGAACTGGTCTCGCCCGGCTGGACCCCCTTGTGGATCCGGGTACGGTCTCATCTCATGCCCACGCGGTTCATGGAGGTGGAAGTAAGCGCGCATTGTCAAGATGGGATCTTCATCTACGGATGTGCTAACTTATGGTTAGGCTTTGGCATGAGCTCGGATGAGGCCTCGCTCCTCGAGTCTGATTGCACCTCGTGCGCAGTGACTCAAGACAAGTCTGCTTACTGGGTTCCTGCTTTGTACTTCATGCACACCAATGGCAGCGCCGAGGTGGTGGATGAGGTTGGAGGCATGCTTGCGTAAGTCTGATTTGGCTTTCGTAGTGGGGTTCTACTGACACCGATCAGCTATTACCTTCTGTACGGAGAGAATGTCACTGCTTTCCCAAGTAACTTCCGCATGCTGGCAGGCGACCCATACCAGCGCAATTTCACCTGGCCAGTTCCCGACCCTCCCAAGTCCGATTGGAGTGGTGCTCAGGCCTCACAGGCTGCTTTGCGCCAGAAGGCCCTTGGTTTCAACTGCCTGGACTACTCGGCAACCGCTGAAGCCTCCCTTTACCGCCACTTCTTGCCCAACAAGACCTACCTCGATGAGCATTGCACTGACGGAGTCCGCTTCGAGTTGATGTTCCCCTCTTGCTGGAATGGCAAGGATGTCGACTCCACTGACCACAAATCTCATGTCGCATACCCGTCGCTCGTCATGGATGGTACCTGCCCTGAGGGTTTCGAAACTCGCCTGGTCTCACTCTTCTACGAGACTATCTGGAACACCTACGCATTCAAGGACGTCGATGGATATTTCGCGCTCGCCAACGGTGATCCCACTGGATACGGATACCACGGTGATTTCATGCAGGCCTGGGATGATGGCATTCTCCAGCAGGCCATTGATACCTGCACAAGCGAGTCAGGTATCGTTACCGACTGTGAGATCTTCGACGTTCAGACCGAAGACGAACAGCGTCAATGCCAGTTCCCCGTCCCGTCCGTGATCAAAAACGAAAATTGTGAACTGCACGAGGACGGATTGCCTGGCGGTATGGCTATCCAGTGGGGCCCTGAGTATGCCACGATGAAATCTGCTGCAACTACGACCACGTCCAGTGTGGTTTCAGTTCCCACCATTTCAATCCCGACTAGCTCACTCCCCACAGTTTCCGTTGGTGGTATTTCGATCGATCCCAACACCTTGCTTGAGAACCTCCACGTGACCAGCGCTGCCGAAGCTACTACTTCTTTCACTTCTACTTCGACTCCCTCGCCAACCCCGACCGCCATCACATCTACCATCATCGATCCTATCACCGAAGAGATCATCTATCTCGAACGTGATGTTTACGTCATCTGTGATGGCAACGGTGTCGTGTACTCGACCAGCACTGGAGCCGTCCGGACTGTCTCTACTTCGTTGACCACCATCGTGGAGACCTCCACGGCCGTTTCCTACGCGAAGAAGGACACTGTCCCGGAAGCCGTGGAGCCGGTACAGGCTGCCGGCCACGCTCGCAGACATCTCCACCACCGCCACGGTCACGGCCACAACTCGGTTTAAGTGATGTCCGCCTATGTGTCTGGAACCCGATGCGCTGCGTACCAGCGCCTCGTTCTTTCATGATCTTGACCGAGAGGACATATCCCACGCTTCTACATCAAGTTGGACCTCGAACTTGCTGGATTGTACCCTGGGAGCTTTAATTCATGTACATTTGTTTTATTCTATTCCGATTGTTGGACATCCTCCAGTCAGTCGAGGAGGGTGTACATTGAGCATATTGCCGTTCTCGTGATGATATTTTAAATTAGTCCTGGCTGGTACACAATTGAACCTCATTGGTCGATTATAGTCGGATCTACGTACGTAAAACATACAAGCTTCTTCGCTGGCCCGCATTCCATTCCATCCCTGTCCGCCACTTTGTTTTGTCTCCAGTCTTAGGAATGTACACCGTAGGTCTCGGTCGAACTACATTTCTCGCTTAATCTTTTCCAATCCCAATGTTCCATCATACAGTCTCATCAGGTGTCTCGGTATCTCCATACGAAGGAAAGATCAGCCTACTGTAGTTCAGTAGGTAATGGCCACGCTGTACATAGTCCGTGCCACAATCCCGTGGCACAGATGGGACTGGTAGTATGAACTGGAGGACTTTACTTCCAAGATAGTCCAAGTTACGTTGCCGATCTAATGTTGGATTCTAACACTGATGGTTGGCCGTCGGAAAACCCGATGATACTAAATCAATCGGGGACGGCGGTTTTGTTCAATTCAAAACTCCATCACTGCTGGATGTAGAGATTCTTGCACTATTGTAGAGATCGGTCACTCTACTCGTCCTCGTTGTGGTCGTCAAATGGCCAGTGACGATCTGTCATCTTGCGTTCCTACTCCGTGTCGAGAGAAGCAAGACCGTCAACCTTCATCTGACGAGCGCAGGAATAGGCAGCTTCATATGCGTCCGGAGAGGTCCAACCGTCCACGCCGACGCCAATGAAGTCGCGGACCAGTTTGAGCTGGAGATCAACTTCTTCTTGCATACTTTGCAAGTGTATGATGGAATCAGCCTCAGCTGAAGAGAATGATATCGGACACGGGCCGGTCGAGTATTCGTTCCAGAGTTTGGTAATGAGCACAATGTCAGCCTGAAGAGGAACGTTATTCCCTTCCCAGGGCTCGCCGGCATGGCTAAAGATGCGGCGGGTAAGCATACCCGTCGGCTGATCTATGGCGTGGAAATGATGTTCATTGAAACGCTGCGTGAAGGCCAATTAGAAAAAGTGGGTATGGCGACGCTGAACGGCGGCCTTTCCCTCGTCGTCTATGCCGTATAGTTATGGACGAGGAGGTGGGCGAAAGATAAGCAACTCAGGGTCGTCGTAGTTTTGAAAAATTGGGTATTCCAGCGGCGAGAAAGAGCGGCAGCACAGATGCGTGTTGCCAGACAATCAATCCGACGATGTCTAGATCATCCGAGACGAGTTTGTTGTTCGAGTGGAGATCTGGGTGGTGAAGGAGAAGGCGTAGGTATCCATTCGACGGAAGATCTCGGGGATAGCATTATATGTGCGTCATTCCTTATGGACACCTGCATCAATATATCAGCATTGGAAGGAGCCTTGTGGGGAAGGTGCTATCCTCGTCTTAGGCTGGTCTGTCGACCACATGGGAAAGAAAAATAAAATCCGTACCCCAACTACTCCTGACGAGGATCGAAACCCTGACTAGTTTCACCATTGCTGAGCTTCCCAATGCGGTATCACCCGTGATCAATATTTCACCCAGCAATTAGATGACCTCGTGTCTCTCACCCACTCAGCCATCCAGGGAGGATTTTGGCTTACTATGTCGAACTATAGTCAAGTAGACTAAATTCCATAGTTTGTACCATATGAGTTCTACTCCAAATTCCTCTACGGAGTACTAATCGTATAATACTGCCTTTTGGGGTCTATTCCTAAGTACTTCATCTGAATACTGCCCAGCTGTCCGTATAGAACCTGAGTGGCATTCTTGCTTGACAATTTTAATGATACTTTACAATAGAGCCAAGCAACAAGAGTTGTCTAGCAATTCAAAGAAATGAGACCGTAGCTACAAGCCTACAACATACATCGCGGGTCAGGGTCCACGGGTGGAGTGGAGCCCTCGGAGCCCAAGTGGGTCTGGCGCGGGAAATCATGCCTTGGTGCCTGATTATGGCATGAGGACGACGTCATATCACGTGGGTTTAGTGGATCACCAAGTCAACTTCGGCTGACATTTCAACGGTGGCATGGATTTCCATGGATAAGGATCCCTTTGTCTTTTTGTCTTAGAAAGGTACTATTTTTATAATCACATTTGAAACATTTCTCTCAGCCCAGTGATCGCTATTGATCGAAGGTTGCATGCATCTCGAGGTAGTATGAGCTGAACTCATTGTCTCTGATGCCCCAGCTAATCTTCAGCCACTGTTACTTTACCGTGGTAGTGATCTCCGAATTTCCGAAAGAGCCCAAATTGGACATCCTCGGTGTTGGATCTATACCGATATAAAACAAGCTCCAGCTACTCGGTCGCGGTAATCACATATCGCCTCATTATAAGTTTCATATCAAGTTCTCCGATACCTGCTCAATGAACCGTGAAACCGTCATAATGGAACCCCTCCACCGATTCTATCTCTTTCTCGCGCTCTTTATCTCAGCCACAATGGCTATCCCTCATCAAACGTCCTCGATCACCAAGGCTGCAGCTTCAGCAGTGATCACCCCAGGCCCCGAGCTCCAGTGTTCGAATGGACAAACCGCCGTGTACACGACAGACTGCACATTAGGAATTCCAGTTTCGTATTGCTCCAGCCCAGAGCCTCCAATCGAGTGCTCGCAGGGATTCTTCCCGTCTGTTTGGCATCCAGGTCATTGCATAGAGCAATCGACCTGTTTCCCACTCAACGCACCCTGGATTACCACCGAGTGCTCGAACGGGGGTATTCCGTATACGACGTCGACCTTGTATCAGGGCACGTTGGCGGGAGGTGAATCAACTGTGATCAGCGGTAGGTTTTCTCTTCTGTTCTGCACATTCGTTGCTGTACTCGGCAAGCTAACTTGTGTGTCCTCGTTGCTTGTAGTCGTCTCCTGCTCTTGTGCTGCAAACCAATGGTACAGCATGACCCTACTGCCAGGCTCGTCGAACTATGACACCTTCTGTATGCCACACAGCTCCTGTCCACCGGGTATGACAACCTCCATCTCGATCAATGAGTACTGTGCCACTCAGCCGGCGAGCGTTTGCTCGGACATACCTTTGGAAACAGACTTTTGTAAATGTGCTTCTACGGCGCAGACTCCGGTTTATCCTGACTCGCCTGGTGCTACTCCAACTGGGTGCGAGTTTTGAGATGAATGAGGGGTTTCCTGATAGGTAGTCATCACTGAAAGTGGGGGATAATACATGATTTGTAAACAAATTCAATTGCGTTGAGGTCATCGTCAGCCGATATTGCACCACAATTCTTAGTCAAACTCTTCCAGAGGTTTCCAATCTGATTAGCCTAAAACAGACGCCGCCCCGTTTTTCGCACGCCACGGAAGGCCCTCGGCGTCTGAATCGGGGAAACATGAGGGCGTCCCTTAACCCCGCCGTAACCCCGCCGTCGGCCCCTACAAGCGTACATAAAGGAAATTGCCCCCTGAATTTACCTTGATCTCACCAAACTAAAAATGTCTGATGCTCTTCCTGAAATGCAATACCGGTCCCTCGGTAGGACTGGACTGAAAGTCTCGGTTATCTCGCTGGGAAGCTGGCTCACATATGGCGGACACGTCGGGAATGGTACGACCATTCCGATCGATAGAATAGACCAAAATTAACAGGAAATAGAAACCGCCCTGGAATGCATGAAGGTCGCCTACGACGCCGGCGTCAATTTCTTCGATACCGCCGAAGTATACTCCGGCGGAAAGTCCGAGATCGTGCTCGGAGAAGCGATCAAGAAATTCGGCTGGAAGCAAAACGATCTCGTCATTTCCACCAAGGTAGGAAGCGCAATTTCCCATCCAGTTTTCCTGTCCCACTAACCCATCTTCAGATCTACTGGGGCCGAGCCAACAGCGCCAACCCAGACAAACCACTCAACAACAACGGGCTCTCCCGCAAGCACATCATCGAGGGCATGAACCACTCGCTGCAGCGGCTAGACCTGCCATACGTAGATGTGGTGTACGCACACCGCGCAGACCGCGACACGCCCATGGAAGAGATCGTCCGCGGCTTCAACTACCTCATTGACAACGGAAAGGCCTTCTACTGGGGCACGTCGGAGTGGACTGCGAGTGAGATCGCGGACGCCTGGCGCATCGCCGACAGACTCGGCCTTGTCGGCCCTGTCGTCGAGCAGCCGCAGTATAATCTCCTCGTGCGCGAGCGTGTGGAGAAAGAGTACCGCTGGCTGTACGAGGCGCACGGGCTCGGTCTGACGGTGTGGTCGCCGTTGAAGGGCGGTGTCTTGACGGGCAAGTATAACGATGTTGCTGCTCCTCCGGCTGGGTCGCGGCTGGCAGAATCGGAGGATAAATACGTGCAGGGTCTCCGGAAAACTGTTGGTGATGATACCTGGCAGCGTCAGCTGGATCAGGTTGCGGCATTGAAGCCCATTGCGGAGGAACTTGGGGTTACAACGGCGCAACTGGCGCTTGCGTGGGTTTTGAAGAATCCGAATATCTCGTCTATGATTACGGGTGCGTCGAGGCCGCAGCAGGTCCTTGAGAATATTCGAGCTTTGGAGGTGGTGGAGAAGTTGACCGATGAGGTTATTGAGAAGATTGAGATTGCTGTTGGGAATAAGCCTGCTGTCGAGGTTAGACGGTTTTAGACAATAGATGATAAGCCATACAAAGAAATCGCATGTCTCTGCCTCATCTTGTTCCTCCATTTACCATCCAACAGTGACGGAATAGCCGCCTTAAGAGTGCTGTGGCCTCGAATTGAGAGTTACCAACACAGTCACCGTACCATAAAGCTCGCTCGATGGTCCAGGTGAGCCCTTAGATATAGGCGCGCCGAAAACAACTGACAAATTGGAGCGCATGCTCCTTTTGCTATCATTCCGGCCGTTCAATTCGACGAAGCCCAACCGGAAGTCCAGGAGACCTTTGATTCAGCGGGAAGAATGTAAGAATGAAAAAGAGGTTGACAGTATGCTGCTGAATATATTCAAAATGATCAAATGTAAAAAATGTAAGAAGAGCAAAAAAACAAAAAAAAGATAAGTGGGCCCGAGCCCGGGATCGAACCGGGGACCTCGCGCATTAATGCTTTGGGTTAACCCTAAGCGCGAATCATACCACTAGACCACCCGGGCAGTTCATATGAGATGCCTCACTTTTAGACTATATATAGGAAAATGATCTATTGAGCCAAATCTTCGCGTAAAGTATTTCACATGCTAAAACTTCATATCTCAACAATAGTATGCTATACAGTTTTCCTATTAGCTTATCGATTTTCTCTAGAGAATTTGGAATATATGCCTTGGTGATTGCGATATTTTCAAGTACTCAACTCACATAACCCTCTACCTTGAATTGATTCGTTGCAAAAAGAACAAGTCACAGAAAGAGATGCTTCATAGCTGTGGTAGTATTATACAAGAGTCCAAGGCCAAAACAGTCAAAATGTGAATAGACAGCGGCAGTGAATGCCATACGACTCAACGAAAGTAAAGCGAGGCTATATTCCACCAAAAATCTGGGACCCTTCAACTTCCGCGTCGCCACTATAAATGCCATACAAAGTATTCAAATAGGTGCGAGTGGCATTCAACCAAGGCTGTTGGCCCGCAGTGCTCTGGCAAGCATCATTGCACACGGCATGGTTTTTCCCACCCCAGATAACGAAACCATCCACATTACTATTCTTTGCCAAGGCATTCAATTCATCCTCCCAGAGCGTCGAGGGAATGAAAGAATAGTTGCCATGGTACTGCGGCCAAGTGTATGACCAAACGGGCAAAGAATCATCGATAGCGTTGATGGTCTTGAGAACAGACGTCAACGACGCATTCCAGGTGGAAAGGCTGTCACTGAATGTGTAGGCAGACGGGAAAAACGCATGGCTGGTATGGTTTGCGATCAGGCTTCGATAGTGATCATACAGTGAAGAAATTGTGTTTCCGGATAGCCCGTACCAGCCAATAATCTGACCCGAGGGAATCACATCGGCCGCCCAGGTTTGCAGAGTAGACATGAGCTCCAAGTGAAGATCTGCCGTGGAAGCATCGGTGAAATAGAGGTCTTCGCAGTCGAGAACCAGTGGGTAACTTGGATAGATATTCCACTCAAGGACAATGTCTTTCCATACATCGGCTGATGGTAAAACTCCCCCCTCGGTGAGCGGGTTGCACACGTATGCGGGAATCCAGTTGATATTGGTTGTTCCGTAGCCAATTGACGTGTTCACGTAGGCTGTGTTGTCGAACACATGGAAGGATGAAGCGTAAGTTGAACAAGCAAGCGCTAAGCCCACTGTGTCATGAAAAAGAGTCTTCATGTTTGTAGGAGATGGAATGAGAAAGTAACCCAGGAATTCCAATGTCGATTTATCTTTGATCAAGGAAGGATTGGTCGGGTGCTTTCATTCATATCTCACATACCATCGCATTTTATACTTCGTTTTATGCCAAGCTCAATGGCATTGTCGGATTTATTATGGGGCTTGACCGAGATCCGGTCAGTATACGGATCTCGCCGCTCCAATCAGGAGGTCTATCTCTTGTCACCTCATCATTCGCCATTATCACGAGCGTGAAGCGATATCAACGGAATTTGAAATCGGCATCTAGGGAATTTCGTCGTTTAAGCAGATGAAGATATGATCTATTCAGAACATATAAAAAAAGGACGTTTCCAACGCCAGGGTATATTCACTCTAACATACTGCTTGATTAAACAAAAAAAGACGAAGACACCATCTTTAATTTCCCCATTCATTCCATTCCAAGTTCGTAGAGCCCCATCCCGTAAGCTGGTCTAAGAAAGTGGGATATCCTGCGGAATCAAACATCAGAGTCTCCGACCCCCATTCAAAAGGACTAGGAGAGACCGATTCATCCAAACTATCAACATTGTCATCACCAATTGTGACCGGTTGTTCAGGCATCATATTGAGCGCTTCACCCACTATGGCTTCTCCCTTCTCGGTGTTATTGAATGTAGGCTGATCTTGTGTCTGCTTCCGAGCTAAAGGATATGTTCCCAAAGGGTTCAGAATGTACTCAAGGGAGGACTGCGAGTGCGTCACCACTTGGTCATTGATCATGCCATCCTTTAATGGACGATGGATTTGTGATGGAGCTTCTGCCGGGAAAAGCTGGTTAAACCGTTTCAGGGCTTCTTTTGCAGACTGACAGTATGCATCTACATTGAGGTACTTTTGCAGGTACTGCAGGATTGTGAGATTATCTTGCAGCATTGTGCGATAACTCTTATAGTCAAATTGGGGAAGCAAAGGCGCGGTGTCACCCCATGAGAGAAGAGTAGTCACTAAAACACTGCTGCAAATTTGAACATGGTTTGCATACAATGTATCAATGAGACTGGGCTTGTGACACAGCCATAAATCCTTCAAGAGGGTCGCAATATATACTGCTTTCTCCAAGCACATGCGGTGACACCGTTCGAGAAAAGATTTTGGTGCATGCTCTCGGATCCATTTGGTCGAGGTATCGGGGAATACCAGCTGTGAGACACAGATCCGATATAAATCATTGGATGTTTGAGAGAGTACAATGTGAAGACCGAAAAAGAGATTGAGTCGCCCTGATGCTTTATACAGATACTTGTTCGCGGTAGTCATTTTCAATGCATCTGGAATGGAGGCTTCAAGATTCTGAAGCTCCGTATTGAGAAGAGAGAACCGCGACCGATTGTCGGACTCCCAGGGTACTTCATCTTCTAACTCTTTCATGTACTTAAGAATCTTTGCACGAAGCCTGATTGCACGGATATATAATGCTCGCATGTCGGGAATATCGAAATGCGTATGCATGCCAGGAGGTACTTCGCGGGAGTGGAGCGTTTCCGTAACGCAAGGCGTACCTCTAATAAACAAATCCTCAGGGCATGGCAGCTGGACATGGATATCCTCCGCCGAGATTAGGCGAAGTTGATCGATGCCACACTCAATGAAAGCATCGAGCAGATAGCAAGCCCACATAAGCCTCCTCCTGCTTTCCTTGACGGGAGTAGACAATCGTGCTTTCCGATGAGCTTCGGGGTCATATTCCACGTTCAGCTGAAGGAGCTGCAAGTGCCTGGCAATTTGCCCAGAAACCACCAATGCTTTCGCATATTCTCCAGTACGTAAATAGTATTCGTGAAGCAGAACCTCTGTCGCCAAGCATTCCAGTTTGTGGGTTCCTAGGTTTCGGAATGAATACTGCAGTGCAGTATCTGCCCAACCTTTCCCTGCCTCGTAAAATCTCAATTCGCGATCGACAACGTCATCACCGTGACTGCAGATATCGCCGTAGAGAAACGGCGCGGCCAAGGCACACATGACATGAAGAAGCCCGGATTCCTCGGTATATATTTTGTCAGAGCTCTTCAACTTCTCCATAAACGTTGGGATGTGTAGGAATCCTAGACATCGCACAGTGTGGATACGCTCAAAATATACTTCAACGAGCTGGTTCAATCCTTCACCTGACGGCAAGTCGGCTGTCATGAGCCAGGCGGGGACTGCATGCGACCTTGCCTCGAGACTGGATAGATTTCGAGGAATACCATCCATTTCATAAGAGCACTCCAAGGCTTTCCGAGTACAGCGAACACAGCCAGTGCCCCCGGAGCACTTTGCCTTAGCTCGTTTGCATTGAATGCAGGAGCGCCAAGCACGTTTCCGCTGTAGTCCAGCCTGCGTCCTGGCGTCGGCTGGGTGCGTCACGTGCGACGCATGAGAAGATATCGAATCAGACTGGTAAACACATTCTGCACCAAATCGATGGCATCTTTGGCATCTCCCCGGCGTGCGGTCACATTTTACCTATTCGAGTCTGTTAGAATCCACCAAAGAGACTAATAGAAGTAACGAACTTTTCGCTTGCGGCACGTTTGACAGCTTGCTGCGACTTGTTCAGCGTTCGGGCCATATGACGCAGACGCCATGTAGATAAAAAGTAAAGGCAGAGTCAATCAAATAATTCTCAACGGGTGCAACAGCTTAGGTGTGACGCAAGATTAGCATAGGATGGTGTTATCTACGATAAGCGATATCAGCAACTTTCCCGAGGTCTTTATTTCCACTGCTCCCTATATGCTTAGAATTCGTTATTCTACTATACGGGGTAGGCTACTCGGGAGGCATGGGTTGGGAAATGAGAAATCTCGCAATATATATTCTAGCTTGTCAGCTGTTCAGCAGCGACTGTTTCACGATGTGCAATTTGCCACCAAGACCACAATCCAGACTTGCTAAGCCATCAACTACTCTTTAACCTGGGCTCTAGCATTCCGCACGGCTTCACTCGCCGTTGTCGAGATGACTTTGCCAATCCTCTCAATATCCTCGAGTCTTTCCAACCAGAAATTCCACCGATCCATGCTCATCGGTCCAGGTAACCAAAGCCTCCCCTTTCTCTCTAACGCCCAGGTCTTGTCGCCTTTCCTCGCACCCTCTCTAAACCTTGCCCCGGCTATTTTGATCCACACCGCCGCAGCAGGTACTTCGAAGTCCCACAGTGCATCCTGGCATTCGAGCGCCTCGGAGATGCACTCATAGCCCCAGCTCAGTGGCAATATGCCATCTTCAGTACGCGGACCCGGAGCAGCCATTATACAAGAGGCCTCCACAAAGGCCAGGTGCACGTGGGCCTCGCGCCTCTTCCCTCTCGTGGCTGGATTCCGATTCGTCAATGCGCCGCGCCAGTGGCTCTGCTTCCATTCATCTGACCACGAGTTGCCGAAGTCCTGGAGTCAGGATGGATCACCGTCCTTGATAATTTCCTTTATCAAGTCGATGAGGGCGGGCGTGTGGCTTAAGGGCAGCTGAAAAAGCGCGTCTTCGATTATGCCCAGTACGCGGCGTTGTATGTCGGCGTTGTATGTCAGTCCTCTCGTCGGGATCATGAGGCTTGGTCATGATGGCAGCTGTCTCGGATGGTGTGGAGTCGCCTTTCATGTACGCTTTGAAAGCCGCAACTTGATGGGGATGCGCCCCAGTCTCTTCCTCGCCGTCCATAGGTGCAGTGTGGTAATCGAACCAAGCGTCGTCGGCGGTGGAGCCAAAGCCGTCAAGATCGACTGATTTGCAATTCTCTTCTCGAATGGTGGTGTTCATGATGACAGAGCGTGAGGGCTCTTGAAATAATGATTTTTAGGTCTGTTGTTGTTGCGGATGATTATGGTTGAGTTATGTTTGAGGGAAGAAAGTGCGGAGTAGTCGCAATATCGGAAACTTCGAAGAGTGACAACCAGGCAGCAGAACTCCAAAGAATCACACGACTTCCCGAAACCCACTAACGGCTAAAGCACAACCCAATAGTGGGCTGAGTTGTGTTGGGGTTTGGCGCAGCCTAGGTGTCTCCATATTTTTGGATGGCTTACAAGCCCAGGATTCAAATGGGATCAAGGAATTAAGAAACCTTTGGAAGATCTGCGCTTTGCGGCCTCGCGGGCCCGCCCGCACCCGGTTCGGCGGTGGGCCCTAGCTAATCCATTACTACTCCCTATATACAGCTGTATAATGTAGCCAATGTAAACATCATGAAGTATTTGCAAATGAATTCACCCATGAGTGATCCCATGAGTTATTTACATTACACTGTATATAGCGGTGTAGAAAACGGTGCTACTCAAGTAATTCAAGCGTCAAGATGACCCTCAAACGGGGTTGGACCCTGATATCCACTAGAATTGACAGAGATTTTCTCACTCTCACGGCTGACGCATCTAATAGAATCATAGCCTTGTGTGTACAAACGAAAGATGTAAATGGGCAGGGTACGAAGTTGAGAGTGGTCAAGCTTTATATGCAAGACCATCTACAGGGCACTGCACTCATACACAGCCGCCAAAAAAAGGAATCATAGCATCATAATTAACCTTGGCCCTAGCCCTAGTACGATATAATCAGCTTTCTCCGTAAGATGATCGACGCCCCGACGGCCATATTCTATAAGTCCGTGACTGAATTTTCACTCGACCTTTGTGACTCCGTCAATAATTATAAGACAGCCTTCGGCCCAAAGCTTCGAATAACAAGCACTCAGATCTCATCTTAGCATTAACAGTGCAACTAGGACATTCCTTTCTACTCATACCCTAGAACCGTAATAATGAAGTTCACTTTGGCGAACGCCTCCATCCTCTTCTTGAGCCATGCCTCCATCCTTCTGGCCGATCTCAAAAAACGTGCGGAGGCCCCCAACGCACCTATTGGGGTACGTCATCCCTCAGCTAAGTTGGACTCCGAACGTTGATTGTCCGTGAAAGAACTTTAGAGGTTGTTGAGCTGAGTGATTCCATGGAGGGGCTTCTACGTACCCATGGGTTACCTTTGTATCCACGCCAGCATTAGATATATTTTCAGAATGTAATCTTTATGTAGCCGGAAATGCCAGAGGTCGTTACATCGAGGTCTTGGAGGTCAATCATTTCTAAACAAATAGGCCTTATTAAAGCATTTGCCAGGCCGAACACCAAGAGTAAATTGAACAGAGAAAAACACAGAGAGCAAGTTTGTTTTTCTACTATTAAGGTTAATTTTAAAAGATTCTATGAAAGGGCTAGGCCGCTTGTGCAGCCAAAAGCTCCACAGCAGAATCAGATGCACTCTCTATGGAAATTACTTCCTTAAAAGCAGCAACATGAGCCAAGGAAAGCTGTTCATGCAGCAATACTCTGAATTTCGACACGCCCATTAGTGCTCCAGAAAGGATCAACACGCTTCTGGCTGGAGGGCAGGTAACAGTCAGCGGCTGAATGAGTTGAGCTAGCGAGCTGGCTGCAGAATTGAGAATTTCAAGAGCCTGGAGATTAGGGTCTTTGTCACGAAAAGCCAGCCTTGTCACAATCTTTGCAAGATGGCTGATGTCGCTCTTCGGATTTTTTCCAGAATAAAGGAGGCGAGATAGCACGGCATTTTTGGTGCAGCCGAAATGGGCCAGGACTTCCCCCTCCATTTCACTCAAGCAGCTCTCGTCAGCTTCGCTGGAATCGATGCTTGTCAGCAGGGCTTGCAAAGCCTTTTTGCCAATATAAAAAGCGCTTCCATCGTCTCCGATAAGATGGCCCCACCCGCCTGTCCGACGAACTTCGACGACATGGCCGTCGGAGTCCTTTCTGAAAGCAGTGGCTACGGAGCCTGTGCCTGATATGAGACTGATGCCTGTTTTAACAGAGGCATCGCCCTCGATGCACGCGCCAAGGAGTGCACCGTCACTTGTCAATCGGAGCGTACCGCTCTCCATCGAAACGCCAAACGCCCTTTCAAGACGATTGATGAGTACGTTCAACTTCTCGGCATGGTGTATGCCTGCAATTCCGGCCCATAGTTTGCTGAATCGGGGGTAATTGGTGAGATAGGAATGTCGCCTCCGCGGTAAAAGCCTCACAGCTTCCATCGTGGCTTTTTTGGCCTGGCCTACGAGCTCCTCTGTAGCCACGGTATTGAAGTTGCAGGGGCCGGCATAGCCACGAGAGACAACACCTGATTTAGTGGCAATTGATACAGCGCATTTGGTTCCTCCACCATCGATGCATAGAAAATATTCCGGATCATCACCATCGACTTCGACTGAGGCATTATTTCCGTGGATGTAAGTCGAGTTTAGATGCTTTGCAACAAAAGCCTTCAAATCGCCATCGACGCTTTGTAGTTGTGTATTTGCTTCACTCGGGGAAAGATCCGTAACAGCCACGGCGCAGGCAAGTTTCACGCTCCCATCGCATCTGGCAATCAGGGTGTTTGCTGCGTCATCGTTCTGTATTTGATGGAAGTTCTTTAGAATCTCGGTTGGAAGAACGAGTCCTCTTGTCGAATGGAGTACCATAGTCTCTTTGCAGACCTGACGTACGATTCTTCGACCTCGGGCTTGAAGCTTGTGGTTTCCGACTCGAAGGTCAACCATAAGACCTCCATATGTCTTCCCAAGCTTCATCATTGAACAAGTACTGATCATGTTCAAAATTTGTTTGGCTGCACTTCCAGCCTTGAGCCGAGTACTCCCTGCAATGAATTCCGGGCCTAGCAAGGCAACTAGTGGATAATCGACCCCGAGGCTATCAATCGCGGACGGCGACGTGTTCGTAATGCTTGCCGTCAGTGTCCCGGTTTGAAGCGCGAATTTGAGAGCCCCGAGAACAAATGGTGTGCGACCAGATGCCGAAATACCGAGAACAACGTCTTTGACAGTAAGATTCAAGGCTTGGAGTTGCGCGGTTCCGTCTTCCTCGGCATCTTCCGCTCCTTCTTGCGCTTTGGTAGCTGTTTGTTCACCCCCTGCTACGAGAGCGATAAATTGACCCTCATCGGTTGAAAAGGTGACCGGGATCTCAGCACAGTCCATCATCGCTACTCGGCCGCTGTTGCCAGCTCCCACGTAGATCAATCTTCCACCGGCGCGCAACCGAGGCACTAATTCGTCAACAAAGGATGCAACTGCCGGTAGACAGCACGCGACTGAGGAAGATACTCGTGACTCCTCATGATTGAAGGCGGTACAGAGGTCTAAAGTATCAAGAGAATCGATTGAGTGTGCATAGGCACTGCGCACCTCGGTCTGAAGGTGGTCCAATTGTTCGCAATCTGATGGCGTCATGGCGTGAGCAAAAGTTTTCGGGTCACGCAACCGAGATTTGAAGCGACGCTCTTATGTAGAAAATCAAATCAATGCCGTCTAACTGTGTCTCCGTATCTCGGTCACTTCCGTGAAGAACGGATCTCGGTGCGCGAGATCCGCTTGTTCCAAATTGCGGGCCCAGCACACCATAGTTCAAAGTCTGGAACAGATTAGGGTCACATCCTCTATGTCTATATATACTTATCTAGGAAATGCCCAGCGCTTAACATGTTCAGTCCCAATATATCTATCTCGAGTCTACCTATCCCATCATGGCCACCAAGTCGGTAGAAGATAGTGTTTCTCCGCACAACGATGACCCCGAAGTCATTTACCCACGAGTGCACAAAAACTTTGTCACTAGGATCTATCATGAACCTTGGTTCCAGATCGGCCTTGTTTCAGTGATTTCCTTTTGCAATCCTGGAATGTATAATGCACTCACCGGCATGGGAGGCTCTGGCCAAGTCGACAGCACAATCTCCGCCAACGCCAACGTCGCAACTCATGCATGCACAGCGGGAGCAGCACTGCTTTTGGCGGGCTCCTTTTACAAGTACCTCGGGCCACGTGTATGCCTCCTCATCGGCGGATGGACCTATGCCCTCTATGCCGGATCACTGTTGAATTCCGACAGGAGGAAGAATGGCGGCCCTTTCGTGATTGCAGCCGGCGCGATTCTTGGTTTGGGGGCGGCCTTTTTTTGGGTTGCGCAAGGAACCATCATGGTCACTTATACCAACGATAACACGCGCGGCAGAGCCATCGGGGTATTTTGGGTGATATTCAACCTCGGTGCAACCATTGGCTCGCTGGCCAGTTTTGGTCTCAACTACAACTCAAAATCCGGGACGGTGACAGACTCGACATATGTAGCCTACATTGTTGTCATGCTCTTTGGATGGCTTTTATCGGTGTTTGTCTGCTCAACCGAAAATCTTTCTGGACACTACCACGGCAATCGCATCACTCAAGAGTCCAAGGCTGTCAACTGGACGAACCTCAAAAGAACTGTGATGGAGACACTGCGTACAGTCTTCAACTGGAAGAACATGTGCCTCTATCCCATGTTCTACACTGCAAACGTTTTCTATTCCTATCAACAGAACGCTGTCAATGGCATGACATTCAACCTACGCACACGCGCTCTCAATGGAGCCCTCTACTGGATCGCACAAATGGCAGGCGGGCTTCTGATGGGTTTCATGCTAGACCTCCAAATTGTCAATCGTCGCACGCGAGCCAAGATTGGCTGGTCTATACTATTCGTCACCGGGATGGCGATCTGGGGCGGAGGCTACCGTTTCCAAGTCTGGGATACCCAGCGTTTACGACAAGGTCTGAAGCAGGATATCGATTACAAAGCAGGAAGTGAATACCTCGGACCAATGTTTCTCTATTTCTTTTATGGCGCCTATGATTCATTTTGGCAATCATTCTGCTACTGGATTATGGGGGCTCGCTCCCGCGACCCTGTAGTAAATGCTGTCATTGTCGGAGCCTATTCGGCATTGAAGCCAGCAGGCGGTGCGATGGCCTGGAGAATAAACGCCGAGGGCGTCAGTGCCATGACTCAGTTTGCCATGAACTGGGGTCTAACTGCCGGTAGCCTGTTGGTTGCTATTCCAACGGTGTTGACTATTGAACGGGGAGATTCTAAAATCGAGCCCTCGAGTGACCACGAGTGAGAGATTAGCCCCAGATTTTCTGATGATTGATTCAAATTGCGCGTCATATGATTTATATATTTAGGTAGATCCTTCTGTTTTAGGTGTTGCGATTAGCAGTTTGTACATATTTATAGCAGTTGGAAGCACTTGAGAGCAAGTGCTAGTCAACCCAAGTAGTAATTGAATGGATCCAAATATGATCTAACCTCCTATCATGAAGTTGGAATATCCCGATGTGGGAGTGTTACTTTAACGCGATCACTCATTTTTCTGTTTGACAATATTGCATATTGCAATATATATGGTGAACCGTCCGCTCACCAGCTGGCCGACTTTCTCACTCAATCTTTGATCTCAGCTATCGTCATTGACATAATCATGAAAAACATCTGCATAAAAGACACGCCCTACATCACGATGGCTCCGAATCTTTGTCCTCAATTGCGACTCCCCCCAAGTATCATACCTGCCCCTCAAAAAGGCCGAGTCAACACTCGCACCCTCGGATGCCTCCAACGCCATATTTTGCACAGCAAAATGATCCCTTAGAGTTCCAACCGCCTCCTCCTTTGTCAGACTCCCCCGAACACCCTGGAAAAAGGGCACACTATACCTCTCCGACGGACCTGACAACACACGATGCGTCGTCGCCTTACACACACCGTGAGTAACCACCTCGAAAGCTTGCCCTATATTCACAACGAACGTATTTTCAATAACAGGAACGTCTATCCATTCACCTCTCTTGTTGAGAGCCTGTAAGCCCTTCACGGTTGGGGGCGATGCTTGGAGAAGAAACGTCCACCACCCAGAGGAATCTTTGTGAGGACCCACGCCTTGGATATTAGAATCGGAACCAGGATCTGAGGCGGGATAATGAACTAGCTTGAGACGGTGCTGTTCTGAGAGTAATGAGAATAGAGTCTTGGAGTCCAGGGAGAGTGCCTCGGCGACCAAGCGTAAGAAACGCTCGCTGAGGTTTGTTAATTCGTAAATATATCTCTCGATGACGCTCCGAAGAGAGAGGTCTTGTGACGGCCACTGTTACTTTTTATCAGTATAACTTTTGAGCCAGATGACTGATGGGCTGAGTAGAGGTTGATGTACCTGGTTGGGTCCTTTCAACCTTTCATAAAGAGGAAGACCCGCACGCTATAGGTCTGGCAGCTCGGTTGCAAACTCGAACTGTTCACGTTTATCTGCGACTCCGGCTGTTGTTTCTGAGCCTACTTGGCTGTATCCCAAAAAGTGAGGGGAGTTGTGTAAAGCCACTTCTTCCTTTACCGCCGGATCGAGGGCAAAAAGTTTAGGGAGAGCATCTTTCAGGTCTGAAATTACGTCTTGTGGAACATCGTGATTCGTGATATACAGAAACCCAATGCACGTGAGGGCGTGGTGGAGTTCTTGGAGAAGCTTAGGTCGGGTTAAGGGCGAGTTGGCGAGGGATAGGTCGATGACTGGGATTGATTTGAAGTTGGATGTCATTTTTGGGCTCACATCAGTGGCGATAGTGGAGAGGTGAGTTATGTAGCCAGGAGATACATAGAATGAGCCATGGCGTGATACCCCACGTTTCTGCGGGGTAAATCGAGATAGAGAAATTAATTTGTGACTTTGATTCGTCTAGTCTCGGATATCTAAACACACTTTCCACCATCCACTACCATCTCAGTGCCGTTGATAAAACGAGCCTCGTCACTGGCCAGGTACAGGCACATGTTGGCGATATCATCCACATCGGTGAGTCGGCCCAATGGCACATTTCCGATGAACTTCTCTCGGTTCTCAGGGGTATCTTCCATACCAGTGAACATCGAAAACAGTCCAGTACCAGAAAGAAGAGGAGCGACAGTGTTGAATCGGATATTGTGGGGACCGTACTCCGCGGCAAGACCTTTCGTCGCCTGTATGGATTGTTAGTGATTCAATAATCATTTTCATTCACAGTCCCAACATTCACTCACATTAGTGACTGCCCCCTTGGTGGCATTATACCAAACCAATCCAGGCCGTGGTCGACTTGCTCCCGTGGAGGAGATGTTGATCACCGACCCACCCTGGCCTTGCTCGATGAAACGCGGCATCAGGGCCTTTGTAGAAAGATAAATGCTCTTCACGTTGACTTTAAACACACGCTCCCACTCTTCCTCTGTGACCTCTGCTGTCGGCTAAAGGAAATTAGCGAGGTCCCCTCATACAATATGTTGAACCCACCTTGTTGCGATAGCTAGTGCCCGCATTGTTCACCAACACATCCACTCGCCCGAACTTGGAGAATGCCAAATCCAACACCATATTCCAGTCCGCTTCTTGTGTGACATCTTGGCGCTGAAAGATGAGGTTGGAAGGATTCTGCGAGGCGACTTTCTCGCCGCCCTCAACGTTGATATCGGTAACGATCACTTTGGCACCCTCTTCGCCGAATCGTCGAGCGATAGCTGCACCGAATCCATTACCTCCTCCTGAAAAGAGAATATTAGCATCCGCAACGGAGTGGTTTGGAATAACAGTCTTACCGGTGACGATGGCAACCTTGCCTTGGAGTCTTGAACCTTGGGACATCTTGGTGTAGGAGAATTGACAGTAGAAGTCAGAATAAAGAAGCAAGAGCTTTTAAATAAGTTCCAAACATCCGAAGAGGGGTTTCGGCACGAAGCTCGGAGTGAAATCCGTTACCTTCCCCGCATTGGTTGGCGAAGTATATCTTTGGTGAAATATCGTATTGATGAACATCCCATGATGATCATAACCCCTTAGGGCAGGCGATCAACGAGGGGTTGCCATTATTGTTATTATTACCCTGAAAGTTCTTTACAACAACTTGTTATCATGATTTTCCAGGTACTTTTGGGGTTTCTAACCCTTTCCACTGCTATTGGTTCAACAGCCAATGCCAATGCCAATGCCAATGCGAACTGCTATGGTTCCAATGTGATTTCAGCACCTTCAGCAGACCATCGCCCGGTGCCATGGGGCACTCCGAGCGTCCATTTTTCGTCATTAAATGGCACGTTAACTACGTGCTGTAACACTTTGGATGAGATCCGAACCGCGCTAGATGATATCGACGATCAAATACTTCAGCTCCTAAATCGGCGGTTTGTACTCCGACCTCCGTCCCTGAGCAGGACTTGAAATGTTTATTTACGACTTTGACATTAACACATTAACTCTTATAGAGCCGCATACGTCCGTGAGGCAACTCGTTTCAAATCCACCCGGGCTTCTGTGAACGTTCCCTCGCGCAATGAGGCCGTTCTCCAACAGGCAGAGCAGCAGGCAGTGCATATCGGGGTACCACTGACGATTGCCCGGGCGGCCATGGGGGCCATTCTGAACTCCAGCGTGCCCTTTGAACAGTGCATTGTAAGTGAGTCTGTATTCTCAATTAGATTTGAAACTGACTCTCAAGTTCGATGCCTATACGGAGTAACCAGTAATGGTTAACATACACAAACAGCCCCTTAAAGGATGGGATTCCTCAATAGCTGGTTACGTTATGTATTGGTCTAGATTGGAGCTAGATGAATCCTTCGAGTTCCACTTTGATTCTGTAGTATCTTCAAAACAGCCAACTAGAATAGCACAGCGCTATGTTCAGCTCCTGCACATGCCTTGACGCTAGAGTCGAGCCAAGAGCTTTTAAGGGCCAAGAAAACCGGGTATAAATGTGCTTGGTTGAAACATTCTAATATAGAAAAATGAAAAGCCATTGGCCAAGAGCTGATGCGTTTTGCCGTTCAGCGCCCCTCCAAACCCAGATACTTCCAAGGTTGGATTCTCCTTATAACATCCATCATGATTCATGTCGATTCGCCTTCATTCTAAGTGTCCATGTCTGAACAATATCCTACTTTCGAGTTTCGCGCCCGATGGAGACACGCAGGGAGGGTGCACCGTTGTCGGACACGTCACATACACCACCGACCGAACCCCCAAAACGAGTCCGCCGATGGCATCACCGAGGATTTACAGGCTGTTCCACCTGTCGCCGCCGCCATGTTCGTTGCGACGAGGCATCTCCGGCCTGTAATAACTGTGTCCGTCTTGGACACGAGTGCGATGGCGCTCAAGGGCGGATGACGTTCAAGGTCTACGGGCCCTCTCAGACACCGACGGATCCACCGCCAGAGTCATCCAGGGCACCGAAGACGCAGAACAACGATTCGACCTCCAGCCCAGAGTCAAGCGACGCTCCTGCAGTCTCCCCCTTAGAGGAGAGGGAAGATGTTGGCAATGCGGTCTGCAAGGCTATGGTCGCCCCCACAACGCTGCCACACCCAACGAAGTTCCGCTTCCAGCATCCTGTTACCTCGATCAGTATCGCGAAATCGATCCAGCGCATTGAAGAGCGTTATCTCACTTATTTTGCGGATCAGGTATCAACATTCTTGATCATCTACAACACCCCTCACAATGCCAATCCCTACCGCACACATTTCCCGGATTTCGCGCGGTCGTCTCCAACCATGGCCAATGCGATGCAGGCATTAGGCGCATTACATCTTGCGAACACATCGGTGGGATCGCAGCGGAATAGGCATTTCCAGCAGGCAATGGGCAAATACGGCGTGGTAGTGAAGGGTTTTCGTGCACGATACTCAGACCCCAGCCAGCAGCTTGGATTAACGGATTTCGCGACGTGCCTATTACTTTCCCTATTCGAGGTTCGTCTCCCCTCTAGATCTGCCAGCCATGATCAATTGACTAATATTCCTGCAGATGATGGACTCCCAACACAACAACTGGGCAGTACATCTCAAAGGAGCTCGCGAAATCTACAACCTCCTCTTCTATCCGCAACCCGGCGACTCGGCACGTGAAGTACAACGCGTCGCCGAGACGAACCACCCCCTCCGCCCATTCCTCGTCTCCCTACTCTCATATCTCGATGTGGCAGGTTCATGCGCGACTCCCGGCGGGACTGTGGTCGAGGGTAATTACTGGAATACCATGGGTGGAGGGTGGGAATACAATCTCGGGACGCCAAGTCTATTGTCAACGATCCCGGACAACCCACGCCTGGTTGAGCTGCGGCAGGCATGGTCCAGCCTAATGGAGGTGCAAGCAGCTATCAGTACATTTGCATCGGACAAGAAAACGTGGATGACAACCGACCAGTCGGATGCGAAGTATAAAGACATCTTCAACCAGCTGGTTGTATGGCGTGTTACGACCCCTCCCTGCCTACAGCTGCCCGCCGAGCTGGATGATGAGAGCCTTTCTCTGTATCCGTATCCTGACGTTCTTGAGTATGCGGGTTGCATTGAAGCATACGAGAAGGCGACATTCGTTCATCTACTTCAGATCGCTGGAGCTGGGCGTGTCGGTTGGATCACTGAGTGGACGTATATGGACATGCTTGTTAGTCGGATTCTTCTACTAGCTCAGAAGTTGCCGAAAGATGTGGGCCAATTGGCTTTTCTGTGGCCGCTTTTCATTGCCGGACAGGAGACTCGGAGTGAGCCCGAGCAGAAATTTGTTCGCCAAACTATGCAGGAGTTGAAACGGTTTGGTTTCAGGGTATGTCGCAAATGAACTTCATCAAGAGGCGGGTCCGAATGCTAATATCTCATAATCTAGAACGTCGACAAAGCACTCGAGACCCTAGAAGGAGTCTGGCTCAAGAGACGCTCCTTTCCTGGAGGTTGGATCCAGACCTTGGAGGAAGTTCAGACGAATATTCTTCTTCCCTGATGTGAAGCTGGCTGGAGTCGACATCTCTCTGCGACTTCACGACATGTCATCATGCATATATTGCCTCTCTTTTCCTTTGATACCCCATGAGTTCAACTTGACTCTTTTATAGCTAAAGACTTAGTCTGGTAGCCCCCCTGCATCATAGCATATATATGAAGCAGCATGTATATATAGACCAGGAAAATGATAATATAATCCTCATGATCATAGCCTCTAGCATCACCATGGCGCATGGCATGAATTAAGTGAAAAATCCTTGATCATCCGATGTACGAGCTTTAGGGGGTACATGTAGGTTGCAGTTCGTAATGCGAGGGTGATAGAGGAGCAGATAGTGGTCCATGACTCTTCACACGTGCTATCTTGTCCCCGATCAGGTGCCTTCCCTTTTGGTCAAAAACCGTCACCAACCCCAGTTTCCTATTTACCTTAAGCTACTGGGAGGGTATAAATACCTACCCCCTCCCCCCTCTCCCTCTTCTTCTTTCTCTCTTCTCCAACACTCCGGGCCCACATTGCACATCGTGTTCCTGTTGAGTACCCTTTTATTTTTTTGAACTTTTGCCAGCTCCAGATTCGTATTCAACATACGTCTGCTGCTGTCCAGTGAAGGGAAATCCTGAGGATTCTGATTGGAACTTTGCTGCGGCTCATTGAAGGCTGAAACTAGGTTGGGGCTTCGGTCCTGGTCTAATGGCACGAAGCATGTTACGGTAGAAGCACTCTCCCTCTGACCACTGCGGATACAGACTGTACTTCTCTGAGTTCTCCATTGTCCGTTAGGAGCTTAACAAAAGGGGCTCTGTTCTCATCTCCTTCCTACAGGGATAACTCTCTGTTCCCAATGATGAAACAATAATCTGAGGGTAGAAGGTTCCTCCCTTTTCATTTCAGTGTCTACTTTGTTGTGTCTTGTCGCTGTCTCTTGTTGTTGCCTCTTATTGTTGTTATTTCTCCTAGCCTTCCAATACCTCACTTTCTGTCATGAATTGCATTGTCACATGCTATCACATGTCATATTGAGATTGTTTCTTTGTTTGCTTCTTTCTTTGTGCGTTCGCATAGCAATGGAGGTCGGTGGTTTGTATAGTTTGCTTCCTTCTCTCCTCATCTGGGCACTTTTTTGTTTCAAAAGCATAGCGCGTAAAATCTCCCGTCTTAACGGAGCATCAGTTCCAACTGCAAGTCTCCCGACAAGGGCATCAGCCTCCGTGTCGCCCACAGACCCTGTAAATATGTCGATTAATTCCTCCTTCTCAACCAGTTCCTTGTAGACAGAAATCTTAGTGTGCCGCCATCACCATAGCTAGCATGAGGGATCCAGTCCAACCTTAGAAGGAACAGCCATGGCACCCAAACAGTATGGAAGAAAAGAACAAAAAGATGAACCGCAATGAGAATCGAGAGAGCGACCATTGACGATGCCATTGATAAAAGACGTGTTTCCAAACAATGCCAAAGCCAGCAGGACGAGAGGACCTTTGCTTGGGAGGAGTAACGCCCAGTTCCCGTACCGGTCGTCCATACCTTAAATGTCTCCTTGCCGCCTCTTTCCCAGATTGTTAAGTTGTGGTAATATGAATGGAATCTGTTGAGGGTTCTAGGGTCCATTGCACTGCGGATATTCACAATCTGCTAAGAGATCAGTGGATATTAGCGGACCGTTCTTATGCGTCGATATAAGGCTGTATTGTTCGTTCCGCTGATGATATGATGCCATCGGCCTATCAGATTTGCTATGAGGGGCATTGGAGAGCAAAAAACCCCTGAATTATTATCAAAAGCGATAATACATATCCCCTTAGATGGGAGCTTACCTGCTATTCATTTTCACCCCGGTGCGAATGGTATGACCACGAGCTGTGTGGCACCATAAACTGGTATAACGACAGTATTTGACAAATAGGTACACAATATATCGCCATTTAACAAGGCAAGCTAGTAGTCTTAGCTCAGGGGTGAAACATCTCCCACGAGGCTAAGAATTACCAAAAACGGCCTTCTAGTCCGTGTAACGGAAGCGGCTGTGTACGGGAATAATTATAACAACTGATAGCCTTTACAAATCTATCTTCTCTATTAAACCCCCAAGATTATATACTGCCTAATAAACAAGTCAAGCTCGACGGATCAGAAAGCTCCGAGCTTCCAAGGTTATATTGGACCCTCTTTGAAACTTAATCCAAAAAATTTTGATCTTACGCGATGCGCGGCAATTTAATAATCTTCAAGGAAGATCAAGACAGGCATGTAATAATATAGAATACACTTGATAAATTACTGTACTCATAACTTAGCCAATTACCCAACTAGGTCATCTGTAGTCATCAAATCAAGTCCACTTAAGGCTGTGGCGTCTCCTAATATTTCCGGTGGAGCATTTGCGAACGTTTTGACCGCAGGACGAACACGAACCTTGGAAAGTCTATCCTCAAAATTTCTGATCTCTTCTCAATCCAGAAAATACAGACACCTGGGTTCTTCCTTTTCCCTATATATCTGTCATTCAGATATGGCTTCCCACGACCCTGTCGCCGGTTCCGCCGACCTCCTCACCCATGAAGGTGAAGGTGACCGGGCTGAGCTCAAGAAACAGGATGATACCGCTTTATTGGTAGGTGTATCCAGGCCTTGTTTTGTAAACATCAACCTAACATGAAATCTTCTAGGAAACTATGGGCTATAAGCCAGTACGTCGAATCGTAGATTTAAGATGTCTCGTGGTCAGCAACTGATTCACTAAACAGGTTCTTCATCGGACATACACTTTGTTCGAGAATTTTTCAACCACGTTCGGTACGTTTTTCGCTGTCACTACTTTGTGGGTGCATTTATACTGACTCTTTCTAGCTGCTCTGTACTTTGTTGGCGGTGTCCGCGTTACTTTCAGCACTGGTATTGCCGCCGGTGGAAACCTGGCCTATTGGACTAGTTACCTAGTAACCATGGTATTCACGTTCATTACTGCTGCTGTCATCGCCGAGGTCTGTTCGGCTTCTCCATCCGCCGGGTCAATCTACTTGTGGGCCGCCGAAGCTGGTGGGCCTCGATTTGGCCGACTGCTTGGCTTTATCGTCGCCTGGTGGAGTACAACGGCTTGGACGACTTTCTGTGCAAGTATGTTGCGTATCTACCTTAAGACAAGGATTACATGGTGCTAATTTGATTATAGGCAACACCCAGGCTGCGGCGAATTACATGCTTGCGGTATGCTTTTTTTCTTTCTTGGTTTCCCGGGATTCAGACTGATACATTGCGTTTAGGAAATAACCGTATTCAACCTCGATTTCCCATCAGACTCAAGCAGCGTGAAGTTCCGCGCAGTCCAGTGGATCTGCACTGAGATCTTGCTTGCTCTGGCCGCCCTGTTGAACTTTTTGCCTCGTATGTACAAACGCGTAACTTTGATTCATCACCTCTGACAGCATTCTAGCTCGCTATTTCAAATATGTCTTTTGGTGGTCTTCCGCAGTCGTGATGCTCGACTTTATCCTGAACATTGTCTGGCTGCCCATTGGCACCGCTCAAACCTGGGGATTCCGTACCACCCACGAGGCCTTCATGACCACGTACAACGGTACCGGAGCCCCGGCTGGCTGGAACTGGTGTCTTTCTTATCTTGCTACCGCTGGCATTCTGATTGGGTTTGATGCCTCGGGTCACGTTGCGGAAGAAACCAAGAATGCGTCGATCACTGCTGCGCGTGGTATTTTCTGGAGTACCGTTGCCAGTGGGTTCGGTGGTTTGGCTACGATTATTCTCTTTTTGTTCTGCGCTGTTCGTCTCCCGTCGTCTCTGCGAACGCCGAAATTCGAAATTCTGACCTTGTTTTTCTATAGCCCGACGCCGACACACTCATGGGTTTCGGTGGGCCCCAACCCTTTGTGCCTCTTTACGCTGTTGTTCTAGGCAAGGGCGGCCATATCTTCATGAACATCATTTGCATTTTCGCTTTGTGGCTGGTGAGCTATCATTCTGTGCACGGATATCTCATATCTCACAACTGACTTTCATTCTCAGAACACCGCAATTGCCATCATCGCCGCCTCTCGCCTTGTCTTCGCCGTCGCCCGTGATGGTGTACTCCCATTCTCCGGCTGGGTCTCTCGTGTAAAGGACGGTCAGCCACGGAACGCAGTTATTGTTGTCTGGGTTGTCGCCGCCCTAGTCAGTTGCACCATTCTTCCATCCGCCACGGCTTTCACTTCCCTTGTCTCGGCAGCCGGTGTCCCCAGCGCTGCCGCCTACGGTCTGATCTGTCTGGGTCGACTATTCTGCACTCCGTCGCGGTTCCCGAAGCCACAGTGGAGTCTCGGCCGCTGGAGTAAGCCGTTCCAGTTCATTGGTGTCTTCTGGAACGGCTGGGTTGTCGCTGTCCTGTTCTCGCCCTACGTGTTCCCAGTCACTGGCGAGAATCTGAATTGTAAGATGTTCTTTCTTATAAGGTTTTATCGCGCTAACTAAGTTGCTTGATAGACGCCCCCATTATCATGGCTGGAGTCACCATCTTCGCATTGATCTCCTACTTCATGATGCCAGAGAGTGCTTGGCTTCCTCGAGACCGCATCACTCACTTTATTGATAGTAAGGGCGCTGTCCAGGCGACCGTGGATGAAGTTGGCTCTACTGACCATGGTGAAACGAGTGGTGGTCAATGATGTGGAGTACGAATTGTAATTGGCCACCAGTTCCTATTACCGGGCACATAATGCCTTAGAGATTGCAGTAGAGAGCTTTCGGGCTTAGACTATATAATGCTTCAGCTATTTATAGCTATTTAAAATTGTTATATTTTCAAAAGACTACCAAAAAATTACCCAAGAAAACTCCTCGAGAAACATCTATTGTAACAATGTACGCGGTCCCCTGCATAAAATGAAGCTTTTGATCCCATAACTAACTACAAATCTGGAAATTCAGGCATTCAGGCATCAAGATCCCTGTTCATACGAGCACGTGATCAAGCACGTGCCCCATACAACAGCATTACACCAACATCTTTCCTTTCGTAACCTCCAAGAAGAATCAACGTCTTATTCTGGGCTTAGTGTCACGTGTTGATGTCGTTGCCTTATCGCATACCTACCTCATACATCAAGTTCGCCCTCATCGATTCCTTCATCACTATGTCAATCCCTTAGGAGATCTGCATCTGTTAAACACTCACCATGTCGTCAGTCAGGAGCATGTTGCGCAATGTCCATTTCTACGATGCGTCTAACGGACAGCTCCTAGGAGGTTCCTTTTAAGCTGGTTCCGTAACGGACGCTAATCTGATCTGGATTCTCGAGAACGTGTTGCTAGTTGCGGCGGAGATCCTCACGATAAAGGATCGAGCATCCGGTCGAATGATCACACCATCGAATAATTAATTGCGTTGTCCTGGCGACTATGACATTTCTTGTGATGTCAAGACTTCACGTATAGCATACGGTTATTTTCGTTACTGTAAGAGTTCCTTGTCAAACTGTGAGCAGACGAAGCGTGGTTTCCTCACGTCTGTGGCTTTAATCATTCAGGTCAAGAAGAGTCATTTCGCACTGAGGTCGGCCGGAGAGACGGGAGATGCGTTATTTCCGGCACGATCAACCTTCTTGCGCAGTCGGATTGGTGGACTGGCTTCGAAGCTGCCCATATATTCCCCCTAGAGAAGGAGGGTCTATGGGTTGAGTATAACTTCGGGCGTTAGATAACAAATATGGACCATATGCCAGGGTTTCGAAGATTAACTCTATTCAAAACGGTTTACTGATGACTTCGAATCTACACAATTGTTTTGATCAGTATGCGTTTTCTATTTACCCCGATGTACGTATCGTATCGATGGCACTTCCGGCAAAGCGTGCTCGCTAATATGCGAGGGGCAGAGGAGCCGATATTCGAGTCGGACTTTCCCCTTGGGACAGACCAAATAGCGACGCTACGAAACGAACCATACGGCAAGGAGAGGTTTGAGATGGAGGTCGAACTCAGACTCGGACCCATAGCCAGAGAAGAAGAGTCGATATATTAATATGGACATCTTTACGCAAAGTCTCGACCGTTATTTATTTTATCTAGCCCCTCCGGAACAAGTCCCTCGTCGAGGCACTTACGGCTCGTGGCGTGACCTCCTTTGCAATGGATCTTCTCCGAATCTCGCGTGCACAGACCTTCAATACTCTACTCTTAGCTGGTCGGCATTGGTAGACTGTTCATCGTGGGAGGAGGTTTTGTGCCGCTTACTATCCCTGGAATAGTGCTAATTCGTTTTTTGAACAACCATCAAAGCCGCCCTAGAGGCGCAGAAGCAGGCTCCCACTAAAATCCACTTGCTCCTTGTTTACGGCCAAATCTTGCCTTAACGGACTCTCGGCCGAATCCCTAGCGGACAATTGTACAACGTAGCGGACATAAAATCCTCCGGTCTCGGATCAATTGGGGGAGTGGGTCACATCAACACTAAATCCTCGATTACTCTCCTCGATTCTTATTGTGCAGAGTGCGGAGTAGTAGCATATGTTGTAGCACATCCCCAACTCGAGGTGAAGTTGGCAATATTCGCACTTATCGAATTCATCTACATCCAGCTCGTTAAGCCGATTTCCGGATCTATGCTGCCAAAAAAAGGGTACAGTACCCCTTGCTAAGCTTCCTGTACGCTGGCAAGACATGTGATTTCCCTCAAACGCATGGTATCGCTTGCATTTTACGGAAATGATGGGAGGCCAGAAGTCTGTCTCCATGTGTATGCTTGCAAGGAGATTAAAGACCATCTTTCTCCACATCCTAGAGTATATAAGCTGAGGATACGCGGTTCCGAGGATATAAGATACCTATACTAGGAGCTTGGGTGGAACACGATCATTGTGTTCAGGGTGTATGGGTAGACTCCAATATCAGACTGCATCTGATAGAAGTCTCCCTATCTATTTAGCTATGTAACTAAACCACCCAATAGTTATCCCTAAATCGCATACCATGCGCCAAAATTGAAGACATTAGCCATCCCAGAATAATACTTGATTCTGCCCTTTCCTAAGTCAAGGGCCGTCATACATTAGCTTAGCCGATCAAAAACAGAGATGAGAGGGAAAAGACAGAAAAAATCAAGCGACCACCGAAAGAAACCAGTTAAAAAAACGCCCAATATCAAACAACACCGGAACAAACCCCTAGAAATCCAAGCCATACGCCAGATCCCCCATAAAGACATTACCAGATCAATATATGTTAAGTACCAGAAAGCAAAAAAGCAAAAATCAAAAAGCCAAGACCCCCATCTCTAAGCCTTATGCGACTTCTTTCCCAGCTTCAATCCCATAAAGCCCCTCCCACTCGGCAGGACACTATTATGCCGCGCATGGCCACGCTGACTGGACTTGCGCACGACATGGCTGTCAGCAGTGGGAGGCGGGGTGGGTTGTGTTGCGACAGAGATCTGCGAGGAAGAAGGACCGTTAACGCCGACCTCGGAGCGCAGACTGCTTAGCGAGTAAACGCTGGAGGCGGAGTGTTTCCTCGTCATGCGACGCATCATCAGAGGCGAGCGGCTTGTGAGCATATTCGACACGCTGTATGTCGAGGACCCGCTGCGCTTGGACAAGTATGGCGATGAGGGCGTTGGTGGGATTGAGGCCGGACTGCAGGCTCTGGTGAGGGGGGAGGGTGCGTCGATGTAGTTGTAATTGTTGGGTTTGCCGTCGGCGGAGAAGGGTGTTGTTGGGCGGGAGGTGTAAGTGGAGACGCTGTTGCTGCTTGTACTGCGCATTGAGGGGGGTCGGTGGACGTGCAGGTTCAGTGGTGGTGGAGGCATTGCTTTGTCGGAGCCTTGAGTTCGTGGTCGGGTTCGGTAGTCTTGGGCTGGGAGGGTGCGTGGTGGTGCTGGGAAGTAGAGGTGGGGGATTTCAGAGATGCGGTTTATGGTTGCGCTGGGTGCGAGCTGGGGATCTTCTGCTGACTTGGGCGCCTGCTTCGTGGTGGCTCTTTTCTCGGATGCTCGTGGTGACTTGGCTGGGTCTGACGAGCGTGGCAGTTTAAGTCGGCGGCTATCGGTCCTGGCAAGCATAGAGCGGCTGCGGCTGCTTTCCCTGGAGCGGGAATGAGGACGAGATTTTGAGGTCTTGGACCGTGGGCCTAGGGCTTTGATCAAGACCACTGTAGGACGAGTCCGGGGCTCCATTATAGTCACCTCCTTTGCAACCCGGATGTCCGCTTCCTCTACGGAAAAGACCGACGAGGGTGAAGCAGAGCGAGACCTTGGGTTAGATGGCTGGGGTGGTTTGGGCCAGACGTATATCGATGGCTGTAAAAAAGTGCTGGATGCCAGTTGTGGCGGAGAATCTGAGGGTGGCAGTTCGAGAAACATCTGATCTTCCAGATCAAACACATACGTATCTTCGTCGAAGGTGGCATTGCTGTTTCTCTTGATGGTAGCAGAAGAGACGGGCCGGGGCCGTTTCACTGCTGGCGGAGCGAGAATACGTTCATCCCGATCAGAATCAGGGTCATTGTGAGAATTCTCGTCGGCGCTGAGATCTGAATCGAAGATTCCGACTCGTGAGCCCACAGGCGAGGACAGTAGATCCTGGGTGCCTGTGTCGGATTCCGACACAGCCTCCTCATCTGACTCGTATCGATCCTGGATGCTATGCCTGCTCAAGCGGTGTAGACTCAGTGAGGGAGTAGGTCCGAACATGTTCCCAGCAGTGATATGGTTGTAATCGGTCATAGAGCAAAGGAAGAAAGAGTATCTGTTCCAAAGTGCAGACCGTTCCGAAGCCAAGGGAAATGCAAGACTAAAAAGACCCTCGACTAGAGAATACCAAGATGAAAAGGAGGCCCAAGGAACGGAACGTAATAGCTGTCAAGTATCCAGGTGCACAGCTGCAAAGGAGATCCAAAAATCCACCAGGGCGACAAAAGGGCTCTTTAAGGAAGTGGACCGGAGTGGGACCAAGGAGCTATGGGCAGGGGATGCATATATCAAGCCAATATACGGCGTACGGCGTACGGAGTCAGTAGCAGGGAAAGGCATCCAGGGTCATTAATCCATGCCATGGCCCTGTACGACATCCACGTGCAGAAAGTGGAAAGGTTCAATAACCCTGAATTTGCTGGTTTTGCTGGCTTTGCTAGTTCAGCGCGTAGTGAACCTTGAAGAGGGTTGAGGAGGGATTGTGATTGGTGTCTCACCCTTGCATGGGGGAAAATAAGGGCGGGATGGCGCTCGTTTCAGCAGGGGGAAGAACGCGTTACACTGGATATCGTGGCCGGAAGACTGAATTGAAACTTTGGGGGAAAAAAATCAAAAAAGTCATCTGATAGATCACTATGAGCTATTGGTTAGGGCACATGCACCTAATCCCCCGTTTGTTCAATGATTGGGCATTTCTGCGTATCAGGGTTTTAGGGCTTGAGAGATTATGCAAGACGAGAACTCGTATCAAGGAAGTACGACACAGTGGCAAAGAGGAGAATAAGGGCCGGATGAAACATATGTCCCTCGAAGCATTCCCTAGAACTACTCGACCTGAACAGTTGTGGAATGGCCGATAGTGGGGGAACAGGCAATCAGTGGGGCCATGTGTATAACTCAAACGCACTTAGGGACTTGAGTAAACGGAAAATTATCCTTGCGAAGATGCCAGGGGTAACTGACCTTGAGGGGGGTTGGCTTGAGGTTGGCGTTGGTAAATTCAAGAACTCAGGGGCTATACGCAACACTGAAGGATTGGAATGGTGACGCTGAACAGCTATGGTCCTCTATATTCTCCTTACAGCTAGTTAACTCTCGTCTGTCATAGATATCATACATCGTCATATCACCATATCCCCATCTATGTTGTACGATAAAAATACACCAATGCACCAGCAAGGACTCGATATTCCCTATTTTATGCATACACTTTAACCCAAGCCTCTGCACGTCAAACTCTTGACATTTGCTTCAACTTAATTGCAGACCAACCAACCCCGTACCCAGTGGGTCTTGACGCTAAAAAGATTCGGCCATAGCTCCGTCTTCATATCCAAAGCGTTTCAAATCCGACCAGGGCAGCGGAAGTTCATGGGCCGATCTTCACTAACGTCAGCACGGCCACCACTGCATATCCAAGCTCTTTTTTCCCTGTTCTATTTCGAATTGACATAAATGCTCCGACGGCAAAATCCAGCCCCGCATCTCCATCCAGTCTCCGAATAAACCACGCGCATGACATCCAAGCAAGGCGCTCGTAACTTTTCGACGAGAATAGGCAATGAGCAAATAAATCCACAGTTTCCCGCCTTTGACTTTGTCTCTGGCGCTGGTCTATTGAACCTGCGCCCCCATTATATCAATGGCTGGCACCGCTTTTTCAACCCCGGAGGCTGGATGTAGCCTGCCTTACTCTTCTCTTCGCCTTTCGAGTCCGAGTCTTTGGTTTTCTCTCGAGGCTGCGGCTTTGCCCGTTTCTCCATTCGACGCATTGTCAATGATCGCCCTGTTACCTGGGGCATATGCGATACATCACTTTCGTGGCGCTGTCTGTGCCTCGTCGCACAGGCCATGATGTGCGCATTTAAGCTCCACCTGGCGGTTCCTGTTCCTGCGTTTTTTGTTTCTTCTGTGCAGTCTTCAGTGTGATACTGCACATTGTGCTAGAGTCAGTATATAACTTTTCTGTTGCCATATCAACAGGCTGGGTATTTGTTTGGCTTTCAATATTCGAGGCAAATGGAGCTGGATAACCTTGCGGTTTGGCTTTATTGTCTCTTGAGATACAGACCGGATCTGGATGGAGATGCGAACCATTCGGTATCTGACCAAGGTATCTATCCAATCTATCACACTATTTCAGCAAACATGATTACATTTATCTTGATATTTTGAGCTAACGTCTATCAATCAATACTTAATAACAATAACGGCGAAAGGTATAATCCAATGGCCTGCCACCAAACGGGGAGTGATAACGACAAACATGAACAGAAGAAGAGAAAGCGACATTATAAAATACAACCATGGCGAGACCGCTGGGTAGGGTAATCCAACAGCATTCCCTTGTAGGGTTTCCGACAAAAGTTTTGGCGCACGCGTTCCGACAACTCCGAGGCACATACCCCATGCCCGGGTGTAATGGAATCTGGCATCATGAGTGGTCATTCATTAAAACAAATATAGGGACGCATCACCCTAGAGCAGCCATTCTGCACTTCTGCTTTGTTTGGCCACAAGCATTGGATGAACTTTAGATCCAATAGCTCATCTTAAGATGATTCAAAGATCAAACTCTTGAGCACAATTCTTGCAATCACACTGAAAACATTCAAACACGAACGTCCTTCACTTGATTATTTAGGCCTTGCGAGAGCGTGTCACAGGGCCGTTGGAGCGGCCAGTGGACTTGGCGCTCTTGGTACCGGCCGGGGAAGGAATTTCAAAGTTCCTCATGTCGATCAACGATTTTTGGCCAGTGTTGCGGCGGGGACGTCCAGTCTTGGCGGTCTTATTGTAGGTGGCAATGTAGAAGGAGATGAACAGGACCAAGTAGGAGCTGATGATGCCGATACCAGCCAAGGCAGCGAATTCCTCACCGGCACACTTGCCCATGTTGGGAAGCCACGGGAAGTAGGCAGAGGTGAAGTAGGTGTACGAGGCGAAGTAAATGAAGCCTGAAACTGTCAGTATTCTGTTATTTGCAGGTTCCGGGCCTGCAATGACTTACCGACGTCAATGACGAACTGGAGGATCTGCAGCATAGTGATATACTTCTTCCACCAAATGCGAACACCACGGGCACTCTGAAAGTAGTACCAGTACATCACGACATGGACAAGCAGGTTGATGGTGATAGGCACCCACTGCACGGCAGTCACACCGATAAGCTGAGTGTAGCAGAGGAGGGCGGTGGCACCGTGGTGGTAGGTGTGGAGGAAGGTCAATGGCTTCTTCTTGAGGACAAGGAAGATAGTATCAATGAACTCGACGTATTTGTTGATGTAGTTGAGCTAATCAAAGTTGTGAGTTTCTTTTCTCCCGGTTCAAGCGCTTCGCAACTTACGTAGTACAGAATGATCAGAGGGCGAGTCCAACCACCCTGCTGGTCACAGATAGTGTAGAAGACTCCGTGTCTCCAGAGAGTGGGAAGAAGCTGCTCAATGAACAAGGCCAGCAGGATAGCGCTAACGGTGGTCAAAAGGAGGTTGTGGATCATGAACAAGGTGTTAAGCTTGAACGCAGGCAACTTCTTCATCACCTCGCGGCCACCGAAGATGAGAACGTAGTAGGTGACAAGCATCATTGTAGTCTCCTTCAAGGTGGACAGAGGGGTCACACCCTCGGTGAAGTTGAACTTGCTGGCGGGATACCCCATGACCTTCTCGTAGGCCTGGTCGAAGAGGGGCCACAGGTGCACACCAAAGGGTCGATCGAGAGTCGGGACATCGACATATTTAAGGATTTCGGAAGCCATTGTGAGGGTATTGGGTTGTTCTCTCAAACCAAATGGATGTAGAATTGAAGATAGAGATAGCCCGGGAAGGCAACCTGTTCTTTTCTTGACGGGGCAGTAATGGGACTGCAATTGACCGCCAAAACAAAGAAAGGCCAAATTAAGGAAAGGAAATGAAAGAAAGCTAAAGAAACGAAAGTGGGAAAGGGGAAGAGGAGAGAGGGAGAAAGCTGGAGAAATAAGAGAACAGTGACTTTTTGCGTCCGGCGCGTCCGTTGAGGGCCCAAAAGGGTTTAGCGTGCCATAAAAAAGGGGAAGATCAGGTCCCGGTGGCATCGACTGGGGATATATTGTCCGAACATATCTAATATTTAGTAGATTCAATCTATTAGAATTAGATCTAATTGCGATTCATGATACCCCAGATCACAATATAGTGTACAGAGTACTGTGTTGCCGAATGCAATGTTGTCCTTGGTGTGAAACAATCACATGCTAGTGTAAATGCCAACAACTAGCGCATTATATATTATACAAAGAAATGAATTGTATAAAAGCCCGAGGGCTGATCTATGTACATATCTTTCGCAATTGACCACTTTACTCTGTATAGCTAATGCTGCATTATGATTCCAGTCTCCGTTTTCCACGTCCATATCCGAAGCGTTGCATTGGAAATCCAGTCATTTGTCGTTGGGTTACAATTGATTACCATTAGAAGCTTTCAATTGGCAGTAGCTTGACAGGGGTACGGAGTGATAGAGGTCGTTTATTCTACCTTGTGTCACCTTCACAGTACAGGATATAGAAGCATATCCGACTAAACAAGTGTAGATTAATATCTACGTTGTTTACTTGTCAATCCTCTATCTTCACGTGCTATCAAGATCTTCGATTCAGATGTTGCCGGCTATAATAACCCGAATTCTTAACTATTCTCTACTCGGAAGCCACCACTCATATTACTATTACTCATGTATGTAGTCAAATTATCTTCTTGCCCACCCTCCTTGAGTTTGTAGGATTTACAATCGATAAATATTGGAGTTAATTGCTCGAATCATTATCTACCGGTCTGCACAACAATCGAGTCACAATATATCTTGAACATCAATTACCATCATGGTATGTTATATATCTTTACAATATGAACAAGAAGTCTAATAACCTTATACGAACTCGACTTGTCATGGCCTAACACCGACCAATGACACGCATGTAGAAACCGACAACTCTCCAGCCAATCAACGGCCACCCTTAGAGATCAGAACACTGGAACGGGGCCAATCGGATGATGACTCAGCACCCGTTCAGCTGCCTCAGGCGCCAACACCACACCACCCGCAAAATCCTAGAGGCATTTCAACACCTCCCCTTCCCGCCCCCATCCACTTCTCTCCCCTCACTATTGTTCCTGTCCGGTCCACCGTGGTTCCCTTCTGAAAATGTCGTCCCTATCCATCTTCCGCGTGGCGACCCGTGCCGCTCGCTCTACCGGCTCCTTCAGAGCTCCCCAATTGACCCGGTCCCGGATGCAGTCTCCGGTGACTCTGGCCGCCGCTCGCGCCCACAACTTCGGTACTACCTCCATGCTCCGCTCCGGCCACGAGGATGAGACATACGAAGAGTTCACTGCCAGGTACGCCCCCAATCGCAAGCCATTGAGGCCGGAGGAGGGGGACACCAGCGCCCTGCATTTCCATGTTAGGCGCTTCCCGGAACGACCATCGGCAATCGTCTCGACATGATAGGGCCGTCTCATGCTGACCGTGTATCCCAATGGCAGATTCGAGAAGGAATTCGATGGTGTGCAGGACGTTTTCGAGCTTCAGGTATGACTTATCTCGACTTCACCCGAGGCATATTGATCGGCGTGCGATACATGGCATCAGCCACACCCGTCACTCAACATGCGGCTCCTATATACGCACCATCGACAAATGGCTAATGCATGTCTTTGCAAACAGCGCAACCTGAACAACTGCTTCGCCTACGATCTTGTTCCCTCCGTCGCAGTCCTCACCGCCGCCCTCAAGGCCGCCCGCCGTGTTAACGACTTCCCTACCGCTGTTCGCGTCTTCGAGGGTACGCTTCCGCAATATCCTATCCTGGAGCACTAGTCTCGTTCGTCATGGAATCCAAGCTAACATTCCTTCGTGATTAGGCGTCAAGGCCAAGGTCGAGAACCCCGACCAGTACAAGCAATACCTCGAGTCTCTCGAGGGTCTGCGCGTCGAGCTGGGCGTCGCTCTCCGGGAGGAGCTCTACCCCGAGGAGGCGTAAATTCCCCTCATCAATTCTACTTTTACGTCAATTTTCTCTTAAACAAACAGTACCCCCTCGCACGTTGTTTAGCCAGCACCGTTTGACTGGCTGAGGATTAGGTCGGGTAGAAGAGAAAACTGTATACATACTTTAGAGATCTCTCGTGTTGTTAGTGCTGCTGTTGTATGGAAAAAGGTCTTGTGTGCCTTATTTGGTTGGTGCTTAATCTATCTTGATTCCATCTTGTTCAGTCATATTGTTGTATTATCAACCGCTCAAGTCAGTCCTCAATCCTCGATCCTCAATCCTCATTCCTTAATTATCAACTTTTTTATACTTTATCCAAGGTCTATTGCTTCAGCAAAATAGTAGAATAGCCAGGTTGGGTTGGGACTCGGGTTTTGTTCCTAAGTAGCCAATATATCACACAAAATGACAACTGCAACAAGCAGGCCAAGAGGCACCAGACCGAAATAAACAGAGCCTCCACCAATGACCATGCCCAAGCGATATAAGTACAATGTAGACAAGGCCCCCGTAGCTCTCCAGAAGACAGCAACGTAGCCAAGAACGTATTTCGTGACAAGGGAATTAAATCAAAAACAGGGAGGGAAAAATGGGGAACACAAAATCATCAATACACACAGGTATGTGTCCGCTCAAACGCCGGGTACCAAGCCACTGATATTCAGGAATAAAGTCATAGGGGTATGCAAGGTGATGCAAGAATCGAGTCGTGAGGCACTCTCCAGAATGACAAGAGACGAGAGAACAGCTCAAACGGGACGCCATGATAATTAGTGCGTTCCAACATACTTGAAGTAAGTAGGTCGGCAATCCTCCTTGGAAAGGAAGTCTGCGCCTTGGAAGAACTGGCCAGCTTTGCAACCGGAGCATTTGGGAGAATTGGGGCAGTTGAGATACGGGATGTGGTTGTACCCGATATCGCGGAACCTAGTGGAGATACATGTGAGTGAGGGTTCTTAAATGAGATAAAAGTATGTGACTTACCAGTGGACGTTGGCGGCATCGGCGAAAAGACCAATGCCGAGGGAGTGGACGGGAGCATCACCCCAGCGCTCGTAGAAGAATCCACCGGCGCGATCCAGGTGCTGGAAGTACGCCTCGTACTTTTCGCCGCGGAAGAAGTCGAGATCACCGATCTCGAAGTTCGACCAGAAGTGGCAGGTGGAGTATCCATTCGCGGCCTTGGTGTGCTCGGGACGAGCCACGTCATCCGTAATCCACTCCCACATGTTGTTGTCGCTGAGGTACGACGGGTTGGCGGCGAGGAATCGCTGGGTTTCGGGCCAAAGGGTCGGGATACTCTGCGGTGCGTCGTACAGGTTGATGGTGAAGCCGTAGGTCTTGTTGCCATCCTCCATGTAACGGAACACATCGTAGTCGACATCGCAGAAGAACTTGACATTGGGTTCGATGCGCCAGTAGTAGCGGTAGTTTTCGAGGGCAGGGTGTTTGTAGAACATGCCGCTGTTCCAGCGACACATCTGGTGGTAGGAGACCTTGGAGCTATACTGGATGTCTTGTTCCTCCAAAAGCTTTGCCGACTCGCGGAAGAGGTCCATATTGATCCATTCTGGGACGTCCCAGTGTTCCTTGGGCACAAGTTCTGCATATAAAGTTAGGTTTGGTTCCTCTCGTTCTATCCGGACTAGAATGCGTACCATATTGGCACTTGGCCTTGGTCATAGCCTGAGTCTTCTGCTTGAACTCATCGGTGAAGGGTACATCGTTGAAGAAGATGTAGGGATAGTTGAACTTGCTGTTCCATGTTCGCTCCAGGTCGGTCATTGTCGAGAGCAGCTGACCAAGTTCCTCATTGCGGACGAGGGTAATGAGCGCAGCATTGGTGCGGGCCGATTGTTCGCTGTTGGGGGAGTAATCGTGTTCGTCCGCTCGCCATAAGTTTCCTACCGGTTCGCCGGTCGCTATCAAATCAGTTAGTATGGCACTTAGAGTGCGATGGTTGTGGGAGGTGTAGCAAGAAACTGGGGTCACGCACGATCTACAAGAGGATCCTTTTTCATGCCATGAGGCAACTTGGACCCTTCTTCAGAGGAGCTCTGGTGTAATTGGAAGACAAGAAATAGACAAAGAAGAATGCATGCTGCACCCAGCATGCGAATCGGACGCGCGATAGCCATGATGATTGTATGTGCTTAAAGGGGGGAGATGGTCGGAGAGAGAGAGAGGCGCGCATAAGAGTGGCCATCTTACCTCATCGGGACTAGTGCCATCCACGTAAAACAGCCGGGTCTCTCTTCACTTCAATGCTTCTTCACTCTATGACGTCTAGAGACATCTCGATGTGATTTATCTTGGATCTTGGATCCGAGCCAATGTCTTGAAATGGCTCTAGCGGCTGATCTGAGTACGCTTATCGACGCCTTAATCACTTCTGTCGCTAAGATATCACCAAACCACAAGGTAATATATTGAATTTCCATCAATCTCATATCGTCACACCCGGTGTACTCATATCTAAGTAGGGGTCTGCACGTGTCCAGAGTCTGAAGCGCCGTGTACAAGGAGCGCTCCGAACTGGTTCTCATACGCGCACCGACCAGTTTGCAGTCGCCAAGCAACTCGAGGGACTACAGGAAAAGTTTCAAATCTTGAATAGAGATGAACTTGCTGAAGCTCTTCACGCCCGCCTTGCGGAGCTGGAGAGCGACCGGATGCCCTGGCTTCCAGAGATTCTGAGTCTCTTATTGCAACTCTCAGATCGCCCCGCTCTTTTGTCAACGGTCAAACGTCCGAAGGAACGGGCCAAGGCACCAGAAGCAAAAGAGACTCTTTCTTGGTCGGACCTTGATGCAGCTGGGACGGCATTCAGCGACGAAGAAATTTGGGAACAAGTAGACTTTGCTGGCGACTCATCAGATGACGACTTTTCATCCGTTGCCAGTGATGTATCTCTTCCCAAGGACAGACCTCAATCCGCCACAACAGTGGATGAAGGGTATATCATTCCAGATGACGTTTTTGTTTCGGAAGAGGATGGCGATCTTGTTGCCTCTATAGAAAAGGCCCAATTTTGGAGAGCCGAGAATCACCATTCGTTGCCCCAAGCAGAAGCAACCACCTCGCGACTTATCACAGAATCCCAGCTTGCTAGGGAGACAATCTTCATGCTTCAGGGCCTTCCCACGTCTATTTACGTGCGCTTGGACGATGATTTTGGAGTGGATCGAAGATACACACTCGCACATTCATCCAACGAAGCCCTGGCATCGCTTTTGCAGTGTTTCATTGAGATAGGCGCCAAGCTCAACGCTGTACGGTATTTCACCAAGCTTCCACAGACCATCCCATATATGCAAACGTTTTGCCGGAGCTTAGAAGAGCGTCTCCTTGAATTTGATAGAGTCTTATCTCAAGTTCAGTGCAAATACCTTTCACCCGGTTCAACTGTCAGTCTCATCCAGCTTCTTGTTGATGTTCGTCAGCACTCTCATGAGCTAGCATTGCTCGCAGACATGATCGCCAATTTAGAAAGAAACTCAAATGATCAACCAATGTGCTGCCTTGATTCCTTATACAACTTAGTATGCATGCTGGAAGCCCTTGGCGACGAAAGTTCGTCTCAGCGCCTGGCGGAGCTATTTTTTATGTGTTTCAAAACATATTCAAGCTCGATCCGACTCTGGATGGAAACAGGTCAGGTCGATGCTTCGGACAGCACTTTCTTCGTGCGAACAAATCGTGAGAATGGGGATCTGCGGACTCTTTGGCATGACTGGTTTGTGCTTGATACGGGCCACAGGCAGCAGAGGATCCCCCAGTTTCTCGAGGCCGGTGTGCAGAAAGTCTTCACTGCAGGAAAGAGCATGGTATTTCTCCGCCATCTAAATGCGCTACCAGACATTGAAGCCATGAAATTTGAGGACTTCTATTGCCAGGATTCTTCATTATTACTTCCTTTCCCCGCATTAGTAGAGTCTGCTTTTGAAAAACTCGTGGATGTGGACCATTCACTCAGTGCTAGCTTATTACGAACTGAACTCGACCAACAATGCGGACTATGGACCTCCCTTGATGCTCTTCAACATGTCTACCTTGCCAAAGACATGAGCGCCATCAGCATTGTTGACGCAAAAATCTTTGAGTTGATCGATCGGGGTCGTTCCTGGGACGACAGATTCCTGCTCACTGAGATATCAAGGACAGCTTTCAGTTCAATATCCGTCATTGACGTATCAAGACTCCTTGTGCGGCCTGCTAGTACTTCATTGCGAGTTTCTCAAAATGATCATCGGACCGTGGGAATTCTAGAAGCAATCTCAATTGATTATGGCCTCCCGTGGCCTATTGCGAACATAATCACCGAGGACGCAATACAGGCATACCAACGAATCTCGACCTTCCTGATGCAGATCAGGCGCGCTAAATATGCCATTGTGAAACAGCGTATTCGCGACGCCCGTATCATCGCACCTGACGAAAAGGACACATTGGTACACGCTCTACATCATAACATGCTCTGGGTCCTCGATCTCATCTACGGCCATCTGACCTATCTCGTAATAACCACCACAACCCAATCTCTACACAAAGATCTATCTGGCGCACAAGATGTCGATGCCATGATAGCTGCCCACCAATCCTACATGTCCTCTTTGGAAGCCCAGTGTCTTCTTTCTGAAGATTTATCACATATCCACGATGCAATCATCCATTTCTTAGATCTGTGTGTTCATTTCGCAGATCTACAAACCGCGCACTTGCTCGGCGATGAAGACCAATATCTGGAGAATCCGAAGGCGCTGCGCACAAAGAAAAAACCCGAAGAAGAATTCGAGTCTGATGATGATGAAGATGATGATGATAACGAGGCCTACGATCACGAACACACACTCACAGTCTCATTTCGTGACTCGACCTATAGCCAGCAGCTGAAAACGGTCAATTACCAGTTCAACCATCTAACGACCTTTGTCACGGATGGCTTGAAAAGTTTAGTTCGTGCAGATGGGCTGCAAAGTTGGGATATTCTTGCCGACAGGCTCGAATGGCGGCGAAATTGGCGTAGGCTTTGATACAAATACCCTTGTTTTGGTTCCAGCGGGGAGTTGGCGTTATATGACCTAAAATTTGACGTAAGTACTAGTGGAAGATGCAATAATGACTTTTTCAACGACGTGCATGAATATCTGTCTCAAAATGAAGTCCTAGGCTTCTTTCCTCACAGCTAGGTAGAGGCGGGCACTTGAATGTAACCTCCGGCTATTCAGCTGAGGCCTTGTAGGTCGCCTAGATAAGAACCATAAGGCTCGTTAGTCGATGGTATATCTAAGCTTTCAACATAGGTAACTATAAAAAAAGTATCAGCTTTATCAGCGTCGTCACTAGAGGCTCGGCGTCTTTACGTTCGATGCGGAATTCCCCGTGGCCCTTAGGTCTAGGTTCTCTATATAAACTCCGTTCAGATATTATCGTTGTGTTTTATTGGATTGGTATTCAGATATATTATTGAACAATTTATATTTATTTGAGAGGCTATTTTGACATGTTCAACTCCAGTATCAAAAAGAGAATATGGACAAGAACTCAGAACGAGAAAGAAAAAAAGGATAAGAAAAGCTCCGTAAATATAAAACTAAGAAATCTAACCCACCCAGCGTCTGGCGCTGTAGAAGACACGTCCCCAAGGACCAATCTCGCCCCAGGACTCGGCGTTCGGAGGCAACCAACTGGCAATACCGTTCATGATGGTACGCTCAGGGTGGGGCATGATGGCAAGGACACGACCGTCGGCACTGCGCACACCGGCAATACCCTCAGGACTACCGTTGGGATTGAAGGGGTACGTCATGGTGGGCTTGAGTGTGGAATTGTCGACGAATCGGACGGGGGCAAGACCCTCGCGAACGAAGTCGGCAGCCGAGATGCCCTGGGAATTGACGAACGAGGCACGACCCTCGCCGTGAGCGACAGCAATAGGGAGCGAAGTGCCGTCCATGCCGTGGAAAAAGACGCTGGGGCAGGATGGGTCGGGGTCGGAGATGCGGACCATGCAGACACGGCCTTCGTACTGCTCGCTGGTGTTGCGCTCGAAGCTGGGCCAGTAACCCGCGCCAGGAATCAGATCCTTAATACGAGACAGGAACTGACAGCCGTTGCAGACACCTAGGGCGAAAGTATCCGGACGTTCAAAAAACTCCTGGAACTCCTTGCGGGTGTTCTCGTGCAGCAAAACGGACTTGGCCCAGCCCTGGCCGGCACCCAAGACGTCACCGTAGGAGAAACCACCGCAGGCAGCGAGACCGGCGAAGGTGGAGAGAGACACACGACCGGAGAGGATGTCGGTCATATGGACATCGACGGCGGAGAAGCCAGCGGCATTGAAGGCAAATGCCATCTCAGCTTGACTGTTAACACCCTGCTCACGAAGGATGGCAACACGGGGCTTGTTGGCGAAGGGGGAGTATTGGGAAAGACTAGCCATCATAGGCAAGGCCTTGTCCTTGGGGTCGAAGGTAGGGTTCCAAGAAAGACCGGGGTTGGCGTCGTCAAGGATGTTGGCATACTCCTGCTCCGCACAGTCCGCGTTGTCGCGGATCTTCTGCATGTGGTAGGAGGTATTGGCCCAGGTCTGCTGGAGGCTAGAACGGGTGTTGCGGTAAATCAGAAGAGCCTTGTAGTAGATCGCAAGGTTCTGCTTGGGCTGTTGAGAGATACGTCCAATCTTGTGGATCAGACCCGGAGGAGGACCGCAAGTGGCGAAGCATGAGCGGAACAGGATCTCATGCTCCTTGCGGACCTGGAAGACGGCTCCAAGCTCCTCGTTGAAGAGGCATTCAATGAGATCCTTGGTATTGTGAGAGGCACATATGTTATCGAGCATGATCTCAACACCACAGCGACCGGCGAACATCATTTCAGCAAGAGTAGTCAGAAGACCACCATCGGAGCGATCGTGGTAAGCCAAGACAATTCCGACTTCTTGAAGTTGCTGTGTAGCATCGAAGAAGTCCCGGAAGAGATCAACGTCGCGAATATCAGGGCACTCGGAACCGACTTCGTTGAAGACCTGAGCAAGAGCCGATCCGCCAAGCGCCTTACGACCGAACGAAAGGTCCACAAACATAAGGACAGTCTCCCCTACTTCTTCGAAGCTGCGAAGAGCCGGGGTCCAGGTCTTGGTGAAATCGCCAACCGGCGCAAAGGCAGAGATGACACAGGACATGGGGGCAGTGACCTCCTTGGCCTCGTTCGAGGTCTCATCCTTCCACTTCATCTTCATGGACATAGAATCCTTGCCGACGGGAATGCTGATACCAAGTTTAGGGCACAGATCCAGACCGACAGCCTCCACGGCTTCATAGATAGCAGCGCCCTCGCCAGGGTGGTTACCCGCAGACATCCAGTTGGCAGAAAGCTTCACTTGGCTGAGACGAACGACAAGATCGGAAGCAGCCAGGTTCATGAGCGACTCAGCAACAGCCATACGAGCAGACGAAGCCGCGGAGATAAGAGCCAACGTCGGCTTTTCACCCATAGCGAAGGCTTCACCGGTCTTCATACCCTGGGCCAAGGAAGTGGCAGTAACCGAGACATCCGATACGGGTGTCTGCCACTTGCCAACCATCTGGTCACGGGCTGTTAGGCCGCCGACAGTGCGGTCGCCGATAGTGATCAAGAAGGACTTGGAGCCGACTGCAGGCAGAGACAACACTCTCTTGATAGCCTCATCAATAATCTCCGTCCTCGAGGTGAGAGAGGGAAGATACTTGCTGAGGCTAGAGTCCACGGCGGGCAGCTTCAGCTTCCGCGAATCGACAGTGCGGGTCATGCGAGGAGTCTTTCCGAAAAGCACAGAGAGAGGAAGGTCAATGGGGGTCGGGTACTCCTTGGAATCTCGGTCAAGGAGAATGAGTCTCTTTTCTTCTTCGGACGAACCGCCGCCACGACCGACAACGGAGTAGCCACAACGCTCACGATGAGCGATAGCAGTGAACTTGTTCATGCTCTCCTCACCAATGGCCATGACATAGCGCTCTTGGGCTTCACAGCACCAAATTTGCATGGGGCTCATGCTACGGTCGGTGTTATCAATTTCACGAAGCTCGAAAGTGGCTCCCAAGCCCGAGTCATGGATCAGCTCAGGAAGGGCGTTGGACAAGCCACCGGCACCAACATCGTGGATGAACTTGATGGGGTTGTTTTCTCCCATGGCCACACAGGCGTTGATAACCTCTTGAGCTCTCCGTTGAACTTCGGCATTGCCTCTCTGGACACTGGCGAAGTCAAGCTCAGCAGATCCCTCACCAGAAGCGATACTGGAGGCAGCACCTCCTCCCAGACCAATAAGCATGGCCGGACCACCAAGAACAACAAGGAAAGAACCCGGCTTGACAACATCTGGGTGCTTGATAGCGTGCTGTGGGCGAACACTTCCAACACCACCAGCGATCATGATGGGCTTGTGGTATCCTCGCACTTCCTTTTCACCATTGCCCACATCAATTTCGGTGAGCAGAGTGCGGAAGTATCCACCAATGCAAGGACGGCCGAACTCGTTGTTGAAAGCAGCGCTGCCAATGGGTGCCTCCAACATGATATCCAGACTGCTGGCAATGTGGTTTGGTTTTCCGACATCGAGCTCCCATGGCTGCCTGAAGCCAGGAATCAAAAGGTCCGACACACAGTATCCGGAAAGACCGGCCTTAGGGCGTGAGCCACGACCGACGGCACCCTCATCACGGATCTCTCCGCCAGATCCCGTAGCCGCACCAGGGTAGGGTGAAACAGCAGTGGGGTGGTTGTGGGTTTCAACCTTGGCAAGGAAGTGTACAACTTCCTTGGTATGCATCCACTGCCCGGTCGTTGGATCGGGGGCCCAGAACGCGGCCTCGGGGCCCTCTAGCACGGCAGCATTGTCACTGTAGGCACTGACGGTGTGTTCGGGGTGCTTCTTGTGTGTGTTGCGGATCATGGCAAACAGACTGTTTGGCATGGGCTTGCCATCAATCACCCAGGAAGCATTGAACTGCTTGTGTCGGCAATGTTCCGAGTTGACCTGAGCGAACATGAAGAGCTCGACATCAGTAGGGTCACGGGCAATCGCACCATTTGGACCATAGGCCTCGGCCAGGTATTCGATTTCCGAATCATCGAGGGCCAAGCCGAGCTCCGTATTTGCCTCTTGGAGAATCTCCTTGGGGGACTTGGTACCACCCTGGAGGGAGATAGTCTTGAGAGGTTGAGGAGCGTGCTCGGAGAACATAAGGCTCAGATCGGGCTCATCCTTGCCAATGATCTGAGTCATCCGGTCATGAAGCGTATCCATGTACTTCGGCTTGTAGTCCTCCGCACTGGTACGAAGACACGAAATCTTCATACCCCGTTCGATCCGCTTGACGTACTTCTGCAGGCCACAGACGTGCGAAATGCCTGTTGCCTGGGAGCTCCATGGCGAGACGGTACCGGTGCGTGGGAAAACATAGAAGGTATCGGACTGACCGTCGGTGGTTTCGAAAGTAGGAGGGATGTCTGTGATATCGCCGTACTGAAGCAATTGCTCGAGTACGGCACGCTGAGGCTCTTCCAAGGGCTGGGTAGTATGCACATAGTGAATCCACTGGGCTCGGACGTCCTGGACACCGATGCTATCAGCAATAGCATGCCCCCGAGAGCGGGAAAAGGCGACAGAGCCCGGGATGGCGAGATAAGTATCGGTAGAAGTCATCGTGAAGCAAATTGGGGATTCTCCCAATGAGTCAATCAAGTATGACACAGGAGATATGAATTGATTCTCCTGATACCGAAGTAGATTGAGTGGCTCGAGTGCCTCTCTCAAGTGGACTTGAGAAGATCGCTAGAAGAGGCCGGCGATGACTCTCTATCGCCGCTTTTCTTTTTTTGTAAGAGAAATGAGTTTCCCCCGCCCTAAACCCGTTGTGGCTTATCGTACTAGGTCATGTGACGATAACGGTTTAAAGTTTGACACCAACAAATTCTTCAATTCGTTCATTTTCTTGCATAGTATACAATGGTGTATTTATTCATATATCTTCTGAAGGGACATGTCAATTCATAAAATATTACAATTGACCCTATCAAATGCCAACCACCCCATGTCTGGTGCATGTCTGGTGTTGTCGCGCCCCACTAAACACCAAACTAGAAGTTAGGTATCTTTTGTATGAATTTACCATATAAAGGATACTTAGGCTCCATCTACTACACTTGCTTCTTCTTTCCATCTTCATCATAAATATTCTGAATTGATTTTTAACTCTTTCTTCGATCGACCTGGCATGTCACAAGAGACATGACCTAGCATACCTCGATTCGATTAACCTTAGGCCGAATTTACCTCTGCTTCGGGAGGCTCAAAGACCACTGCAACTACGCCCTCATCCCAATCATCTCCGTCTCTTATGGAGTCGAACGATCTTGTCGTGCCCCCCAACGCAGGAAAACTTCGCCCACACTTCCTACATGATGTCGACGACACAATCGGAGAGCTGAATTCGATAGGCATACCATTGTGCGTATACCCTCCAACCATGGCAATATATCTGGGCTCATGAAATTCCGCAATGCCTTTTCACCCAGATCGAAACAGACCTTGCACTTTGTCTAGATGTTCGAATCATAGTCGCGTACGCCAAGTCTGCTATCTTATTGAAAAATACCGGGTTGACAACATGAAAGTATGATCGAAAAATTCCGTAGCATCGTTCTCGGCTACCCTAAATCTATGGGCTGATTCTTACGACATAGAACGAACTTGCGGATTCCTATATAGTAAAGAAGCAGATTGGGCATTCGTTCCGAACGGCACCCGTGTCGATTTGGCCGCTAACGAGTATCCTTCCCTCGTTCTTACGGTTCGCGCTCCTAAATCCTCGAACTCCGCCGCGATGCCTATTGGTGGTATTTATGGAATTGGGTGGCTTCAACGCTAACCCTATCTTGACATCATGACTCGCCATGCGCTTCTTGCATGCCAAGAATCTTGAACTCGTAAATGCATACAACTTGCAGTATGTTGTATTGCAGGAAAGAGTTTGAATATAGGCTGTACTCAGTCGCTTTGAGTCTGAATACGAGGATCAGTTCTTTCCTATCGTTGATTTTACCTGATTCTCTTTCTGAACCAATTCCAAATGAAGGAGGGTTTTCTATATCTACAGGGTGGAAGAGAAGTCTAATTTATAGATCTGGCGTTTGGTGGGGCGCTCCAACACCAGATATGTATGGTGGTCCTAGGCGCTTGGCACGGTTGCTATATAAATTCTTTCATCTATAAAGTTCAAAAAAAGGGAAAACCTATGGCTATTGGGATACATTCTAGACACCGAAGACAGCATAATTGAAATGTTTCTCATCACACCCTACTTAGTATTTGAGCTTATTTCATACGACAATAACCAAACACCTTGAAAGCCTAGCAAGGACAGAAAGAGCTAGAGTACAATTTGAACGTCAATCGTCAACGAGGAAAGCACTATAATTTTGATATAGAATCTTCAAACCACCCTTTCAGCTCATCATTAAACCCTTGTTACTCTCCCGAAGTTTGACCTCCGCGGCTAAGTAAACTTCCAGCTTGGCCCACAGGGCTTAGCGCCCACAATCTACTGAAAATTTTCATACCCCCTTTAACCAGCAGCATTAATGAGCTACTGGAAGTCCGTGCCGGAGCAGAAGTTGGTGGGACCACACCTCATTGTTCCACCTGAGTAGGAACTTGACAAGACTGCGATAAGCATAAAGTTCGCCTAGAGGTGAGTGGGCCGCCGATGAATATGAAGCTAGGGTGAAAATTCGAGCAACACTTTCGTGAAGAACGCAGCCCGAACTCGATAAGGATGATTTGGTCTGTGAGCAAGTGAGTGCTAATATCATAGGGGTTAGCCGCGTACTCGGAAAAGTAACTCCATTTGGTAACATCGAGCGAAGTACTTGATGCCTGATGGATTGTCTGAAACGAACATACCTTCATCGGTCCAATCATCAAATAAGAGGATATTTGGGTAGCAATCTGCTGAAGTTGGGCATCTACAGAGCTGAATAAACCCTAAGGTTTCTGCTATCTGAAGACTAGTACTCCGTAATTCGGGGCCACACCAACAAGCTGCGAGGAATTCTTTTCTTTTTCTTTTTCGTAAGCTAGTTTCCGTTATATTGATTACAATACAAACGCTAGTTGCTGGTCTCTCAATTACAAAGTAGACTGGAAGCTAATTGAGAAATTCCCGTCCTTTGCTTAACCCTGGACCCTGTTATCCATATTGTCAAAGCGCCTTATAGTTAAAATTTTGGTTCTCTAAATTCCAAGTTATGTATCCGGCCCATGCATAAAGGGGCTCTATGTGTACTCCGTAGTGGCCCCATCAAAAGCCCCTGCGTGAGAGCCCCCCTTTGATCCTCAGGATCCGCCTAGAGGTGGCACAAAGCTTAGCCTATTCTAGGGATGACTACCGCAGGGATGATCTCTACGAGAGATATAAGACTGCATACGAGTACAACATACGGAGTAGCATTCCATAGGCAACAAAGTGAGCAGAGAGAGAAGCAGGAGAAACACGATCTAACTACTAGCTAGTAAACAAACCTCGCAAACAGGCGCTGTCACCGCCGGTGCCTAACTCCGCAGGCTCCTCAACTTGCATAAAACTCGGCATCTTCCGCATCGAGGCCGACATGATCGTAAGGGGAATTTTCCGGTACGGGCCCGAGTTAGCGGATTTGGAAAGACGTGGATTTTTGGAATTTGGACTTTTGGATATATGAAAAGTGGGGCTTATACGCACGATACCGGTGTGACCACCAAATTAAAGTTCGAGTTCACCCCAATTCGGCGTCGTGACATTTGCGACACTTCCAGGGTTGCATCATGATGAGATCTGTGATATTTTGACGCCACAATTAGGGTCTGGGTCTGCCTGAAACGAGGGATCTCGTATACTAGCGGAATCCTTATCTGGCATTGGTAATCCATAGTGTACTTCCTGCGTATACATGAGTCGAAGAAATAAAAACAAACATTTATTATGGGGATAGGGGTAGAATTTCCACCAAGGGGTATGGGTATGGGGTACGGAGTACGGAGTATGCCCTCCAACAATAATACGGAGAAAAATTTCCACACAAACAACCGGAAAAACACATATTGCACTAATTCTGGGGTAAGGACTGGGAGACTTGTATCTTTTATATGGTCCACCCATACAAAAGATACCTAGCTTCATAGATGCTAGACGGGACCCATAACCGCTGGCAAGTGCTCTCATTGGCCAGCGAACAAAGCCTAGGTTTGATGTAAGGAATCTAGAACATCTAAAAATGCCGTGGCGAATCGACATCCCGCCTTGCAGAGGTTTGATATTCCCAATGTGGAAATAAAGTAGTCTTCCAAATTGGGCGATATGTTCCGAACTATACAGGTGGGGCACAAAAACACAGTCATATTAACCTACCGTGGCCCACTGGGCGGAAAAGTTGTATGTATACAAATCCATGTGACAATGTGCATAATATGCCTAGGCCAAGCTAATGATCAAAATAAGTTCAATGCTGTTTCAGGTCGTCTCTTCCAGAACAAAGTAGATACAACTACGGAGTATTGGATATCTACGTGTTCGAATCCGTTTTTAAGGTTTGTTTGATCTAAAGGATGACTATGTTTCATAATTCTCGCTCTCCTAATTCGGCCTCTATATTACGATCGCCTTGATTGATCTCACGACGCGTGGTGGTCACAGCCCGACCCGCTTTCGCGTGATGCCAAGCTGATGCCAAGCTGGAACTCGGAAAGACATCCCTTGAAGAAGATAGGAAGTATACAGCAGCAAAAGAAATATCCCAGGCTACAACGCATTCAGCTGTTGTTGCTCAACAATCACATTGATCGACATGGAAAGCGCATTCTCTACTCCGAAGTGTAACAGTCGTAGTCTCCTTGGAAAGGCCCGCCAGGGTGGGCTTACCGACATGCCAATGAGTAGAGCTGCACGCTGATAAGTCTAGAGCTTCACATTGGTAATAGAAAAGTATAGCAAGTGTCTTTTTCCCAAAGGAAAATGAGGTATCATGAATCAAGCTGTAATGCCAAGGCGTCTGTCGTCGCATATTGCCTGATTAGGCTAGTTCCGCCATTCCCTATTAGGCAACCCACCTGGTTGCGGGCCGATATCAGAGCTTCTTGTAGGAAAAACGGCGATGGAATGTTATGAACAGTTCGTCCATGGATCATTCTTTGTTGCTTTTTCCTTTCTATCATGACCCACTTCTCGAAATTTCGGCGCCGAATTTTATTGGAGTTGAATTATAAAAGAATGCCCCCCCGGATTGTATGACCATAGCTTGCCACCATTACAACATCTCGAGCCATCGCAATACCTTGCACCTAATACAACGCCTTGCACCTATACCCCCCTTGCGCCTATACCACCCTGCACCCATAACTACACAGCACTTCATACTTTGTCTGGGTACAGCCCTCCATCATCAGTCATATCCTTCAACATGGAGGCTCCACGCTCGGCTGAGACCCACACAGATGGGACCCCAGTAGAGGCTATCCGGACGGTCTCCCTCGGGGCTCAGAACAACAATGCAGCCGTACCCGATGATTACCTCGATCTACCTGTCCGCGAGGTCACCGATGATGCGGATTTACGCGAATACATCACTGAGACGCAGACGGGTGAAATCATCAGGCCGATCAAGTCCAATGTGACTGGTAAATTCGAGGATTGGAAGATGGTGACCTTCACCATCGACGATCCTGATAATCCCAAGAACTGGTCCAAGGCTTACAAGTGGTATTGCACGATGGTTGTCGCATTCACCTGCTTCGTCGTCGCCTTTTGCAGTAGTGTCATTACAGCCGATATTGAGGGACCCATGGAGTCCTTCCATGTCAGCCGTGAAGTTAGCTTGCTTATTGTCACGGTTTTCGTTATTGGATTTGGTGTTGGTGAGTAATACAGATGTGTGATATGGGTTGCATAGTTCTAACCTTATTTTAGGACCCATGGTCTTTGCTCCGATGTCAGAGATCTTCGGACGTCGACCCGTCTACGCTCTGACCCTGGCACTCGCAGTTATTTTCGTCATTCCATGTGCTGTTTCTAAGAACATTGGAACTCTCATTGTCTGCCGTTTGATCGACGGAATCGCTTTCAGTGCCCCCATGACCCTTGTCGGTGGAACTTTGGCCGATTTGTGGAGGAGCGAGGAGCGTGGTGTTCCCATGGCTGCTTTCAGCGCTGCTCCCTTCCTTGGTCCGGCCATCGGTCCACTTGCTGGTGGATTTTTGGCCGACAATGCTGGCTGGCGCTGGCTTTACTGGCTTCAGCTTATCCTGGCCTTCGTTGCCTGGGTCATGATCAGTTTCACCGTTCCTGAGACATTCGCACCAATTATTCTAAAGAGACGTGCAGCGAAACTCCGCAAGACCGAGGACGACCCTAAATATACCACCGAAACCGAGCTTGATGCTCGTCCATTGGCTGAGGAGTTGCGCGTCTTCATTCTTCGCCCCTTCCAGCTTCTGTTCCTTGAACCCATCGTCTTGTTCATTTCTCTCTACATGTCTGTCATTTATGGCTTGCTATACATGTTCTTCGTTGCGTAAGTGAACAACCTTTTGTCTTTATACACTTAAAAGAGACTGGAAACTAACTATATTTCTAGCTACCCCATTGTTTACCAGGGCGGCAAAGGATGGAGCGCGTCTAATACCGGTCTCATGTTCATTCCTCTGGCCATCGGTGTGGTCATGAGCGCAGCTTGCGCTCCTTTTGTCAACAAGCACTACCTCAAAATGTCTGCGGCATGCGGTGGTAAGCCTCCCGCCGAAAAACGTCTGATTCCCATGATGTGTGCTTGCTGGTGTGTGCCTTCTGGTCTTTTCGTCTTCGCCTGGACCTCCTACCCCCACATTCACTGGATGGGACCGGCTATGGGAGGCTTCCTTATTGGATTCGGTATTATCCTGCTGTACAACTCCGCCAACAACTACCTTGGTATGTATCAAAAGCATTCAATCTTTTTGATTTGAGTCATTGCTAACTATCTCTCCAGTTGACACCTACCAGCACCAAGCCGCATCCGCTCTCGCAGCCAAGACCTTCATCCGTTCCATCTGGGGTGCCTCCACCGTGCTCTTCACAGAGCAAATGTACGAGCGTCTGGGCGACGAATGGGCCAGTTCGCTTCTTGCATTCATCGGCCTGGCTTGCTGCGCCATTCCCTATGTCTTCTACTTCAAGGGAGAGGCCATTCGTCGTCTGTCGAGGTTCGCTTACCATGAGGACGAGGAGAAGGCTGTCAAGGCATAGGGGTTGCCAAACTTGATCTCGGGAATTGGTCCCGGGAATTTTTAAAAAGGAGGTAATTTTTTTCATTTCTTTCAGCTTGTGGAGCATTGTGGAAATGGTTTACTGGTATGACTGATGTGGAAAAGAACATGGATGACATTGGCGGCGTCTTTTGATATCCATTGCATATATACTTGGTTTTGAAACTTAACATATAGATAGTTTTTATTTTTTAATATAAAATTTGTTTTGAGCACATAATTATGAGCCGATTGGAGTCGTTTTGATCTAGTGGGATGAATAGTTTGATACATTAGAGAACACTCGAGATGTAGACGGTGGTGGTAAGCAGGAATCATCTTGCATTGATAGATGGAATCGATGGGCTTGGCTGATAGTTGTATTTTACATATCTATTTGCTCGAATCATTCCTCCATTAGTGTCAAGTTCTTCATGTTGCAAGTGACTTCCCGTCAATGAATATAACAAGCGTGACTATCTTGGGTGCTGCTAGTTTTTTTTTCTTTACATTAAACATGAGCTCTATAAAATTAGTGATGGATAAAGAGAAACATTCGAAGATTGAAAGCAGAGGGTTGTAATCGCCTCTCCTAGTTAGGAAGGCCATTGTTTATTCAACGGGATAGGCGCCCGCGGCACAAAACCTGCTGACATAACCCACATGATACCCCAACGAGCTCATCGGGACCATCGCATCATTTTACTTTACCTTTTTCTCGAGATCAAGGGTCAACACCAACTCAGACGCCGTTATTTAAAGACACAACACAAATCCTCGGTCTTTTCCGATCCTAATAATGGCCTCCGACCCCACCTCCGCCTCGCCCGCCGAGCTCTACGACTCTGCCATCACCGTCCCCTCCGACTCAGAGAACTACTCCGCGAACCATGAATTGTCCTCCTCGGTCCCATCAACCACAAGCTCACTCATGATGCTTTATAAGCCGCCAAGTGTGTGGGGTCTCCTTCGCGGAGCGGTCATCAACCTCTTCCTCCCCTTCGTCAATGGTCTCATGCTAGGCTTTGGAGAGCTGTTCGCACACGAGGCTGCTTTCCGCCTTGGATGGTCTAACACTAAGGTATGAGTAGTTTTACATAAGTCTATTTGGATTCTATGACTGATTAGCTGCTCCCATTATTATAGATCTTCCCCAACCATCGCCGCTCACATGCAGTGGGCCCCGGTGTTGAAATGCGGGAGCTTCCTTCGGAGCGGAGACGCCCTGGACTGAGGGACACTGCTTCTTTGGAATAAGTGATTGATGTTTCTGCCGTTTGATCCGTTCAACAATGACTGCATTTACGCGGAGGACAAAATCGAAGCATATGTGATTTGGGATCGATACCTGGCTTTCTGTGCACACCTGAATTTAGTGGTTGTACATAGACCTTTTGGCTCAGGGGGGCGTTTGGCGAATTAGGATTTACATTTGCAACCAGATGTTGTTACCATATAGAATATCTAAGTCTATGAATTCCATCTATTTATCTATATTTCCATATTCGAATCTCCGAGTCTCTGTGCCTGTCCTGTACAACATAGCCGTGGGTCAGCATTTACCGCCCGGGCAGAAAAAGTCGCGCCGAACGGCACGAGAACAACTCTTCCGTACTGGCTATCTCCCCATTTCTAATTATCCAAACCACCATGATGGGATCTGTTGGCCTGAAAGGGTCCGGCGCAGCCGCTGCCCTTGCCCGTCAGAGAATGACCGCCATGTCCCGCTCCTCTAGATCTGTCTGTTCTCCCGTTGACTCGGATTTGCAAAAACATCGAAATTGACTTGGCTTTGCAGATGTCTACCTTGCGGTCACAAAGCCTGCGGTTCCCTAGCCAGCGGAGCCAATTGAAATCAGCACTATCCGGCAGTGCTCCCTGGCGCATGACACCAGCTGTTGTCGGCCCGGCCGCAATCCGATTCAATTCCACCTCCTCTACCCACCCCGACGTACTCCCTGAATATGCTATAGACGGCTCATTGAAAAATACGGTAGACATGACTGAGATTACCGCGATCCCGGAGACCATTGGATATCTCAAGGAGCTTGGGCTGGACTTCGGCTGGGGCTTCACGACGACAATGCAATGGCTTATCGAGCACACTCACATATGGACCGGCTTGCCATGGTGGGCTAGTATCGTGGCCGTCGGTATTTTGACTCGTGTGGCAATGCTGAAGGCTGTCATTGGCGCCTCCGAGAATTCTACAAGAATGACCAACGCCAAACCGGAGACTGAGCCCCTCCGGAAAAGGATGTTTACTGCCACGACCGATGGGAACCAGCAGGAAGCCCAGATTTTGAGGGCCCAGATCAACGAGATCAACCAGAAGCACGGCATTGTCACATGGAAGTCATTTATTCCCATGTTGCAAATTCCACTTGGTTTCGGATGTTTCCGAGTCGTGCGAGCAATGACTACGTTGCCAGTGCCGGCCCTAGCCGCGGAACAAGTGGGATGGCTTAAGGATCTGACTGTTGCTGATCCTACGTACATCTTGCCTATGATGGCTGCAGGCACGCTGTGTCTGTCTCTGAGGGTAAGTTGGTCTCATATGGTCTACTATAACTGCGATACTAACCAAGATAACAGAGAGGTGGTGAATCCGGCGCTATGCCCATGATGCAAACTGAAGCAGGAAAGTACATCGTGTATGGTTTCCCTGTCATGTCTTTTGCCTTCATGGCGTTCATGCCGAGTGCCCTGCAGCTCTACTTTGTGGCAAGTGGTATTTTCGGCCTAGGTCAAACTTATTTGATCAACTCGGAGGCCTTCCGGAAGTGGATGCACCTGTCGATCGCCCGGAGACCATCCAATGGACCGAAGTACTCGGCAGTTACCCAAAACACCGAAAGCAAGCCCCTTCGCAGGCTGCTGGAACGGCTTGAGAAGGAAAAAGCCGCGCAAGAGAAAGCACAAGAGAAAGCACGCAGCGAACTAGCTGCCTCCCCGGAACAAGGTGGGAAAATCAGCTTGATTGACCGCATCTACAACAAATTCGGCAAAGTCGGCACCAACTTCTCAAAGTCTGTCTCAGAAAGCATTGGCACTTCAACGGTGGAGCAACGTCTCGCCAAGGACAAGAAGAAGCGCGCTGATGAATACGAACAACAGCGAAAAGACGAGGATGAGCTCATGCGGAAGGAGCGTAACGAACTCCGCCGCAAGGAGCACATGCAAACCCTAGAGAACGAACGGGCCAAGGCAAGCAAGTCCTTGAAGAATAGCCAGACGGCAGCTCGCAAACCCAACGGGCGGCGTGGCTCTCGCCGTGCTTGATCGGCGTGTGTTTAGACAAACTGTAAAATATGGCGCAGTAGCATTCGCATTTTGTTTTCGTGATTTGAAGAGTGGAATTTACTTGACCACAATCTCCATTTGGCTATGTACACTTCTATAATTGAAGCTTTCATTACTGATTTTGCTATTGCATTGGATAAAGACGCGAAGAGCAAAGGGAAAAGCCAGAACAAGTCATATTTACACCCATGGCCATGGTCCAGCCATGTCGAAGGAAAGCAGCCACAAAACACCAAAAGCCCAGGTGAGTCAACTTAAATCTATATCAAGCCGTCTGCATAGGGACCGATTGCAACGGCAACGGCGTCTTCTCGTCCTCAACAAAAGCAGCCCTCTCCAGCTTCTGCGTTAGAGAAGCACAGAAAGTATCCACATACGCCGTCCACAGCGCAGCAAGGAAATAGACCATCCCAATCCAGACCGGAATACTAATTGCAACGACCCACGGCGGCCGGATAGGCAACCAGTCGTCGCGGACGTCATCGGTCAACGCCTCAGGACCCTCCCACGGCTGCCCGCTGATACCATACAGCATCCAGCAGAGCACGACACGCAACATGGTTCCGTGGATGAGGTAGACGGCGAAACTCTGCTTGCCGAGCCAGAGTAGGAGTCTGCTGGAGAGGAAGTCTTTCGTCGAAGGCGAAAAGAAGATCGCGAGGATGATCATGTCAATTGCGAGGGCCGTGTAGCGTTTCCCGACATTGACGTCTGGCGGGAAGATGTATTGACTTGCTTCGAGCATTGCGTTGGACCAGCCGGCCCATTCGGGGTGTTCGCCTGGGTATGAAGCGAGGAATAATGCGATGATAGTGAGCGGGATGGTGAGCATCTTCCGGCCTCGTGGGTGGTCTTCTATCCAATCTTTGAGGGGTGCGTGGTAGGAGAAGTCGCTGAGGAGCATGCCGTAGATGGCTTGCATTTGGAAGGTTTCTGTACTCGGCATTAGCGATGGGTCATTTTGTCTGCCACGAGCACTAAATTGAAGGCTCATATGTTGTTTCCACGAGCAACACTCACCTATATCCTTGGCTGCATCCTGATGGAAATACAATAATAACCCAACATAGATCAAGACCCTATACCGAAACTTGACAAACATAGTCGCCGAAAGCACTAGATAAACCAACATGGACGACACCAGCAGCGGCAGAAGCGCCCACTGATGATCATCGTACGCCATATATCCGGTCGTCCAAGTCGATAAGAAATTCATCGGCAACCGAACAAGCTCCTTCCAAAACGAATCCTCCAGATCCGGCGCGGCATACCGACACCACCAGCAATCGGATCTATTGGCGACTATAAACCCGCCGAATTGCGCAACAGTCCACGAGATGACCAGGGCAATCGTCGCGGGAAAGATGAGTCGTGGCGGTCGACGAAAGGCGCTTTTTGCTATTGTCTCGAATGCGCCTAATGTATCACCTGTTCGCGACAGCTTGAGCGGTTTCAACGCGCAGACGTAGCCGGTTAGGAAGGCGAAGATCGTTACGCCTAGACGGCCTTGCCAGGGGATTCGGAGGATGGGCCATTGGAGGATTCGCGGACTGGCGTCCTCGTTGTCGCGTGGTGAGAATAGATCATAGTCCCAAGCGCGGGCGAGGTGCGTTAGCACTACTAGGAATGAGGCGATTCCTCTCAGGCCCTAGAAGTTAAACATGTTAGAAATATCGTATATTATCTGCTTTCAAGACATACGTCAACCCATTTAACACTCTTCCTGGGATCTCCTTTCACCGATGGATCCCCGGAGGACCAAGGCAAGGCTGTAGGTATTGTATCTATTAAACGGGTGTATAGATTGGAGGGCTGGAGGGAGTGCATTATAAACGCAAGTCAAAGACGTCCAATATCCGAATAAGAATCAGGCTATGAGATAAGAAGGACGACTATCCCACTCCAACCGAAAAAAGAGGGTATAAAAAGAATAGAATGACAGTAAAAGGAACACAAAGAAAGCAGAGACATGTAAGAAACTGGGATACGTAGCAATCCCCTCCCTCGGCGATCCCATCAAGAAAGAGGCTGCCAAGGAAGAAAGGAGTTGCAGTCGACGCGGCCCTGCAAGCGCCAGCCCTGATGTGCTCAGATCCAATCGCATATTCCGTGGGAGACAGGTGGACATCGGACTATGTAGTCCCACATTATTGCAGGAACGGAGAGGAGAACGCCACTCGGATAGCAGCAAGGGCTGCACATGCGCGGTGGCTTTCTGCAGGGTCGAATAAATGATCTACCTCATTCTTGATTTTGGATGGGGATAAAGGATAGGTCTACTATGTATTTCCATTTAGTCCATCTCTGCTCCGTGCTCCGTCTACTGTATGACATTGAGAATAGCCCTAATTCCGAGAACGCCATGTACCCAACCAGACCACCTAGCCACATAGGCAGCAGGATGAAGTTGAGAAAAGCACCACCCTTCTGTGATATGTAGTATCCAGAACATGGCTGTGTTTGGTATGTCGGTTACACTAGGAGTAGACTTGACTGTTTGAAAACAGTAGAATTCGACACATAGGGTATACCGTGAGAGACCACATGAAGAGAATGGAGCAAATAATTAACCCTAGACAATAGCTCCTGTCCAATACGAATCATGTCTGCCTGCACGGAGTACTTAGATGTGTTGTAAATGACACCGGCATTCTTCGCCCCTGCCAAGATCGAGGGCGTCTGGGTTCGATCGATCAAATCTAATGGAATGTGCGATTGATACGCTTGTGTTCTAAATTAAGACTGGATTCAAGTCTGTTCATAGTACATGCATACATAGTATGTTGCGGAAGAGAAGAATCGTGATATCAGAGCCAGTCTGCCGTATCAATTTTCCCCCAAAGTCCAGATCGCTAATTTTAGTGTAGTATTAGACATGAAAAGAAAGTAAAAAATCTCACCAAATATGCAACGAGCACTGAGTTCTCATCTGAAAAGCCTCCTCCCACCTGCACTCCCCGAGTTCCACGTGAATGAGCCTCGAACTCCCAGGTTCTCCAGACTCAATCCCGAGTAGCCGACTCCACCACCTTCACCATCACGCTTCGTTCGCCGTACCGCTTCACGCAAATGCGATGGAAGAAGTTGGCCACGGTGTGGGTTTGGCGGAAGACGGAACTCGCGTCTGGGGCGGAGAGGAGTGGGAGTTTGGTGCGGAGAGTTCTGATAAGTAGGGATAGAGGGTGTAGGTGTACGACTAGAGTCATGTGGTTCTTTTTTAACACCATTGCCGAAAGAGGTTGGAGTGCCTGTGGGGGTTGGTGTGGAGTGTTTTGAATTTGCGTTCGCAGCTGAGGCTTTCGCCTGGGCCGCGGCTTCGGCAGCGGCTTCTTCGGCCTCGAACGCATCGCGCGCAGCAAGGTCGTGTGCTTCGGCCCATTGGGCCTGAACCGTTCGCGCCATTTCAATCACCTCACCGGCGAAGACCTTGGTGAAGCCGTTGACGGTCGTGACCACGCTGGCCGGGACGGATTGTGAGAGGGCATGGTTAACGATACGGCGGAGTGTTTCCTTGCGCAGCTTCGCTCGCTTGAAGAGATCGTATCGCTCCGATTGCATAGGGTTGAAAGCATCAACCAGGATCCTGTCCAAGAGCGAGAATTAGCTTCATCCAATGTTACCACGAAGACAGGAGAAAACGTACGCTAGGTTCTTCTTCTCAGCCTCTGTATCCGTAGCTCCTTCTTGCTGCCCAAACAGCTCTGCCTCGTCGTCGTCATCATAATCGTCCGCATCATCAGCACCTCCACCGCCGCCTCCGCCGCCAGAAGGACCACCTCGGACCGAACCCTCGTTATCGACTGATCCGAACCGTGTAGAATCTCCCGCCCTAGCGCTGAGAGCATCATCGCGCTCCCGTTCCCGCTCTTTCTCGGCTTTACTCTTGCGTCCGCGTTTCTTTCCCCGTGCGGCAGAGAAGATTCCATCTGCGCTTGCTCCGCCTAGACTCCCTGTGAAACTGCCTGTCACGCTACCGGCTTCGCTGGTACCAGCGAAACTGCGATCTCCAACATCGATGCCGTTCGGGAATGAAGTTTGGCGGAGTGGATGCATGCGCTGTTTCTTGCCAATCGGCTGTGAGGCAGAGGAGATGGAGGGTCGTTTGAGGGGATTGGATGACGATTGGTATGGTGGTGGTGACGACATTTTGAGAGGTTGTAGTGGGTAAATGGGCGCGCGATGTGTTGCGCGTATGATGGCTCGGTAAGCTTGTGTTCAAAATAGTCGGCTACGAGAATGCCCAATCTTCTCGGTAGAATATGAGCGCCAGGTGTAGCTCTTTCGAGGGCCGAGGATTTCGCGCTGCGCCGTTGCGCCGGGGGAGGAAGGTCGATATCAACCTCGGGTTGGAACAAAGAATGAATGCTAGTTGGACTGAAAGTAATGTATCTCTCAAAGGACCGTAGATAGCGATATTATTTGCAGGGTTTCGAATGTAGCTCGTTGATCGATTGGAAGTAATTTGGACAAAAGACAAGATAAGGACGCATCTCACCGCCTTCCGTCCGAGGTGGACTATGACACTACATTGAATGCTGTACTCCGTACGCAATCTTAGAATTCGAATTTACACTCTACACTGGAAAGAATATGTTGCAGAAAATGATAGTATTGCAGCTCAAGACGCTTGAATGGACTCTAAAATGAGTCTTCGAAACCAGGTATGATGTATGATCAAAGGAATGACAAACCGAAATTCTGAGAAGCTCGATATACCTATGTTTCAAGATTTCTCGACTGAACCACTGTAACAAATGACAAAAGAATGAGTCGCTCAGCTTAATCATGCGATGCTGTGCACTATGGAAGGAAATAAACGAGATGACACGAAAAATAGAAATAAACAAAACAGAAAGAACTGTGCAAAATTGAATGCCAAGTAGGCAGAAACCCAAACGGATAGAAAGGTCGCACCCGCGAGAAGGAGATAGTCCAATAACGGATGGCTGAAGAACCAGGTCAGCTCAGAATCCCTTCTCTCCAAGTCGCGGTGCCCCCCCTTTCCAGTCATTGCGTTCGTAGTAACGGAACACAAGATCATAACCGTTCAGGTCATGGACGATGCGATCGACACGACGGTAGCCTTCGACATGCTCCATCTTGTTGCTGCGTCGATGAGCCTGGCGCTGAGCGTGCGCCACATCATGCTGCCCATTCGCCTCGTCGAGCTCATCCAACGCGGGCTTAGTCTCGAACAAGGTGATGCTGAAACGGCCAGGCTTGAAGATCGCAACAACCTGCTGGATGATGTCGGCGGTGGCCTTGCCATTCTGAGAGTGCGGAACGTTGGTCTCGAAAGACGCGTACGAACACTGAGGCTCCGGTGTGACATGCACAGTGAAGTAGTGGATCGGGGCGTTGCCATCAGGAGCCGGCACAACGCCATTGGCCGAGAAGCCACATGGAGTGAAGAGGTACGCATCGATGCGAGCATCCGGGAACTTGCTCTTGGAGTACACGTCGGACAGGCCGCATGCCTCAGAGACGATAGTGCCCAGAGCGTGGCCCTCAGTGGTGAGCTCGGGTGGCAAGATGCCACCAGTCTCCTCATCCATGTCGGAGGTGTTGCTGAAGACATCCAGATGATCATCGTCTTTCTCCGAGTTGCGGTGACGCTTCTCGGCCACAGCAGTGGCGTTTTCGAGATAGAACTGCTTCGCATTTTCCTGGTCAAGGTCGGTCATCAGAACCTCGAGAGTCTCATCGTGCTCATCACAATCAGTGCGCAGTTTGGCTTCAGGGAAGCTGAGAACCTTGGTTTCGGTCTCGCGGAAGTCAACCTCCTCCTTAGGACTCGCCGGTGGGGTGAGTACGGTGCCAGGCTCGGTAAGGTAGAGATACCAATGTTCTCCATTCATCTTCCCGATCATGTAGGCGCTGCCGTTGACGAATAACTTGTCCATAGAGCGCACCTCATCGCGCCAGCTGCGGTGGGGGCCACGTTGACGGTCGGGGAAGAGGAAGTTCTTCCGGCTGTAGAAGACTCGGTAGGGAGCCGCAGCCACCGTGATACCCCGGGATGGAGGCGCCGTAGCGCGTGGGAAGCCTGCAAACAGAGCAGCGATCTCCAAGATGCGGGGGAGTCCCGAAAGCAAGGTGGTAGTTCCGCACGTCTTGAGAATCAACTTGTGCGGCCAGACAAACATGCTGGACTCCGACAGAAGGTAGGCGTCCATCTCATCGGAGGAGATAACGGAAAGCACTTGGCAGTTGACCAGGTCCAACATGTCCTTCCAGATTTCCCCGGGCACTTTCTTGAGGCCCTCGGGGCCGGCGGCGCCTAGTTCAGCGGCAGATGGCGCAAACCATACCTCGAGAAGCTTCTCAGGACCTTCGAAGGCATTGGTCGAGTCGAGATCCTGGGTGGCCTCATAGTTGATTGTCAGAGACGGGGTCCCCGCGACGAACGAGGACGGCGAGGTGGTGTAGTTCGTTGGAATACCGACGTAAACCATGATGACGGATGTAGCTTGAGCTGTTGTACTTGTTTGGGTTGAACGAAGCAGAAACAGTGACGTCGGACCGCCCTATGTACTTCGAGAAGATAGGCTATAGAAGCACTGTCTACTTACCCAGACGGCCAAGGGGGCGATGCCCGTCTGAGAAGAGAAGGCCCTGAAACAAAGATTTAACTGGTCAGACCAGGCGGGTATAATCTCCAAACAGACCAAAGGGCTGCTAAGGAGGGCGGAAGGCGAAGGACAAGAAGAAGATGCTAAGAGAAATGGTGACTAGCAGTCGGTACCCTCGTCCTGAAAGATACCGATACCGGTCAAAGTATCGGGTCTAGCAGACGAGAATTCTGCTTTGAAAAAAGGGTATTCGAAAATGTAGGCGTTGGTGACGACGGGAGTCGCGTTATCGAGGCCTAGAGCAGGATGCTGGTTAGAAACAGTGCTATAATAAAAGATAGACATTGGCCGTGATGTCTCGATTCAATGGCTTTGATTGTTTTGGCTTTTCCAAACACAGAGGGAAAAATCACACTTACTTCGCGGGCTTAGACAAGAATCGCAGAAGATCAGTTGGGCTCATGGAAGGCGAAGACAAGTCCGACTTAAATCAGCACGAGGTAGCGGAGGGCCACAGTCGTGAACATCGGCGGGGGTTTGTCTGTAGGACAGTCTCACCCAAAAGCCCGATGGGTGCCCGAGATCAAGGATTGATTACTTGTGGGCTAGAGAGAACAAGGAGTCTCTCGCTAAGAAAAAAATATTGGCAAAGCAGTTTTTGTTGTGGCCTTGGTGACCTCGAGTGGGAGGGGAAGTGCAAAATGTTTGCTGAAGGTCAGCTCGGTTGGTAATGAGTGATTTTCTTTGTGGGCCCGCGGCAGTGTGGGGCAAATCGGATCAAAATTTGTCTGACATCAGGGAAACAATTGTGTTAGTTTCAATTGCAGGGAATATACGGAGTATTGGGGTCTGTAATATGTTACACACAAATTGGGCAAGTTAGAGCTGCAGTAATGTGCAGACTGCCACGCATGATTTCAACCTGTGAGAGACGAAAGAAAACGCCAAAGCGAGGCCCTGGTTCTCACACGAGCGGTGAGACTAGGCAGAAATAAACTTTGTCCCTGAAGACATTACATAAGCTATGCATGACTCAGCATATAACGGGGGGCCCAAGCGTCTATGTATGCGTATTCTACGCAAGCCACTACCAATATGAATTCTACGCAAGCCACTACCAATGTGAATGACAACAGACAAGCGCCACAAAATTATGACCCATGAGAGTAAGCACATGTGCAAAAAGCAAAGCCCTTCGTTTCCTGAGGGAAGAAAAGTCGAGATAGATATCAAATAGGGGAATGCACTAGGATATCCATGGATGGAGTTACCATATAAAACACACTGATCAATGTGTGTGTCAACGTGATTATTTAAGAATGAAACACATCCACATCCTGAATATGTCTACTAGGTATCCATAATCCCTGAACCAACGCCCGAAATAACGCCATGTCGTACGAACAATCATCGGGATCTCATCGCAAAAGCACCCGAGAGATACCATGCGAAAGTTCATGATTCCAAAATGATATGTGCTAGCTGCACCTCACCAGCCTCCACGATTCTTGATGCAATGATATCACCGACTTTGTCAACTAGTCTGGAGCGGAGGTCGTCTGTGACAGTATGACCATTGGTCAAAAACGGTTGACTACTACGCAGCGAGCCCAACACAGCCACAAGTGCACTCAGAACTCGCTCGGCAGCTGGCCGACGAGCAGCATCGTCCAATCCATCGCCGAGGAGTTTAGTATATTCGTGCAAATTGGGAATGACGAGCACTCGGATTACTTCAGAGCCGCCGACAGATTGCAGTCCGATGACAGCACCATAGTGAGCACCGAATGGCTTTGAAGGGTCGAGGAAGGTCTTGAGACAGGAGCGCACGAGTCGAGGCTTGAGCATGTGAGATGAGTGGGAGTACTTTTTGGCGATTAGGCTGAGGAGAGAGGCGGCCATATCGCGCAGAGCGAATGACTCTGCGAGATCCGCAGGTCCGCCGAGCTGTCGACCGATGAGGCAGGTAAGAATGGATGGTACGAGGGATGCGATCTGATGCGGTTAGCGTCTGATCATGTTCTTCTCTGATAGTAGGTTTGCTCACGTAAGGGTCTACGTAAAGTGACTTGTTCTGAACCAGCGCCTCGGCCATGTGCATCACCTGAGTGAGAACGAAAACATTCTTGAGACTATGCGTAACCTTCTCGGCAATGAATTGGACAAAGTATGGCACCAGCTGGTGCAGACCTGGGTCCTCGCGAAGGCTGGAATACCCGGAGGTGCGATAATCTTCGCTTGTTTCGTTCAAGAAAGCACTGCAGACCTTTTCAAAGTAGAGCTGGAGTTCCCTTGAAAGCACATGCTTGACCAGTGGCTTGACAGCCACATCGCCTGTGCCACTGATTGCCGCCAGTGTGGAGTTGGCGTTCGGACCCTTCGAGATCAATTCGAGGTTACGAGAATCGGCAGCGGTCGGGTTCTGGGGGATCGACGGCTGCACACCTTCAACAGCTAACCAGTGGGCTAGAGTAGACGTTAGAGGCTGTACAGCACATAAGTAGGGAAGAGTATTCACTCACCAGTGAAGGAGACTTCGCGGGGAACCTTTGGCAGGGGCGCATTGATCAACTTCTCAAAGTCAACCTCCTCATCCTCAACGTAGAACAGCGGTTGGCCAGGTCCTAGAGAGGCTTCGCCGAACTTCAACGGACGGGTGGAGTCGTAGCCGTACAATGGCTCCACGTCCAGGTTGCGCAATGCCAGCGCAATGTCTTGAGTGGTAAGAACCGTTCGCTTACAGTGGCGCATACACTTCAGTGCTTCCTCCAAGACCTGCGCAACTCGATATTCGACGTCCCGGGCGAGATTCTCGGTCACATCGTTATTGAGGTTGAGGATACCGACGGATTCGGCGACATCGCGGATGTTATCAGGGTTCCAGACAGACATGATGGAAGGCCGTGGTCTGGAATGAATGTGTGTGAGGAAAAGATCGAGATAAATTCGGGTTTAGATAATAATGGTGCTATCGCGAAAAGTGAGGTGAAGGGAGGGGGCAGATGAGGTTTAGGAAGCGAGTCGCATTCTGAGGCCACCGCCAGCGGATCCACAGACTAGACAATAACAGGCCTTGCTATTGAGTCAGTATTGTATCTAAATGGTGGATAAGACGCAGCAGATTTCAATGGACAGAAGTAATACAGTGAATGAAGGAAGATGAAAGCTTGTCGATAAGAGTTGCGCGAGTGGTTCCAAAGTCAGCCGTATAAGCTACCGTACAGCCAAGCCTACATTAGGCTGCTTTCGCTTCATGAAGACATCAATCAATCTTCATTGTGATAAAGAGATAATAATAGTATTAGGTATGGCTAGCCATAAGGTATTAACAATACAGTGCATCTTGAGAGAGCACACAAATGACCCGAAACCAGGTACACAAGAGCGGGGAGTGTTATTCACTGCTCCTCCGGGTATCATAACAGACAGCACCAGCCAATTTGAACTACTGGGCTCCATCCTTCACAGCTTCTTCCTTCAGAGACTCGGCCTTGGGAACATCTGCTGTGGCAGGCTCCTTAGCAGTCTCCTCCTTGGTGGGCTCAGCAACAGTAGGCTCCTCGGCAGACTTCTCGGCAGACTTGCCCTTGCACTTTGTCTCCTCTTCCTTGTCCTCGATCAGTGGGATGAACCTAGCATTCTCCTTCAGCTCCGGACCCTTGCCACCATAGACTTTGGGGATCTGTTCGGCAATTGAAGCAGGGAATTCCCGAGCCAGGTTGGCGCCGTTTGTGATCGGGTGGAACTTGCGCGTAGTATTGCGGCTCAGGATAAACTTCATGGCAGTGAACATCCAGCCCATGATAGCAGGCACATTGACGAAGAACTTCTCACTCAGGAGCTCTGGGTATGCCGTAGCGAACACTTCAATGACCTTCTTCGTTGCGGCACGGACAGATGGATCCATACGGAAGAACTTGACATTTAAGTAATCGTGCACTTGGATCATCTGGTAGGGATCCTCGCCGTCGTACTCGATGACCTCAGTGGCATCCTTCATCTTCAGGTCCTGCACAGCAAGTTCCATGAGAGCGGCACGCCATTGGACGAATCTATACGCAGTTAGCATTGATTGCAATTGTAAATGGCGTTCCATGATGGGTTCTTACTCATCGGTATCCGAGAATGTCGCACTGATATCCTTCACAGCGCCGTAGATATTCCAAGTAAACACCAAGGGCCGTCCGTTCTCCTCGTAGGTAGTCAGGTATCCCAAACCGCCGAACTTGGTCGCGCTGTATTTCGCGGACTCCGCTAATGCCAGCGGGTTCACCTCCTTGCGCCACTTGAGTGCCTTGCTGAGCTGGGTCTCAGCAGCTTTGGCATTGCCTTCGTTTGCGCGCAGGAACTTGATCAACACGTTGACGGTGGGGACATCATTGCTATCCTTGAGTTCTACTCCCCACATCTCAGTGTGGCCGGTGCTTTCGAGGATGGTTGGCAGGCGATTGAACAATTCACCCAAGGCCGGGTTCTTGCTCAGGTAGGCTGGTTGCTCAACCTTGGGTTCTTCAGGCTTTGCGGCTTCGGGCTCTGCAGTGCCAGTGGCAGCGACAGTCGCATCATTTGCAGCGAATTCCTCCTTGACTGGAGCACTGGCAGTTACATCTTTGGCTGCAGTCTGTTCGGTGTTTTCGGCAGCAGTCGCGGGAGTTTCCACGGGCTTATTGACGGCTTCTTCAGGCACAGCGGTCGCAACGGGCGCAACAGGCGCAACGGGCGCATTCTGATCAGCGGTGTCCGGCATGATTGATAGGATTGAAATTGAGGGTGTGTTGAGGTTAGAAGAAATAGGGGGTTTTGATTCCGCAGGGGGTGCAGTTGCCTTGTCAATAATCAGGCCACTAATCAATCCCCACCACCTGTCAGTTATTATGTTGTTTCATGATCGACGTATCACATCCACCTTGAATCTATTTTTGTTTTTCTACTCCGTACATTTCCTATGTTTCTGTTTGTTAACATTTTTTTAAACGTGTGAATATCAATGTTGCACTTGGTTGGGTTAATCTCTACGGAGTACACACTCACACTTCTAATTTTAGATATCTTGCACAGGTCGCAACTTTCAATAGCTTCAATAATTGTTATAGCATTAATATATGTTTCATGTATCCTACGGACCCTGGTACATTATACTAGTATATGTGTTTCTACCAGCCAAATGCTTCTTTAGGATTTACCGCAAATGCCTAGGTATATAAGATAGTATTATATGCGCAGCACATTTCATGAGTACATTCTGAGTGGACAACTATCAAGATCCGAGCCTCTATAACTTTGAAAATATGTCGATATACATATGCCGGATATCTGAGCCATTGTCCGAAGCGGTTTCTATATATCGGATGGAAATTATGTGAATCTCATAGGCCCTTCCTAAAGATAGTTTTTCTCTTATTGATATTGTAACCAGAGGGATAAGAATAATTAGACATTTAGCATCCACCGTCTATGAGGGAAGTTTGAGAACATGTACGATATGAAGGCAATCTTGCCCAGATTTAAAGAGCTACTTATTGAGAAGCAGATAGTTATCTAAGTCCTGCATCATGCAATGTATTTACCATCAAGTTCAGTGCAAATAGCCAGAATTAATAGAGCTGGTAGCTGCATACCCTGCTACCATTCTTCTCCCTTGATCGCCACGATCACCGAGGTTGCACCTGACCTCTCCGTAGGGTTAAGACACCCCGGAGCATTGACCAGGTGTAACCCCTGATATATACTCCGTACTCTGTTACCCGAGGCATCTAGGCCTTTGATACCCTCGGGATTATTGCTTTATTGTTGGGTTAGTGATGTAGGTGATCACCAAAGTAAGATGGAAGATCATCCTAACGTGGAGGTCGCCCACAACCTCGAGATCACACCTTGTCAATTTTTCGGAAGGCCGATCCTAGGAATGTTCAAGGAGCTTAAGGGGGGATCTCTTGGAATTGTGGGGTTTCCCTAGTAGGTACTAGAGGTCTCGAACCATTGCGCCAGCCAACAATCACCCTGGCTGATATGGAATGGCTTCTTATACAGTGGTTAGAAATGTGAAAGCAGTGTTTCTCAATAGGTAACAATAGAATATAATATTCAAAATATCTGTCAGACCTCATAAATAGTCTCTAGTAGTAGTTAATATTCAGCTTCTTCGACCGTTTAATAAAATACCAACCTCACATTGCACCATGCATCTAACATCTCTGCGTGTAACCTCCTAACAAGATTGCATTAGAAGATGCTAATTGAATATTACACTTAAACTAAATTACCACGCAGATTAACTCCGTACAAAGGATAAAGCCAAATACAGTCAGCTTCAGCCAAGCCACATTCGGAAACGGACACATGCAGATGTGACCGAAACTCTCAACCTACATACGCGCAAGCACATTGGCAAAGCAGGTAAGGGATTGGCAAGGTGCAGATGCCAACGATGATAATGTCGTGTTCAATTATTACAAGTTGTCTCTGATGCATATTTTTGACAGCTGTGTTCTTACACACATTGACCGCGTCCCCCACACAAGCTGACAAGCCGAATCAACATTATTGCCATAAATTCTATTCTCTTAGACGTCTAGCAATTAGAGTTCTTCGTCGGTCCCAAATTCACTAGTATTACACTCTCCTTTCCGGGGACTGGTTGGACGGAGGTAAAAGGCAGCGTTGGCGCTAGCCAGCAAGGAAATAACCACTATATATTGTTAGAATGGGAAGCAAGCCGCCGACACACATCACTTACCAAGTACACACTGCAGCTCAAAATACCCAAATCTTTCGACCATAAACCCAGCCAAGATGGGTCCGACTAGTAGACCGGACATCCAACTCATGTTCGTGATTGAAATAGCACGAGAGTACCCTCCGTAGGGACCGAATACGCCAGGATGTAAATCCTCCAACTCATCGACGGTTGCTGCAAAGAACAAATCAGCATTCCAGTCTCTAGAAATGACACCCCAACTTACCAGTAGCTTCCATCGTCCCAACACCCATAAGCAAGCACATAAAGCACCCAATCATAGTCGTACAGACGGCATAAATAATCTTACCCCTTGTTCCCAACGTAGCCCACGGAAAGCGCTCATCACCAGCGACTCCAAGAAACCACAGGAAAGGCGCAACAGAGAGAAACCCAATAGTAGTAGGCACCCTCGATCCCACACGGTCTTTCAAGTACCCAACAAGAGGAGCCAAGACCATCCCCGGTCCTTGTATAGACGCGAACAAAAGCCCGACCGGGAAAACGCCCCAGCCAAAAGCATACCGGACATGCATGGCAATCGTCGACTCAAAGCAGGCGATAAACAACGCAAAGACAAAATAGCAAGTAACCCCCGCCGTAAAGCGACGCTGACGGAAAAGACAGACGTAGAAGCTCCAACCGCCAATTTCCTCTGTACTCGACGACTGACCCGCATCGAGAAGCGGTTCTGTTTCCGACGAGGGTGTCTGCTCCTCGGCGCATAGGGATTCGCTGCTATTTCGATCTTGACAAGCGGTCTCGCGGCGTTTCTGTGGTTTTTCAATCATGAGCAGACGCATAATGATATCCACGACGAGGAACAGAGCCGCGCCCGCCCACGCTGTCCAGTATCCTCCGATTCCGAAGAGAAACCCGGCAATGACGGGACCGGAACATGTACCGGCTGCTACTATGGTCGTGCTCAAGCCTGCTATCTTGCCCATATGTTCTGATCCGATGTTCTCGGTCATTGTGGCCATGCCGACGATGAATAATGCGTTGCTGACAATGCATTGGAAGAAGCGACCGATCAAAAGCCAGGTCACTGGGCTCATTTAGCAATAGGGTGATAGTGCGATTCTAACAAAAAACTTACATGATGTGGTGATCGATAGACATAATACGCTGATCAGCGTCAGTACCAGCAACACCAGTAGTAGGACCTTCTTGGAGCTGGCCCGGTCGGCTATATTCCCGACAAACGGACTCGAGATGATAGATATCAACGCTCCTTCAACTAGAAATAGGGAGGTCAATCGCTGGGTGAGGGACGTGTCTAGCTCTAAGCGGTTCTCGAAGATGTAAGGGAGTAATGGGACCATGAAGGCGAAGAGCATCTCATCTAAAGAAGCAATTTCAGTCATAAGATACGATCCAACGTCTTCGATGTAATCGTTCAAGGCACGAACCTGTGAACAGTGCCATGGACATGCTGCTGAGAATAAACGTATCGGACGAGCGCCAGTGATATCCCCATGTTTGCCATGAAACATGTTTCTTAGGGACCGGTAAAGGATGCATTTTTCAAGGCCTGGTTTATCGCTATTCTGGATTGATTTATCAAGAAAACAAAGCAGGAGATGAAAAAATTAGGACTGAGCGAAGAGGTTCATGCGAAATATATACATGGACCAAAAGTAGATGGCTTGGGAGGCACATCGCCTATATTTTCCTAAATTCAAGGGACTAATGAGATACCAGCTCTCCGTATTTTCATCCCCTGGCTGCAGATCGAATGTTATGATTGCTTTTCCTTATTCCGACCAATGTGAACCTGTCTTCGACGCGCATTGATGCCCAGTGGCTGTAGAATCTCAGCTGAATGTCGATCATGATGTGGGCCATTCTTAAATTACAGGTGTTGGTTGGTAGTATTATAAAGACCATAGGGTGTCTAGTAACACAAATATACTTGTTTTCGCCTTTATATCCATGTAGGACAAGCCCAGGGACGATCTCCAGATCATCAGAGCTTAATTAGACAAGAAGCGACGATGCTATGATGTTTAAATGCTATATCTGTCTCGGCAAGGCAAATCATGTATTCATTTACCTGGATCAAAGGGCCACAAATGGATATACCTCGGTCTAGAGCGAAGAGATAGTTTGCGAAGTGGAAACCCAGACTAAACGCGAGCAAGAATAAAGATCCCGGCAAAGGGCGATAACACTGGGGGAATATACACAGAAAAACAGAACACAGAATTCAAAAAAAAAACTGGAGAGACTAGCGCGAGGGCAATCTGAAATCACCTAAGGCCACCCCGCTGTAGGAGAAAAGCTAGACCCAAATATACGAAAGCACATGGAAAGATCAGGAAAAAAACAAGGGGGCGCCATCTCTATTTTCCGTTGGTACGGAACCGTTCAGGAATTTGAGGCATAGACGACGGGGAACCAGTCTCCGATCCGTCGTTGTCTTCCATTTCCTCGTCCAAATCCTCGGGATGGCTAGATGTCTCAAGTCAGCTTTCAAAATCGAGATATCAGTGCAGCACCGGGATCAACATACGCAAGTAGCTCCTTGATATTCCTCATCTCATAGTGCCTCCTCCGCTGCTGCTCGAAATGAGCGTGCCGTGCGCGGGCCTCTTCAGTCGTCAAGAGCGGATCATGCTCAGGCGCCTCGGCGCCATTTGCATCTTCCCCGCCGACCTGAACATGCTTCTCGCTCTTGTGCGAGTCCATACTCATGCTACGGTCACGGAAGACACGAGCGTCATCGTTCATAGCAATATCCTCTAGGTTTTCCTCGGGCTCACCGAGCTCCAGGTCGGGGATTTCATCTTCTGCCACAGCTTTCCGGGGTTTGGTCGACTTGTCCAGCTCGTCGACGAGGAGGCCCTGCGCATCGATGAGGCGTTGCTTTGCATCGTCGAGGCGCATCTGCTCCTCGTCTTCGCTGGGGTCGTAGTGGGGGGCGTAAGGAGTCTTCGGTTCGTCGATCTTCATCTTCGCTGTCTTCTCCTGCTCGGTGAGGTACAGGTTCGCTTCATCCCACTTTAGGCGGGGCTCGGTGTCGTCATGGGCGCTGGCTGATGACTGTCGGCGCGACTGAGACCCTGGGCGGGTGGACGAGGATCGCCGGCCTGCGTTCTGCAGGGTGTTGAGGATGGTGATGTCCTTGGTCTCCTCGGGCTCAGATATGGTTAGAACCGAGGGTGGAGCGGTGGGTGCCATCGGAGCGGAGGCGGTTTGGAATGGGTTGGAGTTCTTGAGGATGCCTGTTGAGTTGGCGCAAGAATGCACCGGTCAGATCCTCTCGTTGCTGTCGGTCACCATCTGGTGCTGATGTAGTTTGGACTTACCTCTTGGCCGCTGGTGCACATCATCGGAGCTGTGCGCCTTGCCCGGCATGTGTGGTGCGGTAGTCATGGTGGGATGGTAGTTAGGAAAGACCGAGTGTCGCCCGATTTGCAAGTGGACGAGGTAATAAGAAGACTGATTTCCAGGGGTGGGGAATAGGGGAATCAAAAGGATGTGGCCTGTTTTATTTTGATTATATCACAGGCTTCAAATTTTGCAATCCGTGCGGGAAAAAAAAGAGGCTGAGCACCGCCTGATCTGATACGGGGAAAAACGGATGAATCAAATGAGCCTGACTCAGATAGATAAGAGTCAACTCACAGTAGTCACTAGTCACGAGTAGCAAAGGAAAGAAGAAGAAGATGTATAAGGTCAAGTTGGTGGGGGTGCAAATCCACTCGATGACGTCGGCCCGATCATCTACCCGATGCATCCAGCTTAGCTAACGTTTAGATGGGAGATAACTATGGGAGGTTGAACATGATATTGTGAGGTTGTCCAGGCAACCTCCTCCTTAATGCTATACGACAGCCTTGAAAACTGGCCAAACTGTCAGTGACGCTTTCGTCCTGATCTTCAAAAGCTAGCATGAAAGGATACGAACATTACTGGTAAATAGACAGGAAAGGAAATATAACATTAAACTGAGATTAAGACAGCAAACCGCCTAGTCTTCCGATGTATTGAAGAACGCCAGTCATGTTCCAGAGCCAAGCGCAGACGGAAATCCGAGGCAAGAGTCTCAAAGTCCACGAATGTTAAAAAAACCCAACTAGATCGCCCGAACAGGGGTATATGGATATATATGCATCGACGCGATGTAAAGATAAGAAAGGAAAGAAAGTCAAAGAGAGAGTGAGAGAGAAAAGGGGAAAAATAAAATCGAACCAGCGAAGAGAAAGAATGAGAGAAGAAAAAAGACACAACAAAACGAGAAAAGACAGGCCAGAAAGCCTCTCATGCGATTGAGTCAAACTCCTCACGCTCACGAAGTCGGTTCCGAGCAAGAGTATCACCACCACTGGCCGACAGCTGCATCCAGTGCAGCGCCAGACACATACTCTGCGGATCCGATTTAGAGTCTTTGTCCCGTCGATACATCATCTCCGCCTTGAAGGTATCTCGGGGGAGGGTCAGAGGGAGTGTTACGCGTGGGAGAAGCTCCGGGTGGGTCAGATAAAGGATTGCAAGTTCGCGTTGTGCGACTGGGTTGCCTTCTTTGGCAGTGATGATCCACATTCCCGCTGCGTCTTGGATAGCATGGCCAGGGCGGGATTGGAAGTCGGAGGCGAAAGGGGTATGACGACGGGAGAGCTCTTGGAAGACGATTCGGTCGGCGATTTCAACCATGCTGTGGCAGATCTCTTCTTTGAGGCTCAGTGCGGCCAGACCGAATTGGAGGAATGCTGTCCCGCAATCCGTCTTGTTTAGCTGATCTCCTGGGACGAACGCGGAGATAAACTGTAGGTCCCTGAAAAGGGTCTTCGGCTTCATTTCTAGGATGAGATCCCGCAAAGCTGCTACAATTTGTGCTTCGGACGGAGTAGAGTAGTCAGACCGTCGGGAGCCACATGTGACAGACTCGGGAGGAGAGGAAGGAAGCAATGGGTCCATCTGTGGTAGGTTGTTGGGCCGCACCTCTGAGAAACTGTGGCGAGTGGCCCGATGAAGTTGCGGACTGCTCCTCATCCTCTCACCTTCGCCCGGGGAAGAGTTGATATCAGTAGGGCAATTGGCATCTTGGGGCGAAATGAGCGACGCAACCACCAAGGAACGCAAGTCCCGCAACGCGTTGAGCTTCACAAAGGGATTTCCATGACGCGAGAACACTTCAATCAGCCGGCGGAAGACCGCCTTGTATGAAAATGCCGACTGTCCGTCCGATTCCATAAATGTCTGCGGTAGCTGCGACGAGGGCTCCACACGAGGAGCTTTGTGTTGGGATTCACGAAGGTTACCCATAGACCTGCTCCGGCGACCTTTCAGTGAACCACGTTGCTGACCAAGATGCTGAGAGCGCTCGTCATAATCGACGTAGAATTTCTGGACAGCAGCTCGTCGGCGCATTTCCACCTGAATGCGTTTCTGGTTCAGCGCATTGGTGAACCAGGCGTCAGTCTCACTACCGCAGCTCCATACCGGAGAGCCCAGATCGCTCAAGAGGAGACTAGTTAGTGTCTGTCTCAAGTCATCCATGAACACCGTCTTCCCATGCGGTTTGCGTTCGACACGACGGGGCTGACGGGTTGCCGTCTCACTGAACATAGATGGTGGCCGCGAGTACACGCTCGACGCGCTTGCGGCATACATAGGGTGCTTCTGAGGTGCAGACCAGAATGTACTGTAGGTGTCACCGGTAGATGTCGAAGCAGCACGGCCTGGTGAGCCTCCGAGAGAAGACATGTCAACTGAAGGCAAATCACGCTGAGGCCTCCATTTATCGGAAATAATGCTTTGGAAAGAGGGCTTGTGACCCAATGACGGGATATCCGGAGAAAGACGAGACGTAGGATCGAGCAGAGGTATATTGGCACCGTAGAAGTGGGAAGCAGAGTTTGTGTCCTCGCTTGTGGTCGTTGAGGGCCGAGGAGTGCTCGGCATGGACATTCCTGGGAATGTGCGAGAGTAACCTTCATATTTCGAGCGTTCCGTCTGGAAAAGTTCACTTGCCCATAACACCGGTGTCTCGGTCATCGTTTCACCCACTAGTTTATTGATGCTCATTCGGACCTCGTAGCAGAATCGATGAATTCTTTCTTCTCCCTTGCAGAAATTGTCGATGCCGTTGTGCGATAACCATTTCTGGGTCAGCTCGACTTGCTCGTCAGACAGCTTATTCGGTCCACCCTGGCTACTGGGTGCCTTCATCATGTTCATAACTTGTACTTCGGGTTTCTGGAACAAAGAGCCACCCAAAGAACGTGTTCCGTAACGAGAACGCTGTTCTTCGGGGTACTGGTTGAAGAGACGGGCTGAGTAGATCATCGCTTTCAAAGCCATAGCCACGTGTTTAGCCTCCTCATATCTGATGGAGTTCTTGACGTCGCTCATGTACCACATCTTGTCTCGGATCTTGCAAAAGGTGGCCGTCAGGTCTTTGACTTGAGTCTGGAGTCGGCAGAGACTGTGATCGAGAGACACAAAGTCACTCTCGCAACGCTCAATGACAGCTCGTGATTGGATCAGCGAGCGACTATAATTCTCATGCATCGGGCCCAAGATCCATGAATCGTCTGTCGACCTCGATGAGCTAGGTATTCCCCGTTGCCCAAGCTGCTGTGAAGCATTCCACCAGTAGTGTGCGCCAACAAAATCAGAGTCATGATGGCAGCAGAACATCGCTTCGTTGAACCGCTGCTTCAAGGACATGGCGGCCGGCTGCGTAGTATTCCGTGAAACGAATTCATAGTCGCCCACATCTTGAATGCGGTTTTCTTGGACAAGTCGAAGGATCGCGGTCTGTAATGCTTCGTGATTTTCCTCCAGTCCTAGCGTCGTGGACTGGGTATCATCTTCACTTTCGATAATCGGGCCCTTGGACGTTTCATATCTACTATCAGGGAGAAGGCTCCATGTTAAGCCATGGCCGTCTGCTGCAACTGAGAAGATAGTCCAATGCTCATCGGAGGGATGCTCCAAGCTCAACCGCTCATTGGGATGGTCTAAGTCGGTTAGTTCGAATCGAATGCGAGCGGCCTTTTCAGACAGGCTATTTTCCGGTGGGAAGAGAGAATGAGTCTCCATAGAGAATATAGAACCGATATTGGATGTATGTTTTGAACTTGTGTCGTGCTTGAAACGAGCGAATCCAGAATCTGTAAGTGAGTCTGGCCGAAGATTGAAAGATGGTGGACTGGATGGCCAAGAATTAACTCCTGCAGATGCCGGGGAGGAATGCAAAGAAGAAGGCGTCTGTTGGAAGAGAGTGTCTAGGAGTGTGAGGACATCTAAAGCAGACATCATCAAGAAAGTTGAAGAAGACTTTCGTCGAAGTGGTGCCTGTGAAGAGGGAATAGAAGGATCAATCGAGACCTTTGATGGCATCGCGTCATGGAATCGAGAGAGCATGTTCTCGATACTGTCCTTGATTATCGGACGAGGGGGTGAGAAATGATTCCTTGAATATATTAGCAACAGTGTCGCATCGGCAGAGGATTCAGGTGACGTACATTGAACGCATAACAGCAAAGACTTGAGCGTAGGCACGGTGTCCAACCTGGTTCAGCAATTTCTCGCGGGCATCCTTTCTGATATGGAAATCTAAGAGAAGACCGTGGGTCTATCAAAGCAATAACAAATTGGAGTCAGTTTCGCAAGTTCACCAAGGGCTAGAGGCTTATATACCTCAGGATAGGTCAATGCGCGATAGAGGAACTTGGAAAAGAACCATTGGAGAAACAAAAACTCCAGGAAGCGCCTGCGGGTCTCGGGGTTATTCAGCTTCCGCAAAACGGCTCTTGCAAACTGCAGCACGGCGTGAGGAAAGCCGCCGTCCGGGTCATCAAGTACAGAGAACAAGCCATCCACAGCGGAAGCAAAGAATTCCTCTGCAACATCCGTGCGCATGGGGTCCAGGGAATCCATGGCAAAATCCAGTCCGGGTGGAGTGGCTATGGGCTCTAGGAGAAAAGCACCGGTTTGTAAAATGTCCATCAGGTAGAGTTCAAACTTGGAGCGGGCTTTCCAAGTGCTGTCGGTGGTCCAGGAAGAAAGGATCTGGCCGATCAGAGGATAGTATCTACTACTTCCGTTGGACATTAGTTGAGCGCAGACGGACGACCACACTTCCATACGCAAGCGGGCTTCAGACGTCCCTGGGTCCAAGGGAGCGGCAAAAACGTTAAAAAGAAGTACAGATAATGGGTCAGTCCTCTCAAAGGCATAAGCGTGGTCCTTGAAGGCAGTGGACTGAGTCTGGCTCTTGTTCAAGAAAGACTGGGCCCGGGCCCGGGAGGTGGAAGGAAACGCAGGATCATTGGTATCCAAAGCAGTGGCAGGAGAAGTAAAAGCAGCCAATTGGGACGACGACAGGCTTTGCAACCGGTCGACCAAAAACTGGGGATCAGAGC